TTAAGATTAGATAGTGGGAAATTTATGATAACACTGCTCAATACTTTGTCACTGATGAGACGTATATTCGCCGAGTCGCTCTGTAAATGGATATATATGGATTACATAGATGGATATGTATGAAAGTGTTGGAACTAATTCAATTTACTCCTCTTGTATGTCTGATGGATAGATAGATTCTATTTCTGTTAGGATCTAGATGGGAAGCGGGGGAAGAAAAGGGTACGTAGCATCTATGGAGTTCAAGAAGGATTTTATTTTTATTTTGCATATTTCATTTTCCTTTTCTTTTCAGCCAGATTGGAAGATCAATGACTGGAAATTAAGAATCTCTGTTATATCTAGGTAATTAGTAGTTAGATTTGCATCGAATATTAGATAGTTAGAGAACACGAATTTTAAGTTCATAGAATTGCAAATAGAGTAGTGTATTAAGAAGTATTATATATCCCGTTCTGAAACTTAAAGTCAAAAGGCTTTTAGTTGAAGGACTCTATAGATGTGTAGGTTTAGAGAAGTTGCAGATGGTTAGCTTTGTTTCTAATAGTTTCCATTTCAATTCGAGGGTTTTGCTGATACTTTCTTGTCATTGTTGAGTTTTGGTGGGCTAGTGAGCGTATGTTATTGATTTGTCGACGTCTCAGAGACTAACTTTATCGGGGAGATTGGTGTTTGGTTAAGAGGAAGATTACTGGGGAATTTTGGGGGTCCAATGGTAGTCCAGCGATAGAGGTCTACTTTGAAAATCTTTCGAGTTGAGGGCTTTTTTCCAGATGGAAGATTGATTTGGGGGTTTTGGTGGCGAGCCGTCCTTGATAGTTGTGAGAGTCAATGTTAAGAGCTGTTAGGACTTACACATGCGTGCAGACATCTGGTGATCTTTAAGGTCTGTGATGTTGATTTTTGTATTAGAAGCTTGATACATGTATATAGCATCAGCGATTATAATACATCCAGCTGTAACCTTATCACCACCTAGCCAAATAAAATACTGCACGTGACACAGACCTGCAAACATGCAGCAAATGAGGAGCATACTTTGTGCACTCAAAGTTATCATAGCGATTAATATTTATATCAAAACTATCAATTGTAGGATGAATTTTTCAGTGTTCAATGCACCCATAAAATCATCCACCGGATCCTGTCAAAATGGCAATATTCATGTGATAATATGTGATAAGGAATGCCGAGATGCTAGTGCGATTCAACTAAATCTTCCGATCTTAAAATATCTTTCAACTTAAGGTTATATTGATGTGATGATTTTCGAATTTCCGACAAACTGGATCACCAAAACCTGCCAGTCTATATCCTGGCTCCTCATTGCAAACAATAATTTTGCGCTCGAAGGTTAGAAGACCGTGAAGGCCGAGAGATTGAATGTGCTTGGATCTTCAAAATTGTTTCAACTGGAAAAATGAAGACTTGGCACACCACGATGCTCTACACAACCCAATGATCAGTGTCAACAAATCTCACCGGCTACATGGTCGGTAAGGATGAGTCGTGGATACTCATTGACCTTGGGAAATTGGCATACCTTTTCTCGGACGTATTTTACTCAAAAATACGAGGTCGAAGTGTGCTATTGCTCCAGTGTCGAGCACATTTCACCACCCAGATCATGAGGACAAGTAGTGATGGAACGAAGGCATTGTCTATCATTGAATGCTCCCCACATTATCGCTGCTCGAGTCCACATGGCGTTGTTGGAGGTGATCTATTATTAGTCTTTTCGGGACTCCTTTTGAGATCATTGATACAGTAAGTATGGAAGGGTTAGATATTACCATTCACAACGCTTTGTAATCCCAGCTCATCTAAACCATCTTTCCATTCATTGTTCTTCGGAATTGGATAAGCATAGATCGAATCACTTCAGTCTTGGACTTCTATCAGGTGTCTTCGACGAATATAAAGTTATTGGACCTAAAGAGGAAGATCGTGTCCATGTGATTTTGAGACTTAGCAAGTTTCATTTGAAACCGTGCCTCCTAGTAAGACCCACGCACAGAACAACCTCCGTCTTATCAAGACTCTCTATTACCCAATTACTATTGTTCTTTTAGTTTGAGTCTCTGTTGAGAAATTCATTTCACGCAATGCCGGTACCTGTCATTGTTAGAGCCTGTGTTACAGTTTACTCCAACACTTGTCTGATTCGGGGCAGTCATTCCAAATAGAGTAGAGACCGTGCCTGATCGCCGTTTAGGAGCCCATTCAGTCGGTGTTTTCTTCAATTGGAAAATACTACTGGAGTGATGGTAGCCTTGCTATACACTCATCTTGCATTTTTGTCCCCTCTTCTTTTTCATCAAATCTAAACATCCTGATATTAACAATTATTGTTGTTGACGACGCCGGCGCCGAACATGAGCTCGCGTTGATAGCTACGAACATAATGTTCACTCATGATTTTCTTTTCTTAACATTATTACCCATAGATTGGGAACTTACATTATAATTATTTTTTTCAAATTTGTGCCGCGATGACTATACCGGATGCCATCCAGACCTTGTCGGCTGCATTCTCATTGTTAGTTCATCAACTCGAATATCTTTAAAATTCTTGCTAACATTCATTATAGTGGTATACTTCTGCAGGCAGCAACCGGCGCATTTCTTATATATTTTAAGGGTCATGGTTCAAACGTTTTCAAGGACGGCCGGAGGCTGGTCCTCTTACTGTTCTTGTTGTTTAGTGTGTTGTGGGCACAAATTGATTTCTTGGAGCTCTTGATGCCGACGACGGGTACCGGAATTTGTCAGGCGGGACTAATATTTACAACGAGTTTCGATCAGTTGGCGAGGGTGGCACTGGAACAGTTCTTGATGTGGTCAATTGGCCATGGAATGAAGATCACCGCTATTCGAGCTATTTTACAAGGTCTATTGGGCATTCGATTGATAGTGGGAGGTATTTTGGCCGGAGTTACTCGTCCTCAATTTGCACCTACATGTATCGCCACTACTTCGATATTACCTGTTGCAATTGTAGTTCTGGTCATGGACCTTATCATTGTTGGGGCTCTACTCGTCCAAGCTGGCTCTTTGGGGATGTTTAGAGACAATCGTGAAGACCGAAAATTGCAGAATAGAGCTTTATTGCTCGTCATTGCAGGTTTTGCCATCTGGACCGTAGTATGTGCTCGCAACATTTCTTTGACTCAAATGCTGATATAGATTTAGACCAGTGTACCAATGGTTCTTGGGATACCTAGCATTGATTTGATCGCTCGAACCGTCGTACCTGCAAATGGCCTTCTTGTGCTCATTGGTATGTGCTATTCATCTACGGCTACCGGGATATACTAATATAGATCGTAGGCATCATTACCGTTTATCCAGTGGCATTGTTGTCTCCGAAGCAAGAGGATTCTGTGACTCCGGGTGCACAATCTCCATTTTCCACCAGCCCGATGGCGATATCTCGAGGAATGTTTCAAAATGGTATAGGAGCTGAAGGATCCCCTATAATTGGTCGTCCTGGCACTAAAAGTCAATTATTTGTAGCCAATCCTTCCTCAACGCCAACCTCAAGAGATGTTCGGGGCTTCACAAAACTCGCCGGCGATGGAAATTCAGGAGAAGCGCGAAATGCTTCGGGTTACCAAGCTCCAAGTGGTGCTTACCCCACAATCTTTGGTGCATCATCATTGGCATCGGGTCAAGAAGCACGCACTCCAGCGACTGAGCGACTCATGAACCCTTCCATGTCAACTTCAGTCTCCTCCAAACGTCCAAAGGTATCTGTCCGAGGTCTTGCCATCTCAAAACCTATAGTCAACGATGAAACGGATCCTGATACACCCTTTTCACGAATTGCAACAATCGATCTCAAGACTGCTATTATGAACGACCGTGAACGAAGAGCAGTGGCCAGCAAGAAGTCGCTGCCCAATACTCCGAGGGCGGACTTTCCACGATCTAGGATGTCACCGGAGGATATTTTAAAGAAAGCAAATGAAGTTGCACAAGAAGAAGCATCAAATCAGGCTAATGAGTGGATGGCTGCATCGGGGTTGTCGACTTCTGCATTACTCTCTCCTGCACGTGATGAGGTGCGACGTCGTTCACCACGAGGAGTTAATAACCTGGAAACATTGGAGGAGAAGCAAACTTTCAGACCTGTCACAGGGTTACCGATGAATCCTAGATCTCAGAAATCAACAATGCCTCGACAGAGAGCGGAGCCTCAACCACAAACAGTTATGTTAGTGAATGATATTATTTACGACAACCCTGCAGTGGTAGAGTCCATTATCAGCAGAACCCCAGGACATCTCAAACAAAAATCCTTAATGGAATTGTCACCCTTAACGCCTTATACTTCGGGGTTTGAACCACGGGAATCAATTATACAGAGAGCAAGGCCTATTCCAAGACACAAAAATACTGGACTATTTGGAAATGAGCCGTTGCCTGTTCCCAGACGAAGTAAATCAAGCTCTGCATTATTGGGCAGAAAGTCCTTGCTCACCACTACCCCAGGCAGTCCATCACTGCTGCCGCCACTTCCAAAGCCACCTCCGGTGTATACTGCTTCCAAGCTGAAGAAGCTTTTACCCAATGACACCAAAAGCATGACCTTCGAAGAGAAGATAGAGTTTCTGTTTCCAGCTCCGCCAGGGGTAAGTCTACTTGATAATCGTCGCTCGTCCGTTCCAGATCTTCCAAGCATGGCTAGCAAATTAGCTACTTCAATCGAGCCAGAGCAGGGTAATTCTGTCTCTAAACGGACAACAACCATTGTGTTACTCACCCCACAAGAATATCCAGCCAAACAAAACTCGACAGGAGCGGATGCAAATCTGGAAAAATATCGTTCAAATACAGAAGAAAGTGTTTCAAAGAATTTGGTAGCAAATCATAATTTTACCACTGAAAATATTCTCGAGATGGTTAGCAAAAGATTATCCAATGACTCTCGTGAAAGAGATGTACAAGTATCGAGTCCTATGGAGGAAGGTTACGTGAGCTATATTAGTCCATCAAATACATCTGACACATACAGAGGTTCATCGTATTCTGCATTCTCACCGCAGAGAAGTCAGAGATTTTTGGAAGATCTTGAGAGGTTGGAGATAATGTCAGAAATAGCAATAGAGGATAATGAAGGCGAAAGCGACGAGGTTACGGTTGTCACAATCAATTCTGCTGAACATCGAAAATCCATGGCAGAATCTGTGGCTGATGACAGCGAGTCCTTCATTTTTGATATTGATGGCTTACCTGTTGAGGCAAAACACTCAACTTCAACATGGCACCGACGTATCGGTGACGAGCTGCCTACTTTCTCTGATCGGCGATTGAAGCATGGCACACGGAAAATATCTCCACCAACGGCTTTATTGTTAGAACCAGCCCGTGGTAGAGCTTCTCCAATTCTCATTCGCAACGTTGAACCATCCCCAGCATTAGACTCGCCAGGAAGGGCTCTCCAAGACATTGAAGACCAACTGAATCGAATTGAACAGCCAAGACGCGCATCATTGAGATCAATTCTTAGTCGTATGCCAGCTACGGAAAATGTTGGAGGCTTTGAAAGTGATGACGGATTGGAAAGACTACGATTACTCGAAACTCTTGAGCGCGAGATGGGTGAGCAGGAGAACGATTGGCAAAAGATGCATCAGAACTTCAGTCGGGATTCTATGTCATCGACTGGAACTCTTGCGACTCCAAGATCCCAGGCCTCCCCCGAGCCATCAAGATCTGCTCTGGATACAAGGGCATCACAAAGATTATCGTTGGGATTACGCCGTAGTTCATCTCGACTCATGCGCCAACAAATGAGAGATGATCTGAACGGGACGTCTGCAGAAGCTGAAATTGTGCCTTATAAAATTCAGGAAAGCTCTAGCCTTGGTGGTTGGCAGCAGCGCCTAGCTGATGCACAAATGTCTTACATGGAGAATGCCCCGACAGTTTCTCATTCTCGCAATAGCAGTATCAATTTCTTGTCGGTTTCCAAAGCACCGAATGCACCAATGGAAAGTCCTACTCCTACGGAGGGCAAGTTGGAGATCGAGTCCGAAAGCGAATATGAAAGCGAAGGAGAAAATAAGGAGGATGAACGCTCAATTCCTTCGCCATATTACCCAGCGTCGTTGTGGCAGCCAGTGGTGCAATCGCCCAAAACAGCTGCCTCATTCCTTTGGAGCTCTGCCAATGACAAGCCCGCTAGTCGATCTCCCGAGCCTCCAGCAAAGAATCTCCGCTCGGCTCTGCGACAAATTGGCGTTGAAATGATCCTCAGCAGTGGTGATTTGTGGTCAAAACCATCTCCGAATGTGCGATCCGGCAGTGTTTTGGTGCAAGGATTGTGGGCATCGGAATCAGTCCGAGCATCCACAGTCAAAGCTCGCCCCGTGACCCAAAGGCCTCCAAGAAGATCTAAGCGTATCACACTTTTAGCAGACATCGGTAAGTATTCATTGCTGTTATATTGCTCTATATAGAAATTTGTAGCTAACAATAAATAGTCGAGAACCCTGAACCTCTCCCTAACAAACGCGATACACTAGGAATATTTCAATTCCCATGGGGAGAGCGATCTGACACAGCCATGCCCCAACAAACCTACAACCCATTCTTCCAAACAGGACCAGCCTTGAACGCGGCCCTCGACTCAAGATCACGTCAATTGGAGCCTGACTCATTAGAATATTCATCTACATCTTTCTTTGAAGATTACGACGAGGAAGACGAGCTTGGCTCTGATATGACTTCAGAAAGTGAAGATGAGTTTGACGAGACCACTCTGTGGGAAATAGCAAGCATGCTTAAGTCCACTGATGTTCCCTCAAAGGACAGCCTCCTGCCACCGATACGGTCTTCGGAAGATATTGTTGATGATTACGATGATTATGAGACTAGCTCGGAGACTGATTTCAGCTCGGAGAACGAAGATTATGAGGAGTTTAATAATAATAATGAATATTATGGAGAATACAATGATGAGGTTAGAAACTCAACCATTATCTTTTCTCATGAAGACGACTTCAACCTAGATGATGAGTTTGTTCCCGGTATGGCAGCGCCAGTCGCCAACTTTGCTGAAGACAACTCCGAAGACTTGTTCATACTTTCAGGTGATTCACCTAGAGTTTTCGTTGAAGACCCGCTGCTTTGGGATAACAGCATATCGGCAGATACGAAGATATCTGAGTATGGCTTACCTCAACCAAGTCCTGATATATGGCAATCATATATCCCATCACCGCAAGGCACAGCTCGAACACAACCTCATCCACCGTCGCCGATGCAAAACTTCATGGGCCATGATCTTTGGACTAGCGGAGACAGTGAAGTTTTGGACGAAGAGTCAATCGCGGATTCTTACTTCGAGCCCGAGTCGCTACCCACAACTGTCAGAACCCTCATGTGGAGTTCCCCAGCGGTTTTCGTCGAAATTCCAGATTATGGCCTCTTTTCTGTAGAGGCTAGGCGCCAGAATTTCCGCTCAACTGCCGAAATACCGGCTGCGATCGATTTCAAAAAAATCCAACGGATGATCTCATCCCCATTACCTGTAATTTCAACTAAGACATTATGGTCACTAGCAGAGCTTGCGCAGCCTACCGGCAAAAACTGGCTATTGATCAGTGCGGCCAAACCGATTCCATCAAGAGCTGCCGATAACCGCAGTTTCCTATGGACCGCAAGTCCAATAGTCGCTGATGCTACCCGCGAGGGTCTATTTCAACCAAGGTCGTCTCGTTTGAATTATCGCAACACCGAGCTAGAACCAGCCGCATTGAGCTTGACCTCCAAAGCACGAAGTACGCCCGGAGCCCTTTCAAAGCTGGTATCAAATAGACTTTGGCGACGATCGTCTTTATTGCATCTAGAGAATCTAGAGCGTGATCACGATTGGATCTCAGAGTCGTCAATTCGACCAAGTAGTCCGTCGATAGCATCAGAGACAAGTTCTGGAAGATCATCTCCTGATATATCGGATGCATCCTCCATTGCTTCCACGAGTACCAAAGCATCATCACTGTTCTCTTTAGCTTCTATTTCAATGCGAAGAACGCTTTCAGCCAAAAAGAAGGAAGAGTTCATACCACCACCGCCACCTCCTATTGACCTAGCCAAGTATCAGTCAAAGCTGCCTGTTCGTCAAGTTTCTCTTAAACCTACTCTAAGATCTCTCCCAAAGGCTGCATCCTCAAAGCCACTCAGGCAATCGAGTGTTTTGTCTTACAGGGATATTTTTGAGGCAAACCTTCCCCTTAGTTCGGAAAAGCCTCAATTACCAAGATTTCGCAGATCTGTGGTGCCAACGAAGCTGATCAGGCCAGCCCACAGAGCTATTAGACATCAATATAGAAATACTACCGCATTCCGTGCCAACTGGGAGGATGCTTTGAATGGAGCTATCATTGCAGGGCTGCCTAGATTCAAAGCAACAGCTGCTGATTGGGACCTTGCTCTTAATGAAGCTGTAGCTCTTGGGTCGCTAAGCATCGAACCTCTTCAAACATCTTTAAACAGCTTGGCACCAGTTGCTGCAGAGGAGGTGCTGGGAGATATCGTAGGCCCAACATACTCCGCTGTGTATAATCCCGCAATAGTCCACCCAGTTTTCTTTACGAAAACCCTTGTCTCAGACGTAGACAGTATTCATCCTGCTGCTATCGGTCATACACAGCTCCTACGTCTCACAGCCAGTGTTAATGATTGGGACCGAGCGCTGGGAAAGACTGCTTCTGCTGAGAAAACACGAATGCAGCGACCTACTGCATTCGCGTTCATGTGGAAAGATGCCCTAAAGGAGGCTATCGCTGCAGGAACTTCTAAGGAGGTGAAGGGAATCAGTGTTATCGAGATTCAACAAAGTAAAGCGATGATGAAAGTCATTGACTATACAAGCTACAATGTTGCATCTCGTCATCCCGTATTCTTCACTACTACTCTCGTCTCAACCGCAACGGATATTCATCCTGCTTGTATCGGACATTGCCTTGTGACAAGTTCTCATCCAACGTCCAAATCTAGTCTCTGGACCCCAAAATTAGCGAGCATGACGTCAATTACAAGTATCGGTCTGTGGAGACTACAAGTTCCTGCTGTACAGACACTTCGGCCGAATTTTGAAGAGTTGGTCTCTAAGTCGAAACGAAGAGTTACGGCACAAAATATCATGAAATTGCCAATTCTAGAATCTCATGAGTTGTGGGAGCCATCTCCAGTCTTACCCGTCTCCAAAAAATGGCTTCATGCTTCAAGCAAGCCCAATGAAAACCGCAATTTCCTATTCCAAAAGCCTGTTATTACTGTTACCAAACCCACTGGTGGTCTCATGTGGGAACCGTCTTCAAGGATAATTAAGTCTACCCCAGATATGTTCGAGAGCATTAAGCATGAATATATTCGAAGAACCGCTGCTGCTCGTTCTTCTCCTCTTCCGTGCATTGAACATACCCAACTCTACAAAGTTTCAAACAAGAGTAAGCCCGAAATAAATTGGTTGAATGCATCCATCGCGACACGCATAGTCAAAGTTCAGGAAGCTCCGATAATGTGGACAGCTGATAGCTCATGTGCTCCGGACTTGTTCTCAAATATAACTCATAAACGTATCAAGAGGGTCCCTGGCACACGCTCATCTATTCTCCCACATTTGGAGTCCTCTGAGCTCTTCAGGCTTAAAGATAAATCGAGCATGGAAATTGATTGGCTACATTTATCTATCCCACCTATCACTACTATCCCAGGTGAATCTATGATGTGGACAGCATCTTCTGTGGTAACCACACGTACGCCAGACTTGTTCGCAAATGTCAAATTCAACCATGCTAGGAGATTCTCTGCCGTCCGTCCTTCTAATTTACCTCGTCTAAGCTCTACGGAGCTTTTCAAGGTGAACACTGAGAAAAAGATCGAATTTAATTGGCTACATGTATCTGTCTCTGAGCTAGTGATCGACGAACCTGTCACCAAACTCATAGCCATTGAGTCACCAGTTGTTGCAGAGCCTACATTCGAGGAGTTAATGGCTGATGTAGAAGCGCTTACTGAAGAGGAAATTGCTGAATTACTAGCAGCTGAGGAGTTCAAAACAGAAGAAGACACGATTGCAAAGCTTGTCACGGATGAGCCCCTAGTCAAGAATCAATCACGAGTTGGAAGTCTGTGGAGCCCATCACCAAAGGTCACAGTAGAAGAAACTAGCGGTACATGGGAAGTATCCTCATTGACTGCAATTGCTCGCCCCGACATCTTCATGAAGAGCGACATATTTTATCCCCATAAGTCGTCAACCTCTCCCCAGACGGTTCTTCCAAGACTCGAGTCATCAGAACTTTTCATGCCGAACTCCCTTTCTGAGGTTGGAACCGACTGGCTTCACAATTCCTGCTTTTCGTCCGCTTCGAGCTTAGCAGAAATAGTGACTCCAAAGGCTCCTGAAAATTCAGTCGACTTCATTCCATCTTCAACAGTCGCAAATTCAAAGACTTGGATACCCAAGTCATCACCTATAGCACAGGTCTCTGTGGAAGGTATGTGGATGGCGCCTATGGCAAGCAATAGTGTTGAGCTCCCTATGTTCTCTGAACCACGGACTCAATCTTTGATCCGAAGGAACATACAAGAAGTTGAGAAGAAAATCGAAAGTACCGAATTATGGACAAATCAGAGAAGCACTTCCGAAAGCCTCAAACACTGGTTGTTAGGCTGAACAGTAATGGGAAAGAATGATCTTGGATATCTATTGTACATTATGTATATTTGAGTTTGTGTACTATAATTTGTGCGCTTGGGATGGTTCTCTTTGTAGAACATGCGAGAGCGATGGTAAAACCGGGTGGTAAAGGTCAGGACGGCGTATAGTGCATACGGTGTAAGGAATAATGATACCCGCCAAGTATGTAGATATTTTACTCACAAGCCATTTCTGGCATTTTTCCTTAACTCTTGGAATATACGTTACCTTTATGCTATTCTGCCTCATTTTCCTGCATAGAACGATCCTCACGTGTATCTTGAAGACGTTACTTGAATCTTCTGCTTATAATGATCATATGTGAGGCTCACGATGCAGGTGGCTTTCTCGGCGCCGTTTCTCAATTGTTGAGGGTGAGGAGGGCGTTATCCACATGAGAAGATTGAGTATCAAACCCCTCATTTGACGCGGAACAAGCTGAGAAAAGCCTCATATTTCAAATCCACGTTGTTGCACTTTGAAATTTTTACATACCTCCAAACAATATAATTTTTTAGGAAAGAAGCCGAATTCTCATTCTACATGGACAGAATGCTTACACTTCATCTCTTTGCTTTTCAATTGGTTTTCTGAATGCGCCGTCCTTTTTTGATAGACCGTCTTAATTTGAGTCATGTGATAAAGTTTATGTAAGCAGGCTTATCTTAGATTGATCACACGCAAACGACGTTGAGTTTGTTGAAATCCAATTTATTGCAGCCCTCAAACATTATTTTATGACAGTGCTAAATACATTTTTTCACAATTAAAGTTACTTCCAAGAATTCCACCCACAAAATTGCCCATTTCACGCCTCAGCATGCTTGTCCTTTGGTGATTGCTGTACCCTCTAAGAATCGCCACAAATCTTTACAGCAATCCGCCAGACTTTTCTCCGTCTTCCACATCAACTCCTCCTCGGCTTTGTTCGCTAGTGCTACGCACTTTCCAACATCTCCTTTCCTTCTGCCAACAATATTGATGGGGATCTTATTCTGGGTAGCCTGCTCCATTGCATTCACCACATCGAGCACAGAGTATCCCTGGCCAGTACCAAGATTATAGACCTTGAAACCCCCGTTTGGTCGATTGCTGAGAGCTGCCAAGTGACCCCTTGCAAGATCAGTGACGTGGATATAATCTCTCACAGCCGTGCCATCGTGAGTGTCGTAATCATCACCATACACGTTCAGTGCAGGCAATGCCCCAGTGAGCACCCGCAAAACAACTGGCATCAAATTCGTGGCGGCAACTCGTGGGTCTTCACCCAACAAGCCTGATTCATCGCATCCGATCGGGTTGAAGTAGCGCAGTGCAGTGATCTCCCAATCGGGATCTGAATTGGCAAGATCACTCAAGATTGCTTCACACATCCATTTGGTACGTCCGTAGGGGTTTGTGAGACCTGAGCATCCTGACCCCACTACATATTCTTCTCGGAGTGGTACCCCACTGTCGGCAACTGTCCCATAAACAGTTGCAGAAGAACTGAATACCATTTTCTTAATTTCGAATTCCTGCAGAAGAGCACAGAAATCGACTAGGCCGCCAACATTGTTTGAATAATATTTCAGGGGCTGCTTTATACTCTCTTCCACAGCCTTGTACGCAGCGAAATGAATCACGCCTGAAATTCTTGATCGCTGACTATTGCAAAGGTCATCAGAACTCGAATCGAATCTCATTACGCTAGAATAGTCATATTCCTTGAGTATCATTGTCATCTTGTTGATGTTTCTAAAGTCCGCGTCGTGAAATTTGAGTGACGGTTTGTGTCCATTTTTGCCTTGAACACTATAATGCTGGTTGACCATCAACTGGAGTCTTTCAAAGACAGTGAAGAATGAGTTACTGAGATTGTCGACCACGGCCACCTACAGACTTGTTAGCTATTTCCCGGGAAATTTGGAGCAGTATCAATTACATTGTACCCGGCCTTGGCTAGTTCCCAGACTGTGTGACTACCAATGAACCCCAGACCACCGACGACCAATATCCATTGATCGTTAATCGCATTTCTTAATGCAAAATTGATATCTTCTTCATCAAAAATTAAGGATCTTTCTGTTAAAGGTGTACCAAGTGGACTACTTTCATTACCAGAAGAGAGTCGTTCGGGAGTGGAAGCTCCCGAATTTGTGGAAGAATTTGTCGAGCCAGGCATTTTTTCGGCAGAATCCCTGTAAAGATAAAGCACTTTATGTTGAATGCGTTGGTTTCAAGGCTTTGACTTCTTCTTATTATACCTTTTCACTGAAAGTCCTTTCAGCTAACTCGTATATAATTATAGTTTTGACACATTTTTCTTCTGGATCGCACTACTACCAAGACTTTGCGTGATTACATTGCGTGCCATATCGGGCCAGGTTCCAACACTGCTGAAGTGCAATTTCAAGCAATTCTTCTGGCCCGATTCAGCCGTTACAATACTTTCGATATAGGGCTTGAGGCTGCCTTCCTTCTTGGGGACATTTTGCGAAATCCTCAGAATCCCTTGAAAGAGAAGTTAGGTTGCAGCAGCCTAGCCGTGTAATTTATCCCATCATTTCTTCTTCTAATAGACAATGTTCTTCAAGAAAGCTAGGAAATCTAAGAAAGCTACTTCAATGATACCTACCAATTTGTCGGTTCTCATCCCTCTTTACATTTATCCCTCCCCAGGGGCTTGGGAACGGTTATTTCAAAGGTACGTCGGGAATTACTGTATCTAAAAATATCGACGAGGAGGCTGACTGAGGAATAGCATCACTACTTACCCGAGTATCAAGTTCATCGTCGTGGTAAATCCCCACAATGGTCCTGGTCAATCACTTGATAGTAACTACAGGAGAGAAATCTGCAAGTTGAACCAGTATCCTAACGTTGTGGTTGTCGGGTATGTCTCTACTGCATATGCAACCAGGCCATGTTCCAGCGTTCTAGAAGATGTCATGGTCTACGCGGGTTGGAGGCTTGAAGATGATGGGCTCGGCGTCCGAGGCATATTCTTCGATGAAACCCCGAACGAATGGACCACGTCAAATGCTTCATTTTTGGGAAATATCAACTCCGCGGTAAAAGGTTGTTCTGGTTTGGGTGTAGACCCTCTTGTACGTGTATATCCTGCAATATTTGCTACAAATTCTGACAATAATTTACCAACAGGTCATTCACAACCCAGGAACAATTCCACATTCAAGATTAATGTCTGGCACCTGTTTACCAGATATCAATGTAGTTTTCGAAGCAACTCATCAGACGTATCATGAAAGTGGTTTCGAGAAATCTCTCACGGATCTCGACGTGGATCGAGGACGGTTGGCATGCCTAATGCACTCTGTACCACATTCCTCGATGACTACATATTCTGACGTCGCGTCTGAGATTGAAAAGCTGAAGCAGTTTGTAGGGGTATTATTTATTACTAGTCAGGCTACAGATCTCTATACTAGTTTGGGGGATCATTGGGAACAATTCATCCAAGCAATTAGCCTTTAAGGAGGATCTGGAAGGGGCATCTCATCTCATCTAAATTTTCATTCTTGCAGACTGGGTATCAGGGTTTACACTTCGGGCTGCATTATGATGTCGGATTTTGCGGAGCATTTAGAGCGTTGGAACTGGTTATACATGTTTATGTCTTGCCAAGATAATTGAGAAAGTTTCGGGCCAGCGACGATCCTTCGTTTTATGTGGTGATTTGGAGGTTAAATTTCCCGAGAATATTTGCCGCTCAGTATGCAATGAGACAGCTACCCCTGCGCCTTCAACATGGTTGAAATCATCCCAATGGATAAGCACAGCTTGTTTGGCAAGAGCCAAGTAATATGGCAGAATGTCTTGACAAAATGCGCTTCGGCCCTTCTATCCCAATACAGCTAAATCAACTAGTCGTGGCATCATCGATGGCGATAAAAATAAGCGACGCTAAAATTATAAGATTCAATAATTTTACCGTTTTATTTCGCCATCTTGGAAGTTGAACCGGGCCAGGAACCCAGGAGCTGAGCTGTTGTGGTCGCATCTAGCCTGCAGCAATTCTGCAAATCATAATATCCTGTCTTGATACCCCGCAATCAGAAAGTATCTTTCGTGGCAGCTTGACAGGGTTAGGTTACGTTTTAGGTTTCAACCAGATTACGGTTACATCGCTTAGCAAAAATTGCTAGGTGTGCATCTGGTACTACCAATATACACCTATTTAGTAAGCAGAGACACCGGGGAAAATATTTCAAGGGCCGGTTAGTGCAGCTTCCACTTCGAGACATAGGGCTCATGCACATCATCATACCGACGCCTGCGCTCAATGATATCGAGCGAGAAGTTGTGTTCAAAAAGGAAGCTTCTATTTTGTATATTAAAATTTTAATGGCAGGTGAACCAACGGAAAATTTACATCCCGCGTAACTTTTGATAGTGTTTTCAATTTCATTCTTGAAAGTATGCCAAAAATAGTTTCTTGCTGCAGAAACCCTACTGGTGGTATGTAGGTTGAGTTTCTATGTGTCAAGAGTTGATGATTCGCGCAAGGATCCCCACACAGGTCCCATATTTTTCCCAAACATTGGGATAACGTAGGTTCGAGATTGATATGAAGGTTCGTATATCGTCGACATCTCCGCGTACCCATTTTTACAGGAAATTTTTATCACTCGTGGTGAAATTTTCACCCGGCCCATCCGATGCTAACACATGTTTCATGAACACAACTTTAAATATTTTATTAATATATTTGAGTTGCGGGAAAACAAGCATGTGCGGAGATTAATTGGTACACGATATCGTTCAGCCACATCGTATCCCCTTTAGGCTAAAGTGGTGGAATACACTCTGGACATACGACGCCAAGACCCTTTCAGCAGCTTTCTACCCAATCATCCAACTCCATCTTCTTAAGAATGGTGAAAAATCCATCCGCATGTATGTTTGAGCCATCGCACACATCCGTCTTTTCCACTTGACTAACCTTCGGCGCATCTTTGGGGTATTCAATATTGAATACGGGCTTACCACTGTCAAGGAAGGTTTGCCAAGTGTCACACTCTTGGTACTGCACGCACTGCTCGTTGACAGCGAACTGCACGTCGTCTAGCACGCGGTCGATGATCTCGCCAGCATTTTTCAGGCCGATCCCTAAACCCCGTCCGTGGGCTTCAGCCGCTAACCACTGCATGTATTCAACCGAATCATCTTTTGTTAGCCCGAGCCCGTTGTTATTGGAATAGCCATCGACGTTGTCGGGATCTACCGCATCGCAGGACTGATTGACCGCCAGGTCCAAACGGGATAGCATAATAGATCGGACATTTAATGAGGAGATATTCGCCCAGTATTCGTTTTTCCAGTCAGGGAGCTGCTTGCCATAATCCGAACGAATGAAGCGGTTTGCATCGGGACGGAATGTTTCGATGGTGCCGGCTGAGAAATAGCAGATTACTTTGTGTGATTTCGAATGTAAGGTACTGATTATTGGGGGCGTGGTATTGGCCGAAAGGAAGAGGTCGATGTCATAGATGGTTGTATTCGGATAGATATTGGTGGGATCCAGGGCCGATATCAGCTCAATGTTCCATGTATTGGAAGCGTTGAGATTTGGGGTCCAAAATGAGGTGTTGGTAGGAGGGATCGGTAATATAGGTGGGGTAGGACTGGAAGTTGGAGGGGAGGAATGGTGATGGCGTAGACCGAATGTGAGGCCTAGTGCCAAGGCGATTGCCAGCAGAAAGAGGAAAATTAAACCAAGAATAATATTGCATTTTCTCGTGAAAATCTTGTGCGGATTTGCAGGCTTCTGCCCTTTGGAAGCCATGGATGAATCTGTAATGAGCTTCTCGCTCGTGAGAGGCGACTTGAATATCCCTCCGGACGACATGTTGTTTATGCCTGATATCCGATACGATTTTACCAAAAAGGCAAACCGTCAAGGCAAACTACACAACCCCTGATGATGCGGTGGCAGGTCGGAGAAAAAAAAAAGATCAGGCTGAGACCCTGGAAATGAGGAGGATCAAACAAGAGAGGATTATCTTGGCGGGGCGAGAAAAGTTTTTACGCGAACACTGCGATAGCGACGTTTTCGTTGCATGGCCTCCATGTTCTGAGCTTGACGTTAAGGTGATCCTATATAGTAAAACCCACCGAGTGAATATTTGAGTAACGCCAAAAACGCCCCGTCTCATCCAATACGCACAGCCTCACTCATGCCGCTGAACAAGATAAAAACGAGCCTCCCTAGGTTCAATACGGAATGAAGTCGTAGCCAGGCTTACAAGATACCCCCCTCAATTGAATCGGAAGGAAACCAATTTCCAAGCTGAAAACGCTCCAGCTCCATTCGCCGAGCACTTCCGAATTTATTACTTCTGGTGTAATGATTTTCTGCTTAGGCCCATTCCTGTTTGTCTGTCTGTCCCGAAATCCAGTCACCAGAACCGAGAAATGTACGGCGTGTCATGTATCTCGAGTGTCTCAATACATTCATTATGGCATATGTGGTGCTTGGCGCAGACACGCTGAGAATAATGAATGGTGTTGTTATTGATATACGTACAGAGTCATCGTCAAAATACCAAGTCAAGCAAGGGAAACGCTTGGCTTTTACCTCCCAGAAACGGGAGAATCCACCCGGTGAAGTGATACGATTACAGAGCATGGATTTGATTTTCAGCACGTTTCCCTGCACTTGTAGGTAGCGTTTCATTAGGTAGGTAGGCAGGTAGGGTAGATGTTGGATATGTAGCATGTAGCTTATATTATGTGCAAGTAATAATACCCGAAGCGTTGGCGCCTATTACTACATTACGATGATGCGATGCTTGGGTACATACATTACTGTACATTGTACATCGTATTTTTTTTGTTTTTTTGTTTTTTCATGTATCAAGATTCAAGTGCTGTCATACCTACGTATATGTAGGGTAACTAGGTAGGTAATGAATACGACATTTGCGTGGCTATGCAATAATTTCCACGCACGGGAGATAGATGGGAAGAGAAAAGCGTCAGTCTGTCAGATAAATCATAGCGTGCGTGCATTTATCTGTCTAGGCCAGCGAAGCCAACAAGACCCGTAAGGGCTAGAATGTTAGAATCTCACACACGAGACGGTATGTACTATGTATGCGGCACTGTAGCGCCCAGAAAAGACACCGAGGTTTGCGCGTATCTATGCATACCTAGGTAGCTGCTCCATACATATTCGTATAAGATAACTTAAAAAATATTCACCGAGGTGTCAAGCAAGCAAGCGGTGTAGTTACTAGTTACACTTTTCTATACCTAGGTATTATTGTTTACCTTTTTTCTACCTCCGTATGCTCCTCGTGAGTCGTGAGTCGTGAGTCGTGTGTATTATGTAAACAATAAAACAATAAACAAGAAACACTAGCAGCGCACAGATATTTTCCTCCCCCATGCAAATTTAAGGTACATACAGGGAATATTTTGCGCAAATTAAAAAAAAATTGGTAGCGGCGGCTCATGTTTATACGTAAAGTGGTATCCACGTAATACGGGGGCGGGGCGGGGCACGGGATCAGGATAAGGCGCTTTATTAGTAAGCTAGGCGAGTTTTTTTTTTTTTTTTTTTTTTTTTGCGGGGGATTCATTCGGGTGTTGGTTGTGATTATGGTATGGCAATGGCATGCATGTATGATTTAGAATTTTATATGTAATGTAACCCGAACGTTCCGGGGTTTTGAGATTCATTTCTTGGTAGCGAATTAAAAATATTTAAGAGAGGGAGGTAATTTGGAAATTTGAGAAATTTAACAAATTGGGAAATGAAAAAGTTATGTATGCTTTTTGGCGCATTGTTGGAGCAGAACAAAAGAATTGTTGTACGGTCACGTTCACGCGGTGGATGGTTGAAAAAAAAAAAGAGCAGATTAGACGCCAAGAAATTATTGTGATTGATATATGTATGACAATTGCATTTTGAAGCTTTGCCATCAATTTTTACCCTGAGATAAAAAAGCCCCATTATCTGAACAGTGATAATCCCAATTCAAGTATGTAAAAAAGAACAAAACTTTTGATTCAAAGTTCGGGATAGCATAGAGCGTATCCATTGACAAGAAGAGAATTTTATTGACACAAGGTAAAAGTACTGATAGTGAGTGCTCTTTTTTGCAGCTCCACTTCTCAGACCAAAATTATTCTTGCTTTTCTGTTAGTGAGATTGGAGCTACACTATTGGAAGTGGAGTGCTTAGAGTAAAGCTGACGGGTGAGCCTGACAAAGTGACCCACAAAGTTGTAGGGTCACTGCCAATCTGCTCGACAGTGGCTCCTTGCGTGTCGGTGACCGGGCCAGGAAGCGTGACAGGAATTGGCGTTGAACAGGTGTCACCGTTTGCGAAGAGCGTGAAGCCAGTGATTGATGAGGAAGTGATGTCGAGTTGATATGACAAGCTGGCCCCACAAGCGTCTCGGGTCATGCGGTTGAGAAACACGGCAGCAAGCTAATTCTTGGTCAGGACAGATAGATTAAACAGCAGCTTTGAGACTTACATCATCATGTTTATAGGAGATAAGAGGCCAGTCAACCCTACATCATGTCAGTGCTGAAAGTATTACAGCAGGAGTAAAACTCACAATCGAACAAATTCTTGCGTCACAGTCTCAACCCAAGCCATGAACAGCGAGAGTTTTGCCGTCACTCCATTTATAGTGTATGTTGCTCCTCCATTGTAGCGCACTAGAACACCAATGCGTTAGTAAGTGTCGATTTTGGAGATTTTCTATGGGCACCACATCGAGCCAAACGGGGAAAGAGAAAGGATGAACGAAGAAGGATTTAGGGCTAAGGCTTACAATTGGCTTGATGGAACCTGCTTCAAATTAGCTAATGTGGATGGAAGAATGGGGTCTGGGGCACTCACATGAAGGCATCGTGGTGAAGACCCAGCAAATGCCTGACGTTTGTCTGTTTCTCGATCTCAAGGAGAGTGTTAATATCACCCGATCCGGCACTGGTGTTGATCCATTCCAAGACAGTACAAGCAGGCGTGTCACACTAATTGCTGTCAGATATTTACATTCTCGAAATGACCAAATCGAACTTACGTTGTAGTAAATATTAGTCGCCCATCTAGGAGTTATCTGAATGCCGGCAAAACCGTTAGCTGCAACAGTAGTGAACAAAGGCCAATGTTCATTGTTCTGTGTCCATGTTAGCAAAATTCAAATAGATCTTGGGTGAAGCAAGGTGCGTGGAACATTTGAAAAGGCCGCTCCTCGAAACTTTTTGGACAAAGTAACTTACAGGGTTTAGAAGTGCCGGTCGAGTGTTATCTCCAACTACATGTGTGATACCATTGTCACTCCAAGCCCTAAGCGCATCTCCGTTATGAAGTCCTGTGATGGCGGGCGGGATAAGTCCTGTCGAAGCAAACTTTTCGGCATTAGCAATTCCAGTCGCAGCGAGCCAGGCCTGGTTCCAAGTGATTTCTTTATATACATCGGAATATGTCGCATTATTTTGATCCTCATGAGTGAACGTGTGGGATACGTGTGCATAAGCATTAAGATTAGAGGGAGTAGTCCACCATTGGAGCAAAGGGTCCTTGTCCATGCACGTTGAGCTGTAATTGGGATAGAGACCCGCTGTGGAAGGCCAGATATTGGTTCCCGTTCCAAGAGGCTTGACCCATTCCAGCGGTGTATCTATCTGTTCACCATACTCAATAGGTCCAGGACTACAGGTCTAGGTTGCATAAGTTAATTTTGCGGAACTTAAAAGAGAAGTCACAAAACCGAAAAGAGCACTTACTTTTCCACCGTTGTTGAGTTCATCAGATTTTTCGATGTTTCCGTTGCCATTGTGACCAACTTCAATAAACCAGTTGCTTCCAGCATTTAACTTGGAATTGATCGTGCGCATAAAAGTAATATGTTGTGCCAAATCATCCGTGCCAATACGGTAGGTCGTTCCAGTGGGCGAATAAATGTCTGACTCCAAAAACATATCATCAATCTGTGTAGGTAATAGTGCTCTTCTGTATCCAGTATAAAGGCCTCTTGTACCCCAGTCGATCCAAGCGTGTTGCAACCATACAGAGGTTACAGCCCAATCAGTGGAGAATGGAACGTAAAAGACCATTTGTTCTCTGCCATCAATGTTATTAATGACGCCTGCTGTGCTCGCAGTAGTAAATTGGCCATCGGAGGAAGCACCAAGTTGTAAAAACTCTTTTGCCAACGTGGAGTTTATAATTTGAGTAGGATAGTGATAAATTCCCTTGGTACTCATGGTAGCACCTGTTCTGAGTCCCGCCTTAGGGAATGCCGAGTTATCGGAAATGTGAACAAGCTGCTCAACACCATCACCGCAACAAGCTCCTAAAGCCTGTGTACCAAAGGCAGCGGACGGATAAGAGTCAAGCCTTACCATCCGAACTCGGAAGGAGACTTGGTAATTGTAGAGTGCTTGCCATTGATCGGCTGTTAATGCACTTTGGTATCCCAAGCCGGTGTAGGAGTAGCTCACTTCTGACATCACAACGATGAGGCCATAATTGCCTTGCGTTTCTGAACTGTTCAAGGCCGGTAGTGCTACACCAGCTGCAGGAACAATCAAGGTTTCATATGGAATTCCTCGATCATTAAGTCCACTCCAAGCAGAGTATGCGGAGACTGTATCCCGTGCAATGATAAGAACTTTACTGCTGACAGTATCAACTGCATCGACAGCTACAAGCTCTGCCTTAGGGGCTGTGGCAGCTGTGGTATTGGCAAGGACAGCTACCTTTCCAATGGATAGTGTAGCGAGAGGTGCTGCAGGCACTGTCGATGTCATAATAGCCTGACCATTGGTGATTGCAACTGATTCTGATTGTGGCCCATTAGCCGCGGCAGCGGAGTCTCGGCGATGAACCCGATGGCCAAGAGCTGCATCTAAGAACAAGCTCAAGGGAAGAATATGGGTAACAAGGTGGTACAATAACAACATTCTGAATGTTCAAGAAAGCGACAAATATTATGAAGTTCAGAACTCAAAGTTCGCTATAACGAGTGTTATCTGGTTTCAGAACGAGGGAAGAATGAGAAGTTGTATGGCGATAGATATCGTGAAATGAGGGGGTACTTGCCCCGCCTTAAGAAGTAAAATAAAATGAAGCAGTGAAATCCAAGCACGCAAAAGTCTCATGTCACTTTTGAGTAAGTACCGCATGGAAACTATTGAAGCCGCGCACAAGTTCTGACGGCCAAGGACAACGTTACCTGCAACACAAAACCATAGCTTCTATGGTCTTTTCCACCAAGACTTCGTACACGAGCTTTAGAGGCTGACACGGGATCAAAAGCAGCCGTCTATGGTTCGATATACTCCTCATGAGGCGAATAACATGCAACGGAAATGAGATAGGAAGGAAGATACATGAAAAAAAAAACAAGGATGTCTACTAGAACACGAAATAGCCGACATGACAGCAGAGAAGGGCTGAATTCATCTAATGCACATAGATGTAATGGGGAGCTGAATGATGCGTAGTATGAAGAATGATGGTCGAATATGAACGAAATGTAACTGCAGCACATATTGCCCTAGGGAACGATTTGGGAGCCTATTCCATTCAACAGCAATCCATGTGTAAAATACCAAGAGTGGTCGACTGTAAGGCTTATGGAAGGATCACTGGGAGCAGCAGTAAGCATGCTAACTTAACGAACACTTGGTGCAGTATATACGCGAAGGATATTATATCAAAGTCGAGATGAGAGTGGTCCAAGTGATTCCTTGGGAAGGAACAAGCTCTCGGAAAAGCCTCGGAGAGCCAGGCCTAATGAGGCTAAATTATAACCCTTTACGGACTAAATTCAGATAAAAATGGAAATATGGAGAATGCAGAAAATACAGAAAATAAATACGGAGCATAGCATGGATAAACTTGGAAGCTTTTTTTTTTCACAGACATCCCAAGGGTACACTGTAGAAGTGTGGGGAACTAGTACTATTTGGGACACCATTACGAAAAGGATTTTCCGTCCCGAAGCAAGCCGGTTAAATATCCCGGTTGTTGAACAAACCTGGATCCATCCATCGTCGCGAGTAATTTTCAATTTGTAACACATCTAACCAATACTACACAGCAGCTCCACCTGAAACAAAAAGATCATACGCTTTATTTCCTCTTTACCATTCAATAAAGCCATTTCATATTTCCCAAATTTCATGTCAACTCTCTGTAGCACAACATCTGTGATCGCCACATGCCCAGCGCATCCTTCATAACGAACATGCATGTGGCAACATACGAAGCTGAGCCTTGGGTCACCATGCTAAATATATGCTGAATCTAACAATTTGTTCTTGTCAAAGTTTGAACCCTCGGGTATTGGAATGTTCTATTGTCCTTCTGCGGCATACAATGTGTGGCATACGATGTGTACTTCTCCGTGCATATGGCATCATTGATCATCCAACGATCTACAGCTATCAAGCGCTCCCCAAAGAGTTCATATTTTGATTTCTTATGAATTTTGGATCCTGCAGCAATGTTCGCGTTGGATAGGACTTTTCCTACATGCAGTGCAGGGCCACGTGTTTATGGTTTTGGGGTTCAAACTACGAGTTTCTAGTTGTCATCGTCCGTATCTGCAAACTACGTTACAAAACGAAACTTTTGGTACAAAGAAGCCCAAAGAGCGACTGTAGCAACCCTGACTGACAGTTTCCCATTACGGACGCCAAGGATTTGAGATCCAGTGTAGTTGCGAGAATAGAATTTCGCAAAAAATCCTATTCCTGGATAACTAATTACTCTCCGCGCTATGGAGCATGGGCTGAAAATTCCCAGCAAAAGTATACAAGCGAGGAACCTTCGCAGCTACCTAGACCTACATAGGGATGCCCAATATCTTTGTATTCTCGGCGTCGTCCACCGCCCGCACCATCGTACTGAAATCTTGTTCTAAATCTGGCTATTATTATGTCGGGATATGCTCCCCGCTGTTTTTTCCTATGTTTTATTTTCCTTGACTTGTAACGTTTACTTTCACTTGCCGCATGTCATTCGTTCCCATTCACTTTCGTTCTCTTTGAAGGACTCTACGTTCTTTGGTCTTCATATCACCCATGGCTCAATACACAGGCCTTGAAGCTGCTTCTTGGAAGGACTTAATTAGAGATTGGTGGCAGTTTGTAAGCTTTCGCATACGTGTAAATATGCGCCCTACTAATGATCAAATAGATCCTCATTGCATTTATCCTTGCCTCTATTGGTCTTGGCCTGGGCTTCATCTCTTATATCGCACTCCAGAGTTCACTGAAAAGATACCAGGTAAGTGAAATATGAAAGACTATCTTCATATCTGGTCGCAGGTTTAATGATTTATATCATCATTATTTGTAGTAACAACAGGTTAATGTAGAATTGGAAATCCGCGAGAGCCGCCGCAGTCCCCGCGTCCATCAAGAAGTATCTTGCCAAGACTTACGGAGAACTATCACATCATAAAATCGTCGCTGTTGAAAAGAAGCCTGAAAGCTTTGGAGTATATCTGGGGTCGTTCAATTATACACCAACAGCTGATGAACTGCGATTGTTAGCACAATGGGATCTTCTTGTTGTCGATGCCTTTCAAGAGAACATAAATCATGTTCTTTCATGTGGGCTGTATCATAAGCCGTCATTAGTTCTAGCAAGACTCGATTTAAGCACTATTGTCCCGCATCAATGCAAGGTGTCAACAGCACTCGAAGGTGCTATAGAATGGGTCGCTAAGCTGGTATCTGCATCAACAGCATCGGGAAGTGATTGCCATTTTTCTGGAATTCTGATCAGCAACTGGAACGATCGATTACCAAGCCCAGTGATTATCGAATTCATTGCCTTCGCTCACAAACTTGGATTCCAAATCTACCTTGAAACATCTTCGCCTGGGTTCCTACGTGATCCCAAATTGGCAGAACTAGGTGAAGTGGCGGGATTAATAATCAGAAATGGCACGATATCGTCAAACGGTGACGAACGGGATGCATTTCAGATGCAGGAGATGAGGCCCACCATAAAAGCTTTCGTTTCTCAAGCATGCCTCAGACCTTTCGTGGTCTGCTTGTGGGAGACTTTGGATGACGGGGTTAATCCCACTAATGCCGTTGTTAGGAGATCATACCAGTGGTCAAAATTCTATAGCGCCCTATCACCATGGATTGGCTCAATGGCCGATTTGACTTCAACAACTCATGGCATAAACCGGAAGGAACCTCTGGGGGCATTTTCTTGGCTCAAGGAGCCGGGGGTGATGAAAGCGCACAAGCGATGGCGTCTGAACCATACTGTAAGGACAACACTCCATATACTACCTATGGGCCATGCACTCTACTTATGATTCCTAAACACCGCTCAATAATATCCAGTGACCTTACTGACCTAGTTTTAGATTGCTAGCGAATATGTACAGGAAATATCGCGCCTAGCTGGAAATCTTCTTGGCGCCCTTTCCATTGAGGTCGACCTCCAGCCATCGGGCAAATCTACCCAGCTACCATTTGTCGACATAGACCTTGAATTGCCTGCAGGTAATCTGCAAGTACCTTTGGACTTACCTGCAGATTCCTCTGAGGGCGACCTTCCGGGATTTTCAAGTAGATCTCTCACGCCGACAGGGTCATTTTTATCGATTCCCGCCCAGAACCGCAGATTCTCCGATGGCCCATATTCCTATCTCAGCCAAATCCCCGGAAATCCAATTTCAACATCGCCTACTGGATCTTCGAATGACTTCCTTGGGTGCTTCCCACTTGGAGTATATGCTTCTAGAAAGTCTTTTGATGATATCCTCCAATCACAAAAAAAACTAAAATCTCTTGATCTTCTCGAATCCGTAGAAAATACCGTGTTGAAGGACATTGGTGCAAAGTTAAACCGGTTTTGCGATGAGCAAGACACAATTGAGCTTTCACCATGGCATGCAGCTATACAAGAACTTGCGAACCAGCTTTGTGGTTTAGCCGATGATTCTGCAACCACAGACTTGATCAGGGTGTACAAAGGGCTCGATTCGGGATTCCAGTTTCAAGATGGGGCTCGATACTGGGCGGTATTTGCGTTTGAAGAACGCGCCATGCTTGACATTTTTATGTCAAGAAATGTTCAAGATCTTAGTGGAACAATCCTGCATACATTCTTATCAAGTCGGGGCTGTCCCCGTCATGAATCATTTGAAGCAGAAAAGGAGTTTTGGCAGTGGTCGACACGTTCAAACTCTTACCTTTCCCCGCGGTTGCTCAATGACATAAGTTCACTTTCACCATCAGAGCTACTCAGATTCGTCCAAATATTGCAGATATCGTCAGTCAAGGGTCATGGAGATTTAATCGATTCTATAATATTTGCTTGCGAGAGACAGCTATTAGATGCCGCAGATTTCACTCAGATGAAAGACGCCTGTTCAACTGGTTACCTAGGAAATCAAAAGTCTCCGCAAGACCTAATAGCATTGAGAACAAAATGGCATGAGGACAATAACTCACAGCATCCTTCCGAGGAAAATTCACTGGACGTCTTCCAGCAAATCAACGACTCAATTACCATTGTACTGAAAGAAAGGAAGTTGGATACTCTTCAAGTTGTTACGAAGACCTTAATTGAAATTCTCGAGGCCGAAAAGATTGATGCTCGCACTGATGTCATTTGCCTTGCTTTATTTTCTGCATTTCGAAAACATGCTTTCGAGGAAGCATATGTTGAGGTAACAGATAGGAACACCTTATTCAACGATCAGAGTGATCAGGCAGCTGCCTTTGCGGAGCTCTTTGCAACGGGCGCTCGATGCGAATCTTACTTCGATATGACCCCAAGTGCCTTTGGTAAATTACTATCAGATCGGTATCGGGCTTGCCATCATCAACCCGGCCGGGAGCCTCCAATATGGTCTGATGACGACCCATCAACACCGTCAGCTTATGCGGCAGCAAAAATTGATATTGGAGATTTCAAGAGCAAGCCCTTATCCGGAGTAATGAGATTTACCTTTCTAAGCGTTTTCGCAATACCAGCACTTGTGGATATTCTGCTGTTGACAAGTACCGGGAAAGGCCTCTATTTGAGTGGGCACATGAGCGACACGGCTCAGCACTCTGCAACTATGGCTTTGATGATCTCTCTTTTGATATCTTGCGTCTGTGGTACATGGATAACTTGTGGTGGTGCTTATTATCTGATTTCTATGGCCTTCTCAGCAATGAACATGTTCGTGGCGACGAGACTGGTTGGTGGTTTTGCCTTTTCACTCGTTGTTGGCTTGATCGGTTTTATCGCCCTTGGTTTCAAAGACGGCATCGTTGCAGGAGTCGTATTTTTCTTGTACTTGATTGCAATGAGCACTTACTTGTCACTGCTGGCAACTTTGGCTAACTTTTCTTATCCTGGTACCACTTTTCAATCTGGACGTCCAGTAATCCTCACGATTCTTCCTTTATTATTCATCTCCCCAATCACGACAATCTTCGCTCCTGGTTATGACATATATATCTACTTATCGGTTTTGTATGTCTTCATTTTTTCTCTTGCTTTGGGAACTCGACATATCGCATCGAAATGGACCACGTGGCATCAAAAGATTGAAAATATTAGCGACAAGGCTTTGAAGGAATGGTATATCAAGGCACATAAAGGGGGTGATGATCATGCATTCGACAGGATGACCGATCCAGCGGCTCTAAAGATTTCAAGAACTGCAATGATCGAGGAAATAACAAAAGTACGAAGCGGCTTTCTGCACAAATGCCAAGATCCTACCGTCAAATCTTTAGCGGAAAGCTACGATGCAACGATCTTTCTATTGCAATGGTATTCGGGCTACTCAGGAACGCCACTACCAATGCCATATTCATCAACTTGGAACATGCAAATCAAGGTTGCGCTTGATACTCTCAAGCAGATGCAAACAGGCCTCAGACTACATAATGCTTTTATACACTGGCGCCAGGCTGGTGATGAGGTGAGTCGTATTTTATCTGCTTCTAATCATAGAATTACCTAAGATAAGCACTAAAACTATACAGGTTGGTTGTTCTCTTCTCTACTTCATCGTAGCACTTCTTGATAAATGGAACTCTCTTCTTGCTGGTGGGCGCCTTTTAGGACTAGCGGCCCAAAACACAAGATACCGGATGCCCGTTGGCTTTGCTCTGGCCTATTATCTGATTGGCGCAGTTCTTCTGGATCTGAATGCTACGAAGCTCCATACTATGACGGCACAGAGTCAAAACATGTTAATTGGTGATGTGTCTTCAATCAAAGACGCCGTTAATGCTGGTGTCAAGGCTCGGAGGCACTTATACTGGACGATGTTGGCGCGATTTTCCTTATTTCATGTTTGGAGTTTGGCTGTAGCTTCTACTCTTCTTTGGGTATTTGACAGCACAAAGGCCTCGACGCTTCTTTTTGTTGCATATATCGGGGCATATACAGGTAAGTAAACTACACATTATTCAAAACCTCTGCTAATAAAACTTCGAAGGTTTGCTATTTTATCAGGTATGTTTGTTCTCGAGAAGAGCTACAATCACAATTCACTAGTTCATATCAACTAAACTACTATTAGTACACAAAGATTTTCACAGGCCCTCGAAGTCTCAAACCTCTTTTGGTTGCTGTTTGCTTGGGTCTCCCTCTCGGACAAATTCTCCGACATTTTTTTCCGCAATTTGAGTATTGCGACGTGGTAGCACTTGCAGCAGCTACTTGGACGGCAGCATTTCTCTCTCTGTATTATGCAGGTATCAGGATAAAACCAGTCGATACTATGGACTCGGAAGGTCGTGTTTGGAATAAGATATCACAAGACAGATCATTCCATGAATTTACAAGCCCAGGTCGAGACTTGTTACTATCTCAGGACGAACTTCGCATCACTTTCGAAAACCTGAATGCCCTTAGCGACGACGAAAAGTATGAAGTCGAACCTATGGCCCATCCAGGTTTAGAGATTAAGTCGATCCTGCATCATGCTATTGAAATATTTGAAGAGATCAAAGGAAGTTCGGTTGATTCAATCCCAAAGTTCGCTCTGAGCGCATTTCCAGAGGCGATAATGCTGTTGACGGAGGCCATCGCAGCGTTTGACAGTGGGAAGGTTGTGATCGAATGTGTCTCCATGTCTATGTTCTCTGATGAATTCAAGGACCTAAAAGCAATCAGCTGCGATTCAAATGATTCAATAAGGGTCATTGTTGGTTGCGAAGCAATGGATGCAATGGAACAGCAGTCAAGCATCAGTATTTTCTGTCAGACGTAAGTTCAATTCCTGTTTTGGCAGCAAAAGTTTTCGGCCTGTTTTTCCCGTCACTCTATAATACAAAAACAAATGGTCCTGACCTGGAGTAGCACCGCGGAAATATTGCTTCATATAACTGCCGAAAGCCTTCAGAGCCTTTCACACGAGGATGCTACACTGCTAGAATCTTTAATATCTTCTATCTCACCGTCCGGTCTATTGGAGCACACCCTTATACCCCAGAGTCTACGGAACTTCTTGAACTTTTCAAAGCCCTCGCGAGCACACGCAGAAAGAATTGCAGCATATTTCCAAGAAGAGACTCTGCGTCATACGGCAATTGGATGCAATCCAAACATCGATTGGGAAAGTCTACCTACGGAGATCCGAGAACTCATTCTCGATAGATGCACAGGCCAGGTTGACACATTGACAACCGATCAGCATAATTGGTTACGAACGAACAAGCTTCAGGGCTTGTCTTTAAATACATTCATGGCTCGTCGTAATTTCGGTGCCTTTGTTGCCATGGAAAAGAGAAGATACACATTAGAATTCGCGAAAACAGCCCCAATAGAAAGGCCTGATAAGTACGAGAAGTCCAATATGATGAATTTATTCAAAAAAGCTCGAGCACGGAGAGGGCCATCAAAGTTACTCAAGCGCCAGTTGAAGTCGCCGTTCAGCAAAGTTTATCATACTATTGGTCACTGTATTAAGTTATTTGCAATAGCATTTGTGGCGGAGCCGGAATTACAAAGAGAGCTGGACTATACCATGAGGTCGACTCCGAAGTATATACGACCAATTGTCATGTTCTTAATAACAGGCATCTGGTCATATGCTAAAATTCTGCAGGACTTGTTGATGCCAATGTTCTTGCTCCATGGGAGAAAGAATGTAGAGACTCTCTGGAAACAAATACGTGGAACAACTGTATCTTTGAAACGGCAGAAAATAATGATAGAGAGCACCGGGGGATCTTCCACCGCATTTGTTCGAGTTCCGGACACTGCAAGTATTGCAGGGGGCCAACTCACCGGCAGTGCTGTGGAAGATACTGATGCTGTTCAAGAATCCTTACTAGGTTCTGGCATTTGCGAGCTCCGCCAGTATAGTGGCGTCCTGGATCAAGAGCCAGCTGACGGAGCTAAACTTGAGCGCATCAGCATTTATAGCAAGGATCTTCTTCTATTGCGCAGAGAAGACTACGTCAAAGGGGCGAGGACTAACGTTTACGAATATGAGTACGACGCTGAAAGTATTCCAAAACAAAAAATCATGAAAAGCCGTCCTCGCTATCCGATTTCGCGGCGTTGCGTTGAAGGGAAGAACGAATTTGAGCAAGTGTCTTTTAACAATCAGGGTCTTGTCCAAAGTGGGTCTTATATTCTTGATGGGAATCTGGTGCGCTTCAATTGCCATTATAGACAAAACAGCAATTTTGATGATGAGTTGTTGAGAGCAGAGTTCGTTTTACCACATATGTTCTGCATGGTTTCGTGGGCAGCGCCTCCTACAAAACATCAAGACAAATTGGACACGTGGATACCCCATTCGCAAGTCATCGAGGCTACATTTGTCATAGGCCCCGATGTATATGAGGCACAATGGTCCTACGATCATAAATACCATCCGACCATATTTACGACGTTGAATGGCGAACCTGTTGAAACGCCGGCTCTAATACAGTGGGATCATCTCGGAGTCCTCAAAAAACCTACAAACTTTACATTTCGTCACGATGATCACATGATCAGTTTCAAATCATTCCGTTCACATGCTGTTCCCAGATGGCTAGGTAGGAATACCCATCAAAATCCAGTCTCTACTTCGCGAGCTAGGTCGAGATTATGGCAAGGATGGAAAAACAATTCTGCTTTTGATGGTGTGATAATGAGATGGCTCGATGAAAGACTTCTTCGACAAGAACCATTGCTGCGCCCGTATTTCCGGAGGCGTGATCACGGCAATCTCCAATTCGGGCTGAAGAATATTTGCATGAGAATGCAGATGCAATTTATGGCTGTCATCGATCTTGATAAAGCTATTTCGGGATGGGCTCCACTTGCATTTCAAATCGCTGACTTGTACGCATTCGGACAAGGAGAGTTCTGCCAATGCTCGCACTAGATCCCGCTCCGGATTTAAAGAGCGACGAACTTCATGTCCTCGCAGCAGACTCTGGAAACATGGCCAAATGAAGGAGGCGGAGTGTCTGCATGCCGACGAGACATGGTGAACAATCTCAAGGCAGCAAAGTGGTATATGATCTCAGAATCGGCGAATGATTTTGGAGTGCCTAAACATCAAACACAGGAGAATGTTCAGACACTCAAAGTCATTCCAATCTGGGGACTTGACTTCATGACACCGACCCATGGAATTTTCAGAGATCGGTTGGATTCGGAAGTCATACATGCTGTTAGAGATGCGACAAAGTTAGACATTCAGAAGAATTTTGTCCCGATCCTCAAAGCGCTAGTAAAAGGAGCTAGGACAAGTCAGTATTCGAATAGTGACATTCTACAATCAACTCGAGCTCTTGTAAACCTAAATGCATATTTCTCCCAAGGAAAACACTGGACGGGTGTTTGGAACAGTAGGATCGTTAAAAATGCCTGGCGAAATCTATGGATCTCACAAGATCTTGTGAGTCCTACGCCTTCCGAGGGTTGGTTTCAGACTGAAATACCCACGATAGCGCAACTTGATGCCGCGCTTGATCTCTGGTTCCGTTACTTATTCATATTTTCCCTTCCCATGCCTGAGAAGATTCCAGCAATCTTCCAAGCTTCGCATCATTCAGTAAGCGCTTCCTATGGGGTTGTTTGCAAGATTACTAGGGGAAGCACGTTACAAATTTGGGACCACGCTATCAGCTGGCGTGAGACAAATCTCTACCTCTCCTCAGATCTCTGTTCTCTGCCACCATTTGTTAGAAATTCGTTGCTCGGACTTATGAAGCTCACGAGTCAATTGACACTTCACCATGCGGATGTTATTCTACCTTGCGCCGACTTCTTCAACCCTGGGTGGGAAATAGAAATAGGGTCGCATCAAGGCAAACTAGAAAACCGAAATATTTTCAAACGCAAAATCGATCCTGTCGTTAATGGTATCCCTCCCGCGGATATCTCGAAATTCAGTCCAATCAAGGAGACAACCTCGCCACTACCAACAGTCACAATGCTTTCTCATGTCTGGTATGCGAAAGACATTAAGACAGCTATTCTAGCTGCTGATATCATTGTCAATGTGTGGGGATTCAAAGACTATCGCCTCGATATTTACGGCGCAATCGATAAAGCACCGCAATACTCAACAGATTGTTTCGAGATATTAGCATCCAAATCACTCCCTGGATATGTCAATTTGTGTGGAACTGCAAGTCCAACTGAAGTGCTAAAGAAGACTTGGGTCTTCCTCAATTCCTCTATCTCCGAAGGTCTTCCTTTGGCACTCGGAGAAGCTGCACTGACTGGTGCGCCTGTCGTGTGTACAGATGTTGGAGCTTCGCTTCGAGTACTCACAGATTTCAATACTGGTGACTGTTTCAGCGCAGTGGTAGCTCCCAATGATGCGCAAAGTCTTGCAAGAGCACAGATCAACATGCTTGCCCTTTTAGACGAATGGGCTCCTTATGCAAATGATCCTCAAGGATACAAACCTCCCTCTATCATCGATAAACCTACTCCTGAAGAGGTCGCAATAATCACGAAACGAATGTATGAAAAGAAAAGCGAACTCCGAGCCCTCGGAATGCGAAGTCGAGAAATCGTTCAGAAATCATTTGGAGGTAATAGATATCTCAGAGAGCACGAGCAAATGCTCTGGATTGGAAAATCTCGTTACGATATGAAATATCCATCGAGAAGCCAAAGGCCAGAATTAAGACCAGCATTGCCATCGCTTCCGGTGGGAAGTCATATGTGGGGACAAGCATCTGTGCCATCTACACTACAAGCTCGACCTCAACGACCATCCATCTTCCGAGGATCCAGTATCTTAGCACGTTCCATGCAGGCCTCGACGGTTGTACCATCCCCCGGCGGCGAAAGACCTATATCTCTCATGGGTTCCAGCAGTGGTATTAAAGGCATCCAAAACATCAACGATTACTTCACCGGCTATCGACCAGGCGATAGTAATATCTCCACTCCTGATTTCCGTTTCCTGACACCTCCCGGTCTTCATACGCCCGGAACCAGCTCTACCAGAAGCCAGTCGCCGATGCGGAAAGGAGCATCTGCACGTCTTACAATGCTCTCTAGAGGCAGCACTAGTTATGATACTAGATCTGAGAGCTCATCATTCATGGTACCATCTAAACAACTACCGGGAGAAGATTCATTTCTTCGTGATCTAGACACGGCTCTTGAGCGCGTGTAGGTTTCTTTTATCGTCATTTACCAACCATGCTTGGTATCTTACTCACATAACTAGCATTGCATTTCACACGGATTTCAATCAAAAGTTTATCATTTTTCATGTCATTTAAATTTACGATCTCAGGGGGGTTTTTTGGGTTAATGGATATATTTCTCTTTTTTTAGTAGCGTCTCGTACACTCATTTGGTCGAGTGTGTTTATATCATTTTAATCATGTTTATTTAAATTGTTCCTTTCATGTTGATTAGCATACGACAAAGAGTTCATACAGGTACAGGAGAATAAATGGATATTTCTGGGCATTACATAGCATTCTAGAGATCTTGTTAATATATAATGAAATTTGTTTATCATGACAGTCTGAAATTCTATTCATTAGCGTTCTTCATCACTTTCTCCCAATGTGTCAATTTATCAGATAGAAAGTCGGAATATGGACCATCATAATTATTATTGTTATTGTTAATAAATGATTCTTATAATATCTAATTCAAATTCAATTCTGAGGGAATAATTGCTTGTGTAAAAGTATTTATTCAGATTGTATATTTTGGGTTCTTCTCTACTATAGATATATTATGGCTTAATTTCTTATTTCGATAGTTTACACAAGGATTTCAAGAGCGGGGATACTCTTCCCGGTGATGATGAAGCAATAATGTGATGAGCAGTGTTTTTCTCGTGGTAGATTGTGCGCTGGAAAGAACTGGATGTATTGCGTAACATGAGTGGTGGCGAATATCTACTTTCCTTGATTGGCATATTGGGAAATAGACATTGGCTAACTGATGAGAAGAGAGTGCGTAATTTTTTGACGCGTTGCCTATTTGTCCTTGTGTAGTACTCTCCAATTATTAGCATCTATCGAGATATCTTCCATTGTCTGCAACGGATATCACGGGAACAAGCTAGATGAATCAATGACTCTTCGGAATTGTGATCGGAGGGCACTACTTGCCACATTGATAAAAAGGTATCGGATTTTCTGAGTAGGACAACGCAGATGCCGAATCTCATCGGTTCATTAATATCGGGAGATTTTCTTTTCGTTTGGATTCGTTTTATAATTTTTTTTTGGAAAACAGTCGAGTAGCCGCTTAGCAGTCTCGGATATTATTCATTTTTCCTCCTCATAGACATCCACGACATCTCAGATCATTGAGATCTAACCATAGCAGCCGCCGCATCCATCAAAAGACGGGACAAGCCTAGATGTTGCTTACCACTTTTGCGAATGGCATGACAAATTAGATACTCCTTTTCCGAATAAATACTGTGCATGCGATACTATCTGTCATACACCTAAAATTGCAGCCAGCTTTTTTCTTTAAAAAGAAAAAGATAACCATCATCATGATCATGAGAAGCGAACAAATTTACAATATCCTCAAATGAAATCGCATCCAGCGAGAATTTTGCGGGAGATATATATCCAATCGATCTGTTTACTGATGGATTTCATCTACCAGGTGCCGAATAGAAGCTAGGGCTCCGTAACTGACACGGTTCGCCGGCCTTGTTTGGGCCTTGCCTTCAAAGTTTGTCAATGAAAACCACCACCATGGCTGGTGGGAATCCGATTAAAGCATGCTTATGCTATCGAAAGAGAAGAGAAAGGCTCGATGGTTTCCACCTAGATCGATACAACCATAATCATGATAATCCCTTCAAGTGACTAAAAATTACCAGCTTTTACACAATTCATAATAGCGAATAAGAGTTACCCAGGACATGGAGATTAGTTCGGACTTTCTTTCGAGATGAGAATGAGAGGACCTTAGAAAAAGCCAAATTTTCAACTGCTTCATACAGTGAAGATTAAAGGGCCGCATGATTATTGAAAAATCAACATTTTGACGTTCATTCTATGAGTAAAAACACAGTCCCGGACTCTAAAACATAATTTAAAGTCAGCGGTTTTCCTATATCAAGCCTGACGCTAGCCAATAACTCAAATTCTTTGGATAATAGGAGAGTAACCTTATGATGTGTCCAATGGACACGCCCATAGACGGGCGGATCTAAGTACTGTAGTTTCAACTCAGGTTCTAGATTATTCGTGCAAAGCAGAACTTTGGAAGCAGTTTTATCGGTGGAATGGACTACCAAATGTGACCAACAACCCCAAGTTGATAACGATTGCAAAAAAGAAAGCGATCCGATACTGTGAATGACATGATTCGGGATCTTGGTCTTGAAGAAAGTTGTAATGTTAATCATTTTTTGAGGTAAATGTCGCTGTTCGACAACTAAGTCAATAAAAGCTGCACCCGGGGCATCTGACTCACTTTCTGTGCATCTCAATGATGCTAGAAGCCTTTTGCGAATAGTAGCTTGGAAAGAATCTCGAGGAGAACAAACCGGCTGTGAAGCTCCAATAACAGCTCTTTTTTGCGATACATATCAAGAACTTTAAGATGGATTTTCCTTCCCCATTCCGGTGCAATAATAGACTCATCTCGGCTTTTGCTAAGAAACCAGCGGCCTAAGATGCGACCGTTTTCCGCAGTAAATGGAAATTTTGTCAGGTTCATTAATCTTCATGTATCGGTTAGACACAATCACATAGATTAAGAGAAAATTGTTTCGAAAGTAGTTTTCTCGTATGCCGAAATGGAGCGATGGGAAGCAGATCCCTGATTGTTGTTATGAATTTCTTGGGAAAAGACATGAGAAATGAGTGCTTTTTTATAAATAAGTGTCATAAACATCATGAAATCTGGATTTTGCCCATGTTAAATCATTATCGATGGGTAAGAATGTTGTTGAGTGAACTTGAACTTCTGATTGAGCATTGCCAGAATACGACACTTCCCATCTGAACATCTAATTCAAAGGATGAAATCGCTCAAAATAATCACCAACGTGGCGATAGATATCTACCCCGGAATTTCTAGTTCTTTAGGCCATACGACGGTAGTGAAACGTCTAACGTTGTTACCTCGAATGAGCGGTATGCAGTTTTTCTGATGATTTGGCCATTATCGATTGCCGGTGAAGGGATTGGGTATCTGAAGACTTGTGCAACTAGGTGATCAGCCGACTGAATATCATCAACAATCACCTAGGTGTTCTTCCCGCGCAAACATGGTAGAGCAGACCAAGACACGCCCGCCATAGATGGATTCGTGCAGATATAGAAATATCACGCACAACATGCAATGATACCTTACTTCCCCTGATCCTTGAAATTGGTTGTGAGATGCGGATGGGCCCATTGGGCCGAGCAGAGATGATCTCGACAGCTTGGGGAAGAGGTCCGGGATGTGTGGAATGCATAGAGCTCAAATATTGAAATCCTAGGAGCAGTTGCATTGAGACTCACGCGGGATAAATCTGCAAGATAGACGGATAAGATGGTTGTGCAATGTGAATTGTTTGTTGACCGACCAAGATCGTCAAAATAAGGGTTGGGGGATGGACATGATGGAAAAGAAACCAGCTCCCCACGTGATGTTATAAGACAAAAGGTAAAAGGTAGGAGGTAGGTAACGCGATAAGTTATCGTTGTTGATTCGCTCGGCATTGTTTTCTTTAGTATGTATGTACGTACATGTACCGGGACTGCAGTGAAGCTATTTTATTGGACTGGATGAAGGGGCGGGGTAAATCCGATCTGACTCGTTTGTCCATGTCTCGTCCGTGACCTTCTCCACAACATCTCGTGCATACCAAGTACCGCAAAAGAAATCTCCGTTCTCTAAAATATCATTAATACTTTAAAAACACGTCGTGAAATCCAAAATGAATGCCGTTTGTACCGTTCTGGTGTCTCAATGCCCACCCATTACCTTGCTTAACGGGATCTATAGTGACTCTTATCACTAATATTTACAACTTTATTTCATCCGCTATTCGAGGATACTTTAGAGACATGCATCTACATGCTAGGCTTATATGTCTGCTCTAACACGTTTAAGGAAGCTCATCTAGCCGACGCATATGATCAACACTACTACAGAACAATCATCGTCATACTATCAACTTCTGCCCGCACTAAATACGCTTATCCGAGAATCAAATGCCAATGAAGACTTTCGGCATGACTTAACGTGGTGCATGTGCGTGTCCGATCACGCAGAACACCCCGAAAACAAAATGTTAGGGGGGACAACCAATGCACATATTCAATATATACAAGCTTTTCCTGGCCGGTGACAGGATCATCGGAAGTTAAACCTTTTGTGTTCAGTGGTTCGAGTGTTCCTGCATATTCATCCTCATGTGAACCATTAGGTTCATGGAGCTACAAGTTTGTGCTCCTATGTGACCTGCTATTTATTAAGAGAATGAGGAATTCACTTAATATCTCCCTTTTACTCCTCATCTAGCCCTTCTAGTCTTTCTTCTTAGACTTAGTTCTCCTCGAGGCACCTGAGTAGCAGCTCGTTGGATTCACTGTCTAGTTTACCCCTCTTGAAGCAGCCGGGGAGAATCGGTAGTGATTCACCTGTTTCTTTTAGATCGAGGTGCAGGTGATCTGACTTTTCCCGAGCCGAACCTTGTTTATAAATACTCCTTCCCGTTTTGAACTTGCATAGAAGACGACGGACAACTCCAAGTTTCTTCAAACCTAAAACAATCCGTTCCTTTCCCTCATATTTCTTGCAAATATCGTGTCGTAAGTCTACAGTCAAGAGCAAATGGCACGAGAAAATTCTAATATCGGACAGGCTCGTGATACTCCATAGAAAGTTCTTGGGTTTAATATCACAATGCGTTCACTTTTCACAACCGTGCCTGCATTGGCATGTTTGTATTCAACCACATTAGCTGTACCTCACAATCCTAAGCTTGATAGAAGACAATACTATGGCAATCCAGCAAGCACTGCCGCAGATCGACAAGCTGCCGTGAAAGAGGCATTCACATTTGCTTGGGATGGATACCAAAAATATGCATTCCCTCATGATGAACTACATCCAATTGCGAATAGTTATTCGGATTCAAGGTATGCTGACCATGTCATTTCTCGTGACCTCTAAGCTAACTTTGCAAAAGAAACGGATGGGGTGCCTCTGCTGTTGACGCATTCAGCACGGCAATTGTGATGGAAATTCCAGAAATTGTGGATACAATTTTAGACTGGATCCCAACTATCGATTTCGACCACACTTCTTCTCAGGTTTCGTTATTTGAGACTACAATTAGATATGTTGGTGGATTACTTGCAGGTAAGCTTTTGTCGTCTATTGATAACTGTCATGAAATTTACATATTTTCAGGTTACGATCTCCTCAAAGGTCCTCTTTCCAACCTCAACTCAAATGATACGGCCGTCGACGCAGTTCTCAAACAGGCAGCACGCCTAGCTGATAATCTTGCGTTTGCGTTTGATACACCAACAGGAGTACCATCTAATAATGTTTATCTCAATCCTCCCCGTACCGACGGCTCTACCACAAATGGAATAGCCACAATTGGCACACTAGTTCTCGAATGGACTCACTTGTCTGATTTGACCGGTAACAAGACTTATGGTGAACTTTCACAAAAGGGTGAATCGTATTTGTTGAATCCGAAGCCCGCATACAACTCGCCATGGCCTGGTAAGCAAACCCTGGTCTTCTTTCATTCTGACTCTACATCCCGAACTCCTGTTTCAGGCTTCATTTGTTATATTGATTTCTTTCAGCGCATTCAACCAAAATTCTCACTGGTGAGAACTGCTGACTCATCTGTGCCTTAGGTTTGCTCGGTACAAACGTGAATCTCAACACGGGACTTTTCGAAGATGCCAGCGGAGGCTGGGTAGGTGGCGATGACAGTTTCTACGAGTATCTCATCAAAATGTACGTGTATGACTCGACTCGATTCGGCGAATACAAAGATCGATGGATCGCAGCTGCAGATTCATCCATCGAACATTTGGCTAGCCATCCTTCAACTCGTCCGGAGTTGACCTTTATGGCTGCTTATCAAAACAAAACACGTCTTTTTGTTTCTGAGCATCGTAAGTACATTTTGTTTTACTAGTGGATTTGGTTGTGATAGATGGCAAACTTTCTGCATGGGATTATTAGACATTAGAGGCATTAGGTCGCTGTCTTTTGGCTTCTTGTGCACTAACATTGCCGTCTCTACAACTGTATATTCAAAATACTAAACAGAAACACAGTCGCTTGTTTCGACGGAGGCAATTTCCTCCTTGCAGGTCTCGTGCTCAAAGAGCAAAAGTACATAGATTTCGGACTTGCACTCGTCGCCGGCTGCGAAGACACATACAACAGCACACTCACTGGCATCGGACCCGAAGTCTTCCGATGGGTAGAAAGCGACACTCCTACCAATTCTTCCACCAATCCTCCTCCATCCGCCGACCAACAGGCATTTTATGAGAAAGCCGGTTTCTACATCACCAACTCGGATTATATCTTGAGACCCGAAGTTCTAGAATCTTTCTACTATGCTTATCGCGTCACTGGAGACCAGAAGTATCGTGAATGGAGTTGGAATGGATTTGTGGCTATTAATGCGACAGCTAGGTATTTATTTATCCCGCTTTACTGTGCCCGCAAAAGTGTGAGTACTAATGTTGGAAATACTAGAACTGGAAGTGGATTCGCTGAACTCGAAAATGTCAATGCGCCTAATGGAGGTGGATTTAATGATTTCCAAGATAGTTTCTTGTTCGCAGAGGTTATGAAATATGCATATTTGATTCATGGAGATGTAAGCATTTTTTCCCTTATTCCCTTCCTACTCTTTCCACATCGACTCTATGCAAAAAAGACAAAGTTACTCACGCTTATGCACAGGATGAGGAATATCAAGTTGGGGGCGGTGGTGTAAATAAATGGGTATTCAACACTGAAGCGCATCCTCTCAAGGTTGCTGGACCACCTATTTAATCATTTTAAAACTGAACATTGGACTCGGTTCTGGTTTCGGAATTCGGTTTCGGGTTTGGGGGTTTCAGAGGTTTCTACTTCTTTAGGTGATGAGTTCTAAGAACTCTTTTGATGGTCGATGAACCGTATCACTTTTTCATTTAGCTTAGTTTCACTAGCTGAATGTTATTTTTCATTTTTTTCCTCAATAAGTTAGTTCTTTCTTGATTTCTCGTGATGGTATAAATGAGGTTATGTATCAAGACTTACTTTCATTCTCCTGGGTGAGATATCTCCTTGTCATTCTTTGGTATTTGCATTTGTATCGTATTACATTGCATTTATACCAATACATATTACACAACATACATCTGTCTATATACCTATATACATACACGTACAAAAGAATTATATCACAAAAACCCAATAGATATATTATTATAAATCTACTACTATTATTACTATTACTTTTAGGCCTTTCAGATTTCTATATAAGATAACTTATTACTTCACTAGTTCTTCCATACCAATTACAAAATTTCAGATGAGAGAGATAGACTCTCATATATTGGATAGATGTAATGAATTATAATTTCATCTCGGTATTAGTAGAGTATTGATATATATTACTAGGTACCCTATTCATACGATCAAAGATTATATGGAGGTGAAAAAAGTCTATTGAACGTATAAGTTTTCCATCTATCCCTTTCTTTCTAAAAAGCTACTACAAAACAAAGTAATCTCAAACCTTCCGCTTCAACAAACCTTTCAAGAAATCAAAGCTATTACTATCACTCTGCAACTCCCAAACCTTACCGGTAGGTCTATCTTCCCAACCCAATTCTTCGGCGCGTAGTAATCCCCAATTCGTAGTGATTCCCCTGATAATAGCTCTCGCGCCACCTTCCGTCTCCAGAGTAACGATTTGATCAGTATGTAACCAGTGTTTGTAATATACCTCTTCTAGCTTCCGATCGAAGCCATTTCGACAGAACGTTTTATAGATGGTTTCAAATTTTGTGAGGAAACGAGCGAGAAGTTTTTCGAGGGAGAAAGGTGCCAGATGCGGGGGTAAGAGAGCGCTGAGTGATGTTGTTGGAGCGGCGTTTGTGGTGTTGAGACCGATACCTACGACTAAATCGTAGTTTCCGGATGAATATGAGGAATTAACAAGGATGCCGCCAACTTTGACATATTCTTTCTTTCCGGGCTTGGATGGATCTTGGGCATCTGTTGTTGTCAGAAAGAGCTCAAAGAATGATGAGCTGAACTTACAAATATCGTTTGGCCACTTGAGCTTAATAGGGACTGTATCATAACCCTTGTCATATGAATGAATAGCTTCAACAATGGCTATTGCTGCGAGATACTGTATGAAGACAACCGGCGCTGTGTTTCCAAGTTCCATAGGGTGTTTCATGCAAACCGACCAGATCAAGCATCCTAGAGGGGAAACCCAAACATTTGAACCGCGGCCACGTCCAGCAACTTGAGTTGTAGCCGTAAAAGTAAAGCCCGTAGGAACTCTAGAAAGAAGCTTCGAATTCCTAAGAAGTATTAAAAAGGTTTTACTTCAAGTAGTAAAATGAAACTTACTTTTCTAACATTGTATTGGTACTAGTAACAACCTCTCCATATAGTAGCGTGTTTCCAAACTCTTCGGCTTCGCTGGATTTTTCTTGCTGGTAGTTTCTCAAATTGGAGTAAAACAAATGGTGATTGAAACATGGTGTTTCCTTTGTGCCAGGCCAACTAGTCTCATGCGGAATGAGTCGTTTCGGAATAGCATTATAATCAATAATTCCATCACCTGATGCAGCTGACGCAACATTTGGGTTTTCCTCTTTTGCGGAAACAGCCGAAGCTGGAAGTGACTCTACTAACGATTCAACGGACCAGCTACTCTCTTGCTTTTCTATATGAAATGTGTCGTTCTCGCCCTTGATAATCTCTTCACCGTTCTCCTTGTCGATGATTTCTTCCCAAGAAGCCAATAACTCTGGAACCAGATGCGGATGAACAGATGAAAGATGAAGGCGAGAGAGGGACGGCACCGTGGATGATTCTTCGCTCACTGACAATCCTAGCTTCAATAGACATCCTTTCAAAAACTCCGTTCGGGCGTCGTCATCCGCAGCCAAATCCTTCACAATATCAGCGTAACCGGGTATCTTTATCGTGGGGTCAAGATTCACGGCAGCAAACCTAGTAAAATGTAAGCAATTAGTCAAATAAGCCAGCGGGATATGCATACTCTGGATGAGGCCCTGTCAATATTGCTCCGCCTTCACCAACCTTGCAATAGACAACCGCTGCGGGGTCTTCTCCGCCGTCGACATCAAGTGGATGTACATAGGTGGCAAGCGTTTCAACTCCTCTATCCTTGAATTTTCCTGCATCAACGAAGACTCCTCCGCCGTTGTAGTATAATTTGAAACTTTGAGAAACATTTTCATTGAGAAGTCCGTCCCCGATCTTGATCTCTGCAGCCTTTGCACCTTCCTCACTATGGTACACAAATCCTTTGAAAGCACATCCTCGGGAGATGCCCGGATAGAATTGTAATTCTCGTGGTCCAACAACCTCTAGCGGCCTATTTCCGACCTCAAACTCACATTTGGAGGTGCCATAGTAGCCCCCAGCACAAAATCCAAGATAGGCGCCACCTCTACGAACGTATTGGGAGATTCGTCTGTTGCCTTCGCCATTGAGGGAGCGACAATATCCTTGGTCAGCACCCCCTGGGAATACAAGAAGAGCGCAAGAAGCAGTCCAAGGTTCTTTGAGAATGATAGTATCACTGACTGGAATCACAGCGTAACTTGGCGAGAGCAAACGCCGTAAAGTATAAAGGCAGTGGCGAACGGATTCAATTGTACTTCCATTGCCTATCAAAACACTTAGAATGAGCCATAAAAAACTGTTGATCCTATATACCTGAGTAGACCAAAACATCCATCTTTCTTGCAACCATTTTAACACGAATTTGAAAATTTGTTCACTGAGTCACAACCGAGGTTACTAAATCTCTCCGAAGTCCTTCGAGAACTACCTGTATCACAATTCTTCAAAACCCGCCGAAGAGGAAATAAAGCACCCAAAATGCCTGATAAGCCAGAAGATAAATCTCAGATTGCAACTCCCGTCGAGGATGATGATGAGCCTGATGAATGGTAAAAGTGTTGATCCTCCCAACTCGGGTCTAATCACTGACTCAATTTTGTAGGGACAAACGAATTTTTAGCACTGGATGCGCGGGTACGTTGAGACTCTCAGGCACAACGAATAATAGAGACGCGAATGCTAAATCACTGCAGAGGAGAATGCAAAGATGACCGATTGCTATTACGAAAGGAAAGATTGGAGACTGTGCAAAGCAGAGGTATGAAAAACCTCCTCTTAGCGTTATATCACGTGTTAAGTTAATGGAGATGGCAAGAACATGCATGACTGACTTTTCCCATGAACGTGAAGCTTGAGACTTTTAAAAGTTGTTGGAAGAAACATTCAAATGATCAGAGGACGTCGACAAAGGATGCTTGATATGGGTGGAAGAACGTCCAGGAGTAGATTTTATGAGTATGGTATGAATTATGTACTGAGTGTAAGAACTGTGGTTCAAATGGCCAAATGTAATATTATAGAAATCAAAATGCTTCTCAAGGATAAGAAGGCCAGCAAGATTCACTATAAGTCATTATTTATATAGTCATTCTGCTGTGTTATTGTCAATCTTCAAAATTGTTGAACAAAAAAAGTTTGAACGTCATTTGGAAGCGCGCCACAATTTTGTATATCTGGAGAAATCGCGTCTACCGAGATCTTTTCTTCACACATCAACATGGCAACAATTACACGCGGAGCTTCACGCTCTCTAGTTGCTGATGCAATGTCATCAGTGTCAAGATTATCCGCTATATCAAGGAATACAACTCTGTCCCGTCAATCAAGACATTTTTCCAATGCTCTCCGAAATGCGGCGACCCCAACTTCAAGCTACACACAAAGGGCATCGGTTACAACGAAGCCTCCAACAAGCTCTGCAGTCCCTGTAGCCAAAGAAAAAGAGCAAGAAGCTGCGATAGATGATCAATCACCCATCAAGGACATGACTGAGGGGCTTGCAGACGAACCATTGATTTTGGACGAGGGAGTTAGACAGGTTGATTGGACAAGATCATATCACGGATTATCGTCCCAGCCATTCTCCAAAGAAGCTGCAGACATTCTACTCGCACCAATACCTCCCGATGATGTGGAAGTCAAGCCAGATGGTATTATATACTTGCCGGAAATTAAATATCGGAGAATATTGAACAGGGCTTTTGGACCTGGTGGGTGGGGTTTGGCACCAAGAGGAGAAACAATTGTTACGCAGAAGAGTATCACAAGAGAATATGCTCTCGTGGCTCATGGACGGCAAGTCTTCGAGCTCTTTATATAGTTTGAAGGGGCACAACTAACTATTTCCTCTATGCAGATTGGTATCCGTGGCTCGTGGTGAACAAGACTATTTCGCCCCCGAAGGTATTCCGACCGCGACAGAAGGATGCAAATCGAACGCTCTGATGCGCTGCTGCAAGGACCTGGGCGTGGCCAGTGAGCTTTGGGATCCTAGATATATCAGGAAGTTTATGAAGCAGTATGCGAAGCAAGTTTGGGGTGAACATGTTGTCACCAAGAAGAAGAAACAATTATGGGTGAGGAAGGATGACGAGATTAGATACCCGTACAAGGAGTCAAAATTCGGCGCATAGATGCCTTTATGATTATGTGTTAGTCCGGAGATGCGGACGGCAAGATGTTGTATTATAGAGGGCATGGTGATCAAGGTAATATCTAGATTCTGAAAAGGGAAATGAAGAAGATGCCGATAGTATAAAAATCTCCCATACGCCAGACGATTGTCTTTATCTTCTTTATATTGAGACTACACGCTGCAATTGCTTGCCGGTTTCTCTACGTTTATTGCCCTGTTGTTCATTCAATTTCGTTAGTTTTTGAAATCTCCTCTTGTTTGACAGTCATGGTGCAAGTGGCAGCATGTTGCATCAGGCATGAAACCTTCCAAGTTCTCTTGTCTAGAAAGTCGATGGATCGAAGAGAGCACCTCACAGTCAGTGCACCGGCAACTCGTAACTCCCTTAATTCCAGACTCTGCTTGCTCTTCGGAATAATGGACAATGAGCACAGCGGACTTTAGCTCATAATCCCGAAACTCTCAAAGTCCTACATAAACAACACGTTATATATGCCCACTGCTCATTTCTCTCTTGAACTTGACTATACTCATAACGCAATGATGGCGAGTACAGCACCTTTAGTATGGCTCATTACTGGATGCTCATCTGGCTTTGGCTTCCAGCTCTGTTTAGTAGCACTAAAAGCTGGTCATAAAGTCATTGCTACATCTCGCAACCCATCCAAGAATTTGGATCTTGTCCAACAAATCGAGAAGCTGGGGGGTACATGGTTAGCCCTTGACGTCAATTCCGGGGAAGCAGAGATCAACCAATTGGTTGAGATGGGCTGTGAGATTTACGGAAAGATCGACATTCTAGTCAACAATGCCGGAGTGGGGATGGTGGGGGCAATGGAAGATACGAGGCATGGCTATGACTGTTGTCTTTAACCATTCAGCACACTGATTTTTCTGTAGTTACGAAGAAACCCGAGATATAATGGAGACCAACTTTTTTGGCCCATTCAAGATCATAAAATCTATTCTTCCATACATGAGGAGCCAGAAATCGGGGACAATAGTCAATATTTCAAGCTCGGTCGGCGTAAAACCACAACCTTCAATGAGCATATATGGGGCCTCCAAGTGGGCTCTGGAAGGTATCGTACTCCGTTCATCAAGATGCCTGCTCCCTAGTTTAACAAAATATTCAGGAATGTCTGAAGGGCTTGCAAAAGAAATAGCCCCTTTCGGAATCCGCGTATTGATTGTCCAACCTGGCGCTTTTACAACCAACATGATAAACCCTGTTCGTTTGACCCAAAAGCCGCTTTCCGATGTCTACAGGAATACTCAAGTCGCAGAATTCGTCGGGGCTTTCGGAGAAAACGCAACTTTCACTGCGCCAAATAATGTTGAGAAAGGATGTCAAGCTATTTTTGAGGTTGTTACTGGCACCGGACGAGGCGCTGATAAGGAAAATTACATCAGAATGCCTCTGAGTAAGGATTGTGCTCGGGAAACTCGCGAACACATTAAGATTTTGGAGGAGGGTTATGATGTATTTAGAGATATTTGGGAGAGTACCGAACATGATGGTGGTGTCTTGAAGGCTTTTGGAAGATGAGTTAGTGAAGGGCTAACTGATTACTTGGAATTCTTAGGTGTTAATGCGCGCACAAGTCTGAAGTAGGACAAGTTTCCAGACTGATAGTACTTATCTGTATCTACGGACCTACATTTGGTTGAGGCAATTGCTACAAAGTAAAGAAAACGTTTTTCGCTGCGCTTTGAGCGTTGTCTTCATATATATCCCTATAAATAGATATTCGTCCACGAATGGACTAATGGAAAGGGTGAAATCTAGTCTTTTCAGCCCTGCTAATCTTCAATCCTTCCTTCGGTTAAGATCAAGGTGAGGATGCCAATCAAACCATGCGTACAGTTTACAAGCGGAGGCCCAAATTTCATTTTTGTTGCTGCTTTACTTATTTCATCAGTGCCAGCCTTGTCGATCAAGGGCAGTACAAGGCGGCATCCATATAAGCTTATATGGCCCACTCGAGATAACAATCCTTCCAGTCAGAAGTGCTTGCTTCGCGCAGGAATTCAGGAGTTGTTGAGCTTGTCGCGGAATCAGGTTATAGCGTATTACGACGAATTAGCTATGGAGAAAAGATACCCCATGTGTTCACATGGATTTGGTAAAGTGGGAGGCCCATGGCGCAGGAATACACTATCTTCTAAAATGCATCAGATCTTCGTTTACTTGCGTTTTCTAGATTTCTTCCCATCGCTCTGAGCTTTATTTTTGCGGCCGCTGGATAAGCAAGTGTGCAATGGCGACTCCAACTTCGCGTTATCCAGCAGCTGAGGGGTCCGCTGGTGTGGTGACGACTTGGCTACCTCTCACGACCGTTTATCCCATTGTGCCGCGCTGCAAGAATGAATTCTACTCTCCCAGCAATTTGACACAAATTTATGCCTTCGATCCTAATCAGAATGCCCTTACGTTCTCGACCAAATGCTGGCCCTCCGAAGCGCGATCGTGGTGGAATCAGGAAACCGACGCAACAGCGATCACTTCATTAGGACCATTCTTATGTCCAGAAGCATATACAGCCGTCGTTACCCAAGTAGTAAATCCAGGCTCTACACTAACGGGTTGCTGTCCTAGTGGCTATGGTCTCTCATCGCTGATGTCCCAACCATATCCCGGCGAATGCACATCTTTCTTTATGTCCGGCGCCACGATTACATATGTTAGTAGTTGGACACCTGGAACAGATGGATATACGACAATTACGACTGTGTTGGACATTGCTCATGAGATCCTGGCTGTGCAAATAAATGGATACAATTTCGATGGCAATTCCGCAGAATCCACCGTGACGGCTTTTAGTTCGAGCACAAGTTCGAAATCTGCTTCGGGTTTCAATTCGGCTTTGGCAACTTCTGGATCTACACCCAGCGCATCTGAAGCCGCAGCCACTTCCCCAGTTTCCCTACCCCCAGCAAGTAATAATAACCCGGGACTTAGCACTGGAGCAAAGATCGGTTTAGCTGTCGGTATCTCACTCGGCGTAATCGTCATTGCGGCTCTCGTTAGCATTATATATCTCATACGAAGAAGAAAAGGCTACGGCACAGCACTGCAACAAGATACCGCATACTCATCTTCCGAAGTTAAGATGGGCCAAATCACTTCTTTTCCATTATCGCCTGGATCTGAAGTACCGCATGAGATACACGGTACGCCGGTACACGAAATGAACGGAGCGATTCCTGCCGAGCTGGATGGAAATCATGGTTGTCGATATTGATATCGTAAGATACTTGATGGTATATATGGTATATATGGTATATATGTATGGATGGGTGGGAAGTAATTGCATAGCGAAAGGTGTTGTAAGTATTTTGGATATTGTAGCGATCGGAAATTTCTCGGTGGGTGTTTTGATTCCCAGGTTTAGAGATATTGAGTGAGGATCTTATTCCTGGCGTTATATATGAAGCACATGCAGTACAATGTAAATAATAGTTCCTGTGGTTTAGTGCCCAAAGTCGGCGTTTGCGTGTAATTAGAATTCTTTCCCTGAGCGAAAAGCTAATTCGGGGTTGGGTATTAATGTTTAGCAGATTCACATCATACTTAAAGTGCTATGTTCCCTGTTCCGGTGTGTAGTTACTGTAGAATGGACATACAGACCCTTAAATACCTATGTAGCTGCTATTATCATCTGCTTGCAGGCTGAATGTTCACGCACCATAACAGATTCATTATAAAAGATCTATCCCACCACCTAGCGCCTCGCTTGCAGGTCGTTTAAATCAAAAAAAAATCAAAAAAAAAAAATCTAGTCTATCCTCACATTTTTATTGAAACTCGCGCTGTATTGTAAGTAACAAAGGAAGAGCTGATCGGTTGTTTATAAGAAATGAATCCATCAAGTCTTTCACATACAAAGGGCAATTTAAGAATCTTGTTGCATCTAACTCCCACATCCATCTAATGAAGCTGTGTAACGACTATTCACTAGACTTTAACAAACTCCCAAACAATCACCTCATAATTTCCCTCTCCAGTCCTGACCATGCCTCCCCATTCACCTTCCTCAATCTTCGCCAACATCCCATCGCGCATCCCCACCTTCCATAATCTTTCCCAATGCGTCATCATCAAATAGTAACCCCCTTCTGGTCTAAGTCTTGCAGTGAATCTCTCCCATCCATCAGGATTTCTTGCAGAACAAAGTATATTGTCCCAGAAATTGTGACCGATGTAACAACCGGAAGCGACGTTTTGGAAATGGAGCCAGCCTTTGACTTCGATGCATCTCCACTATTGGCGAGGATGTTAGTATAAAGCATAGGGCAATGAAGAGCCGGTCCAATGATTTCGAGGAATTTTATACTCACATGAATGCTGGATCCGCCATTGGCCGCTGGTTGAGCCAGAACGACGTTCCCAGAGTCTAAAGTTAAAAGTTTCCCAGATGAGGAGGCGCGAATCAAATAGGTCGAACCGGGCGAAGGGACTGAGCTTGAGGTATCAAAACGGTCATCATCATTATTCTCAGAATTGCTATTTCCAATGGTGGTACATTGAGGAGTTTTAGTTGTGTAGTCTGTAAAGGTATCGGAATCGCAATCCGGGATGGAATCGTGAATGTCTTGCTGGCAAACCATAGCTTTATTGGAGATAAGAGCTAAGGGAATAGCTAGTAACAAGGCAAAAATAAGGCCAAACTTATAATGACCTTTGGAACTTCGCGCAATAGAAGTTGCTTTGAAAGTATGTACAGGATTAGTCTGAGCTGCTGGGGTGGTGCTAATGCTGCTGTCACTCGAAGTGCCAGGTCTGCGGTTAGAAAATTTGTTTGTGATTTTGTGATCGAAAGTCGGGTTTCTCATGGCCGTTTGTTGTTAGGATACCGATGTCTTTTTGGTACGATTTTGAAGTTGTTGTTTGTAATTGATTCTATATGGAGTAAGTATCAATTAGCCGCCTAAAGCCCCGCCATTAAGGACCAATCACTTTTTTACTGTGCCTCCGCCCGTCCCCTACCTTGAAGACCAGGACGCACACCAGTCTCTACCGTTTCATCCTAAAAATGTCATTGGTAATGTTGTTTTGAGTGGCGGATGTTCTCTTATGGCCTACGTTTGTTGTAGAACTTGTGTTGCACGCAGGGCCGCAGGCGCACTTACCGCACTCAACAGAGACCTGCTGCTGCATTGTCCTTATGCAGCCGTTAGTTTGTCAAGGACGCTCCCAAATTTATGCCCTATAAGTCAACTCAAATTAGAAGTCATTGAGCGAGGCTGCCTATAGGGCATTATGGCTTGTGGCTGGCCCACGTCTCCGCTTCAACAAAAAAGATGGAATCCATGGGCTGAAAACTGCGGTGCCTTGTAAGTGGTCGTTTATGGTGGACAGCCAGACTGAGCCAGTCAGTAGACAAGTACAGGACCTCAATACAAGCGTTGAGTTTGGATGAAACTCCTATCAAGACCGTGTATTATGCATCCATCTCCTAACTACGATATGTTAGGCTACGAGCCACATATGGCCCCGACTTCGCAGCTTCATTGCCCACTGAGGCTTTATGCAATGCTCTTTAGAGCACTATTAAATGCTACCGCGTGACCCATTTTGAATGATACATACAACCATAGATCTGGTTCACACCTATGGGGCAGAGCCTCGAGGGCCTGGTACCGTTCAGTGGGAATGGCTTGCAGGTCTTGACGTTGGAGTAGTACGGGGAATTCCCATAAAACCCACAATCTTGATGATAAGTGGGTGGATGCTTTTCAGATGAGACATATTGCGAACGAAGGTAACAAGGAAGGGGATGGCAACTTCGAGTAGATGTGTGGAATTACCTAGGATGTAGAACTAGCGTATTTCGACTTGAGCAAATTACTTGTACATAACTTTGGTGTATCAATCATAAGTGACTGGCAACATAAATTTTGATCACAATATCGCAAGAGACACATTTAAATTTAAGCTCAAATCAAAGTATTTAAGGTTGACCGGTCATTCCCACATGTTCATTACAAAAATATGTGGCTGGTGTGTGGCTTTCCGCGAGCTAACCACTCAGCCTCGTCCCTTGTTAGGAACCTTGGGTAAAGACACCTCTCAGCACAACAATTATTCAACACAAATCAGTTTGGAATTATAAGAAACTCGTTCTAATTAATCGCATTGAAACGCTCTACTGTTCCATCTCAACTGCTTCATGCGCAACATTTCCATCAATAGATCCGAACAAATACGAAACATCCCACTTCGCGCTCAAGAGCTACGCAAGCTCGAACCTCAAAATGGCTCAATACTTTCTTGACCTTTTATATACACTCACAAACTGCATGAGTTGTTTTCCGGGCTCTCCGCAGCTGAAAATTAATAATCGCAGTTTTAAAATTCTGCGATTGTTGGGTGAAGTATGCAATTCCTCCAGGAGTTTAAAAGCCGTGTGTAGCTAATATTGCTTCTACAGGGCGGCTTTTCATATGTCTACCTCGTGCAGGATACCAGCGATGACAACACATATGCAGTGAAGAAGATAAGATGTCCCTTTGGACAGGAATCCGTGGCTCAAGCTATGAAGGAAGTCGAAGCATACGCGCTCTTCTCACCACATCCGAATATAATTCATAGTGTCGATTACTGCGTCTCAGCGGATCGTTCGGATCCTGGGGCTAAGACCGTGTATATCCTACTTCCATATTACAGGCGAGGTAATTTACAGGATATCATCAATGCGAACCTGGTAAACCATACGAAATTCCCGGAAAAGAGATTGATGGTTTTGTTTTTAGGGGTTTTAAATGCATTGAAGGCAATGCATCAATACAAGGTTAAGGGAGGCCCAGGTGGTGCGAGTAGTGTGAATAAGGCGAAGAAAGTGAGGGCGGATGCGGCGAGGGCAGATGAAGATGCAGAAGAGGAAGTGGAATCAAGGAGGGGTAGACAAGGAGGGAGAGAAACCGATCCGGATAGTGAACAGCAGGAGCCACTTATGGATGGTGAAGTTACAATGAGTCAGGAAGGTATTGCACCAGGAGGAGCTAGGGCATATGCGCATAGAGATATCAAACCAGGTAGGCATTGTGGAGACTATAATGCGCGAGTATATCTAATGCTAGAGTAGGAAACATCATGATTGATGACGACGGCGTACAACCCATTCTCATGGATCTCGGATCTCTAGCTCCGTCCCCGACGCCGATAACCTCGCGATCACTCGCCCTTGCAGTACAGGATCAAGCAGCCGAACATTCCACTATGCCCTACCGCGCCCCCGAACTTTTCGATGTAAAAACCGGCAGTACAATCGACACCAAAGTCGACATCTGGTCATTAGGCTGCACATTATACGCTTGTCTCGTAGGAAAATCACCCTTTGAGATGCGCAGTGATGAGACAGGAGGAAGTCTAAGCATTTGTGTATTAGGCGGCGATTGGCGCTTCCCAGATGAAGGAGCCGGTGGAAAAAAGAAGACGACGAACCAAACGGGACAAACTGAAGATAGTGGTATCAGCGAGAGTATCCGCGAGGTGGTGCGGAAATGCTTGAGGGTCGAACCCAGCGAAAGACCTGATGTGGATGAATTGATGGAGATTGTAAGGGGGGTAATTGATGAATTGCCCGAGGACGGGCCTTCATGATTATGAACAGGGTTAAGGTGGGATGATTTTGGATGGGGTAGGATGGGGTAGGATAGGGAGAACTTGATTCCATTTGGTTAGGTCTGATTTCATTCGGCCATGTACGATTTTATTTTCCTATTTTTTGTTCATTTTCTACTCCTTAAAGAAAATAAGGATGATCTAAGACAAAGGATGAAACGAGGCGTTTGCGGGAAGGAAGCACTGCTACAACTACAGCTACCTCGATCTAGCCAGCGATGGAGTAATGAAGAGTTGAGGAGGGTTACAACTCTCAACTCATGAGCTTAAAAGTCTACCTAGTTGCTTATTGATGGGGTATATTTGCTTATAATAGAGATGCGTATTAGTGAACTTTTACATGTCTACATGTCTACCGTAGGCTGGACACATTTGTTCTTTCTAGCATGATCATCAGAGGTTGTTCCGATTATATTATTCGGGCCTAGTCATCTTGAGGATTCATATAGTTTTATTTCGAAGTTGGATTTGAGTAGCATAGTAAGGAGCATTATTTCGAAAACGTGGACGACGTTGGGCTTGATATTGCGTCTAGGATTCCTTAGTGAACCCCAACTCAAATATCAAATAGTCTATGCAAGTAATCATTCATTTTCTAGTGGTGAGCTACATACTAGGTATGCTATTATATTTGAGCAATACTTGTAAAATCTAACGTTATATTAGCAACAAGTGAGTTCAGAATCAACCTTATCTCAGGATAACGTACCATAGAACACTTTTGACAGTGTTAACAATCCCTAACTTTGATAAAGCACCATTCAAGCCATCAAGTTCCTTTTAAAAGCTGGGCTAGCAACTGAATAGCCATTTTACAATTCATCATCATTTTCCTCGGACGTTTGAGATTCCAGAGTCTTGCTTCTCTTTTGACGTGGTGTATTCGCCTCGGCTTTCATCCCGTTATCATCACAATGTCTTTTTCCACCTTTGGTTTCAATCAAGCCAGCGGCCACTAATCCATCCTTCAGATTAAGAAAGCCACACTTAACCTCAACAAGCCCGTCCTCGGTGATTCGAGATTGGAACTTCTTCTGCAACTGCTTTAGCACAGCTTCGCGATCTTTCTCATTCAGCAGTCCTTTGATGAACCTCGCGATGAACTGGAAATGATCCGCTCGTTGTTTGATAGCCCCGACATATTTTTCTGCATGAGCTAAATAGTTCTCGACATTTTGATCCGGCGCTTGCGATATGTTGTGCCAAACTTTACGCGAGGCAGCTTTTCGTAGTGGCGTGCCTAGAGCCAGTGTCAGTTCTCTCATTCGCTGGTGAAGCCGCCACTTGCAAGGGTAGAGCGGGGAAAATCGTCTGACCACTATGCGCCAGCGATGGCATTAATTGACTTGATTTGCGTCCATTCCCGGAACAATGATTGTGTTCCTCAAGTGTTGTCTTGACTCCTCGCGGGGAGCGTAAATCAGGTTGTGAAACCGGCTCAAGCTGCTCGGTATTAGGTGCCGACAGATTCTGTGCGACTCCTGGCACATCTGAACCTGTGCGGTGAGATGTTATGGTAGATAGTGATTCAGGATGTTGTGGTTCTGCGACATCCAGATCATGAGTGGGCGAGGCAGTGACAGGTGATAATTGAGTCTGCTGTGCATCTGTATCATGGAGATGATCCTGAGGAGAAGAGGCACATGCAGCGCGAATACCTTTCTTTAGTCAGAATAATTTAGAATTCCACAATCATCTCCACAAACCTGCTTCCATGAATTCAGTAAACTTCATCATCCTGTCTTTCAAATCCTTTATTTCATCCTCCCACTGCCTGTTCTTCTGCATCAACTCTTTGGACTCATTTTCAAGTTTTTCAAATCGAATTTCGCTTTCTTCCAATTGCTTCTGACACTCCTTCAATCTACGCTCTGCTTCGACAGATGTCTTATCGGTACTAGTCTTCAAATCCTCAAATAACTTCAATAGAGCACGATGTTCCTTTCGAAACTCTAGATTGACTATGGCCTGGACGCCACTTGCAGCCCCTTGGCTCAAACCAACAAGTTTGAGAGGTGAGTTCATAACCACCTTCATCATTAAGATACAAGACAACTTAGTAAAATAAGTGACTGAAGATTGACGATATTTTGCATGAAAGTAATGACAAAGGGCCTGTATGTTAAGACAGTCTTATATATTAAGGTGCAAAAAGTGAAGTGTAGATGATGTGTTTGGATATGATGAGTGGAAAAACGCGAAGGTAAGTGGCTGACATTGAACTCTTCCACTCAAACTCAATTAAGCGAGCTTGCCTACACTGGTGATGGATCGAACATAAATGACAAGACAGGAAAGAGCGAATGCGATGGGATTCATGCATGGCCACAAAAGAGATGGGTGAAAAGGAGATTAATCACTTGAACATTTTGACTATTTTTATTTTATTTTTGTTTTTATTTTCGCCTTGATCTATGAAAAATAATCTCGGCATCTATCATCAATCGTACTACATTGCATGGTCCAATCGCGGGCCAAATGTAGGCTGATCTGAGTAGACATAGAGTTCGTAAGACAGCCCAAGGAGAATCCTTAAATACAGAGACTGAAAAGCGAAGCATCCCCCAAACCTCTAATGCCATAAAATACGCAAGAAATAACCGAGCTGCACAAACCAATGCAGCTACTTTTATGCTACATATTGACCGAATCCTCACGTGCCGGGCGAACCAGCTACGCTCACTATCACAGCCCTTACAAAGGGGGTTTCGATGCTGTGGTCTTTTCATAGATACGCACGCCCGAGAACTCGTGATTTACCAAATTGTATATAAAAAGAAAAAAGCTTAGATGAGATCAGCAACGTTCATTGGCATCTCCTCGATTTGAGTGCTGTAGAATTGCTCGATTTCTCTCATCATGCGGACATCCTCAGCGGTGACAAAGTTGATAGCAACACCCTTACGTCCGAAACGTCCACCACGACCGATACGATGGATGTAGTTCTCACGGTTGGCTGGGAGATCGTAGTTGATGACCAAGGAAACTTGTTGAACATCGATACCACGGGCCAAAAGATCGGTGGCGATCAAGACACGGGATGAACCAGAACGGAACTCCTTCATAATCAAGTCACGTTGACCTTGGTCCATGTCACCGTGCATGGCGGAGACGGTGAAATCACGGGCAGTGAGTTTGTCGGTGAGCCAGTCAACCTTTCTTCTGGTGTTGCAGAAGATGACTGCTTGTGTGATGGTGACGGTCTCGTACAAATCGGAAAGAGTGTCCAATTTCCAATCCTCCTTCTCAACGGCAATGTAGAACTGCTTAATACCTTCGAGGGTAAGTTCGGCCTTCTTAACCAAGATACGGACTGGATCGCGCATGAACTTGGTAGTAACCTCGAGAACGTCTTGAGGCATGGTAGCAGAAAGGAGAACAACCTGGGTGGATTGAGGAAGGAGTTGGAAGATGTCGTAGATTTGCTCGGTGAAACCACGCTGGAATTATTGTTAGCGAAAACATTTCATGCAACGCTGAATGTCTTTAGACTTACGGAAAGCATCTCATCGGCCTCATCAAGAACGAACATCTTCATGGAATCGGTCTTCAAGAATCGTCTTTGGATCATGTCGTGGACACGACCTGGGGTACCAACAACGACTTGAGGACCATCTTGGAGAGCCTTCATGTCATCACGGACGCTGGTACCACCAATGCATGCGTGGCACTCAACGTTCATGAAGTCACCGATGGCGACAACGACCTTTTGGATTTGTTGAGCCAACTCACGGGTTGGTGCAAGGATCAAAGCCTGGCATTGCTTGACATTTGGGTCAAGCTTTTGGAGGACAGAGATGGAGAAAGTGGCGGTCTTTCCGGTACCAGATTGAGCCTGGGCAATAACGTCATGGCCTTTGTAAAATTGTTAGAGACGCTGGAAGAAGTCGCAGATTTGGTGAACTCACCCTTGATGACTGGCATGATAGCACGCTGCTGAATAGCAGAAGGACGCTCGAAACCGTAAGCATAGACACCTGCATCTCCATGTTAAATGTTGCTCCTCCAAATATATTTGGATTTTTATCGTACCTCGTAGAAGCTCTGGCTTCAAGTTCATGGTATCGAAAGAGTCGACGGTCTCGTCATAGTTGGACTCGATTTGTCCTGCAAGCAAGCAAAAACTGGTTAGTCTTTTTTCTTTTTTTTTTTTCTTCTGGTCCTATCGGATTCTATGCTCTCCCAGCGCTATCGCATAGAATCTTCTCAAAAACATCGGAATGAACTCACCCTCTTGGATCTCCTCGAGACCCTTATCTGCGGAAGCCATATTTGCGACTTGTTTAATGTAAAATCTAGATTACAAGCTGAGCTTGGAACCTAGAAAAAGATAAAGTTGGAGGGTGGAGGTGGGGTGAAAAAAACGCGCAAAGTACTCTTGAAGAGACTGCGACGTGAAGCTCTTGATTATTTGAAGTTTAAAACTAGATAACAACTCCCGAGAACGAGAGTTTATGTATATCTAGTGGTTTGAATGTTTGATTGTGTTGTAAAAAATGGAGTTGAAAATGGAAGGGAAGAAAAGAGGAAGGAAGGCTTTGATATATTAAAAGTTTTTTGGAGAACGACTCGCTTATTTTTTTGTCCGGCTACTTTATTAGTGTTATTTGTGAGTTTTAGACCCCACGTAGCAAACACCGTAGAGAATAACTATTGAAACAAGTTTATCCAACCAAAATTCTTTCTATATATTGAGTTAACCTTTTAAGAGATTTAAACTTCTTTTTAGCATTTTCTAGTCATAAATCCAGAGACACTCGGCCAATGAGAAACCTTTTTTTTTTAATATAAATTTTGGAACGCGATATGAAAACTGAGTTATACCTAGAGAACCAAACGCCGTAGACACAAATTTTCTCCATCATAATTCCTGTATTCTAGGTAGTAGTACATAATAGTACATGGTAGTGCATACTTATGTCTACTAGACAAGATGCCACCACATCTTCAAATCATTAAAGTGGCGATAATCCCCTCCATCTTTTACCCACAGACCACTATGAGAACTGTGAAAAAAATAAAATCCTTTTCATTCTACCTGTACAATCAATTTGGACCGAGATACGAATCATAATTCAGTCCTCCACCACCACCAAAAACAACTGAAAACCTCCAACTTTGATATCTATTGTATTTGTAGACGCCTCATTCTTTTCCGTTCATTTCCCTCCACATCTCGATATCATGAAATCAGCAATGAGTCTAGATTCCTCAACCCCAATACAGCCTAGTGGCATTAATACCATACCCGTACATGAGTCCGGCGAAATCATCGAGGAGTCAGAGTCAGACTCATCCGTGTCAATCCCTCCTCATCCTCTAGGTGTAAAGCCGTTAGGAAACCAATATACCGCTACCAGCAATGCCCGTTACGCTATTGGGCTTTTTCAAATACTGCCAGATGAAGTGCTGGCCATAGTATTAGAATCTTTGCATCCAGAATTGTTGGCCTTACTTGGTTCCACTTGCAAATTTCTATATGCATTCTGTCGATCCGAAGAGTTTTGGAAATCTTTATTCATTGAGTGAGTAATTGTATATCTCTTTTTTAACTTTCTCTTCTTTTATTTGGTCTGAAATGATGACTCAAGAATTTGAGCACTTCTTTTTTTACTTGATTTCGGCTTAATTAGTAAATCAAATGGTCCGCGTTTTGTATTAGGTGATTAGAGTTATTGTCGAAAAAAGACAATAGGAGTCATTCCTTTAAGATCGGGGCTTAGATATCCCAATAGCTGAGCCTTTCTCATACTTCAGAAGGAATATGACGATTATGAGAATAAACGAGACAGGCGACTTTCCGGGATACCTAATGTTTATTGAATAATTCATTTTTAAAAGCTGGAACAGATTATGTATATTTCAAATTTCAAATTTTATTTTGAAGCAATTGTTGGGTTTTCCGCGTTTGGTTGCTGTATGGAGGTTACGGAGATTTTCAAGCCGATAGAAGTTGATCAGAGACCAGAGATAGACATCAAGTGATATTCTCGAATGTATATTTTCCAGCTTAGGGGATGTATATAGAATACCTCAAATGAATATCAATCACCCCAGAAATCACAATTACATGCACAAACATACCATAATTCTCACATGATCTGACTGCTAACCAAAATATCAGGTCTCCAGCATCAAAATCAGGTTCCTTTGAATGGCGAGGCTCATGGCGTGCTACATTCCTCAATATTGACGACAGCAATCTCACAAAGATCCAATGTGACAATGTCTTCTCAGACGTCTTATACCGACCATTCCTCTGCACCCACACCCCACTAACCCCCTACACAACAAACATACCCCACAAGAACCAAATCTCACGAATGGAAAACCTCACCCCGGAAGAATTCACGTCAACCTGGAGCGACAAACCCTTCATCCTAACCAAGCCCGTGCACGAATGGCCCGCCTATCATTCGTGGGACACCGAAGCCCTCCTCCAACAACACCGCGACACCAAGTTCCGCGCTGAAGCCGTCGACTGGTCACTAAATACCTACATTCAATACATGAACCACAGCAACGATGAATCACCACTCTACCTCTTCGACCGCGATTTCATCTCCAAAATGAACCTTCACATCACCAAAGACACCTCAAGCCCTCCCTACCAAATCCCCTCCTGCTTCGGTGAAGATCTCTTCAAAGTCTTCGGTCCCAACCGTCCAGACGATAAATGGTTAATAGTCGGACCCGCCCGCTCAGGCTCCACCTACCACAAAGATCCCAACGCAACCTCAGCCTGGAACGCCGTACTGCGCGGTTCAAAATACTGGATCATGTTTCCCTCGACGCCCTCATCCCCTCCTCCCCCAGGTGTCTACGTCAGCGTGGATCAATCCGAAGTTACCTCGCCCCTATCCATAGCCGAATGGCTCCTTGGTTTTCACGCCGAAGCGCGTCGAACTCTAGGCTGTGTAGAGGGCGTCTGTGCTGCGGGGGAAGTTCTCCATGTTCCGAGTGGATGGTGGCATTTGGTGGTTAATCTAGATGCCAGTATAGCCATTACGCAGAATTTTGTGCCGCGCGCACATTTAGTAGGAGTATTATCTTTCTTGAAAGATAAAGCAGATCAAGTGTCTGGATTCAAGAAAGAAGTGGTGGATCCATATGCAATGTTTGTGGATGGGATGAAGAGAGAGTATCCGGAGTTGTTGGAAGAAGCGATGGCGGAGTTGGAGAGGAGAGCTGAGGGGAGGAAGAGAAAGTGGGATGTGGCTGTTGCGAATGGGGATGGCGATGAGGAAGCTGGTGGCTTTAGTTTTGGATTTGGTGGGGATAGTGATGAGGAGGTACCCTAGACTTCGGGGTATGCTAAGGTGCTTCAATCCTACCTTGAACATAGGGGATAAATAACTTCATTCTGCAGCCGAGCGTTTCGTTTCTAGGCGGTCATTTGTATAGAGATCATGCTATAATGGCGCCGAGTGCAATATACTCTCCATGCAAACCATTGCGGAAATTGTGAAATTCGCTAATAGCTTCCCTTAACAAACGATAAACCCCCGAGATTCAGTTTATCTGGCTCTTAAATATTGATATGCGAACCGATACTCCCCAATTGTGAAACTGATCACTTCGCAGTTGGCTGCAGATTTTCTTCGAGACCCCACAGGTATTTCAACATAGATCAGCTTTTCCTCCTTCCCAATTTCCAAGAACGCCTACCATACCCCCTACCCGATTCCCGTACCATGTCCCATTTTCCCCAACAAGCAAATCTAATTCAAACACCAAATTCCTGTAGCTTCCAAAAATCGCCATCACAATTACAAAAACTGGCAATCACAACCTAAAACTCCTCAACCTTCACATCCGCTTATTTCCTCGTAGCTCCAAAATTAGTCCTCGCTTTCTTATTCCCTGTTGAGTCCTTGGTATCCGTCTCACTATCATCACCTCCTGCCATCTTCTTGTTCTTTTTCCCTTTTCCCGAAGTAGCAGATGTAGGCGTCGGATGATTCGATGAGCTCTCCCCGTTCTTTTGAAAAGTCATAGATAGAGGCGTAGGAGCCATAGCTGCAACTGGCGTCGAAGCACCCGAGGGTGCCGGAGAATCCTATTTCAGGTTCACTATTAGTGTCCACTCAAATTGCATGCGAGTCTCCTCATTCTTTCAGAGCTTTATGCCCAGCATGTACATTCGCTCGAATTCCTGCATCACCACTCCCTTCTTTTCCCTCCCTTTCCTCCGCGTCGCATCACACCATAAGAGAAAACTTCCCAAGTAAGACAGCTCAACTCACAACATTCACCCTCCAACTATACGAACTCCCACTAAACGGTCTATCCGTTCCGCCCGCCGCCGCACTCTTCCTGCCTGTCCCAGCACCCCTTCCCACCCCTCCTACACCGGCACCCTTGGCATACCCATCAAACCCATTAATGATGTTCCCCTGCGGCGTCTCATCCAGGTATTCCGTTTCCTTCCTAAAAATACTGTCTTCGCTCAGCGCCAAAATCCGATCCAGGCTCTTCTTTTGCTCCAATAATTGTTTGAGTTTTCGACGCGTTTCCTCGTAATACGGAAGGCCTGCCGTAGGATCTGCAGTACGGTTTTCCTTCGAGGCGCTACTGGTCGCGGTGGATGGTTTATTGGAGTCCATACTGGGGTGAGCTTGAATGTGCTGAGGGATTTGGTATGAATATAGCTGAGATTTGGTGGTACGAATGAATTAGGTCCCAGAAAAGGAGCAGGAAGCTGGCTGAAAGATATCTGGTGGAAAGCTTGGTGCACGGACAAAATATGGTAGCTTTTGCTCTTATCCGCTTATCCGCTTATCCAAGCTTGTGATAATCAGATTTTAGAAAGCCTCTAGATGAATAGGTTCGTTCTAGAAGTCTGCGGGTTGATATAGGGCTGAGGCTGAACCAGGAACAAACCTTGAAAAGCCTGGATTCTCGTCTGTTGTTATATGTCTACATACAATGCATTGGTTTGGGGAGAATTTTATGGGTGCAACGCTCACTCAGCTATCTATCAAAATAAATCTCGAAGCACTAACTGTGTGAATGAATTACTTATAAAGTCGTGACATAGCGGGTTACTTTTTAAGGTTTAAATTGATAGTGTCATCATGTTATGCAAGTAAGAAACTAATCTTGTAAATATATTTCCTTTTATGTGTCAGGTATTCCCTAGTGCCATAGCCCTGCGTATGCCTGAATCGATTGATATGTTCCTCAATGAGCGTTAGCATGAGATATTGAATGTTCAGTGGTACTCAAAGCTCTCATCTTCTTGATCTTTTCCCTTAGCAATTTTTCTCGTAATTCAGTGGCCAATTTCTGCGGATCTTTTCTCAGATTCTGATGTCAAAAAGACGGGTCAGCGAGATAACGAACGTGAACTTAGTCGGGTCTTCTTCCGACACAAATGAGAATCTTCTCTTGCCTTATGAATCACTACCTACCTCTGCAGGTTCGGCAGATCCAGCTGATTTTGTGGCTTCGACGTCTCGAGTTGGCGATCCCCTATCGCTTTTAACTTCAGCATCAGTCCTTTTGTCTCTTCCATCCTCTACACCTGAAGAGCTATCTCTTCTTCTTCGACTTGCGGGTTCATATCTTTGCATGGAACGACGCCTCCTCCCATGATCATTCCTTCCGTTGCGACTTTCGTCTTTTACGGAATCGCTACGACGTCTAGCGGGCGGGGAAGCACTCCGGCTAAGACTCCGCGTGGGTCGCCTCGCCTCGCGACTAGTTCGTCTACCGTTCCCGGCAGGGCTCAACGGTGATGCAGTTCTCTTGCGTGGAGCTGGGCTTCGGCTTAATGATGAAGAAGTAGATCGAGACCTAGATCCGGAACTCGTGTTGCGACGACGATATCTGCGAGACTTCGGAGGTGGAGAGCGACTTAAAGATTCAGTTGAAGCTCTTCTTCGCTTTCGAGGTGGGGAACGAGATTCGGAGGGCGAGGGGGATCTACGTCGGGGTCTTCTCTCTGGGCTTCTCGCACGCCCTCTACCACCTCTGCCACGGTTGCGCCTATCTGGCGATCTGGACCTCCGTCTACGAGGGGATGGTGACCGAGATTCTGAAACTGACCGACTGCGTCGTCTCGGTGGAGATCGCGATGAGGATTTTGATCTTGAAGGTGACCTAGAGCGCGATAAAGATGGCCTTCGTCTATCTTCCCGTCTACCACGCCCCGCAGGAACGTAAGTATCAAACTCTCTTCGAGGTGGCGGACCATAATCTCTATTGTCTCGTCCTCCACGTGGTGACCTTGAATATCTTGGACCTCTTCGATCAAACCCTCTGCCACCACTTCGATCAAAATCTCTGTCCCCACGACTGCCACGCCAGCTATCTCCCCCTCCTCGCCCACGTCCACCGCGATCGCCTCGTTCGCGATTTCTTATTGCATGCATTTCGCGATCTCTCCGTTCACCTTCTTCGCGGCGTCGACGTGCCTCATCTGCAGCTTGCTCGGCTTGTATCTAGCAGGATGTTAGCCAATGATCCCCCTGTCTTAAGCTATTGGTACCTTCTCTTGTATGAGTTCCATCTTTTTCGCCTCAAGAAGTTCCTTGGGAACTCCTTGAGGATTAGTTTGCGCACTCAGACAAAGTTTCCATAATTCTTTACAAAAGCCAGGAGTATCTTTGTCGAGGAAACCTGTAAGCTGTATCTGTAGCTTTTTAATGTCCGGCTGCGAATAATATTAGCTTAGCATATGATATACTATCAAAATAAAACCTACATATCGAGAACCCTCAATAAGATTAAAGCACAGTTCAATCACAACATCATCTTCAGCTCCTAATATATCTGATATCTTTCCTGCGATCCATCTACATCGCAAAACAGAGTCAGCTTGTCCCTTCACTTCGTCTGTAGCTTCAAGCTCATTTGAACGTACTTTTTCATAACCTCCAAATTAACCTTCTGAAAGTCGACTTTCTGGTTGAATTCAGGTGGAAATTTAGTCGATTTCAGCAGTTTCGCATCAACAGAAGTCATAGTGACTGCTGTTAGAGGCTATTGATGTTGGGATAGAATGTGGTTAGGTTTGTGGTTTATTGAAGTACAAAGTACGAGTTAATGTACTTGGAGCACCAAGCTCGCGAGATAATAAAATACGATAAAATACCTACTAAGCAGTCCACGCGCGTTCTAGCTTCTACAGGCATTGGGATATCGTCACACGGCATGACTCGCTTATATAATCATTCACCACATCGAATCACTCGTTGCAACGAGAAAAGACAAACCGTCCTTGAACATCGAATTCCAATTGGCAGACATTTCATTTGGATTGAATTTGGGTTTTTAGGCAATTATTAACAATTATTGATAGACTTCTGGGTCACCCACTTTTATCAGGAAAAAGATAGCTGCCGTAGTCACCATTTCATTGTTGAGTTCAAGAGTACAGCTAATATCTACTCCCCCGGTGTAAGATGAGTGAATTATACTTTTTCTACCCCGACATATACCTAGATAGAAATCTGTGGCTCTCATGACGTGTTTCACCAGGGGAAAAATGGTTGATGTGACTATTCCATTGTCAGGACTGAATTAAACATGGAAGCTTTTCGATTTCACTGCCCGAAACCATTCAGTCTTCATGGAAGACGAACGCCAGGCTTTTTCCTTTTGATAATTACTGGTGAGTGTAAGCTTGGCTTCAAATCATAATTACTATCGGATTCCTTCTGCACGCTAGATACAATGTGTTTGTTCATTATAATATCATTTACAATGGCTTGCCACCAATGAAATCGGACCACCTGCGAACTTCTCCTGGGATACCTTCTCTGCGAGGAAGTTTCTCGTTCATACATTGGGCAAAGAGCTCAGCAGTCTAGAAAGTGTTAGCATAGGATCTTTGAGGAATGAGGAGATTTCTTTATACCTTTGGCTCCATGAAGAGAGGAACACCGAAATCGACAGCGTTCCGGCGCATAACGTAGTCGGTATCTTGGACGGTCTTGCCTCTAGCGAGAGCAAGATTGAACACACCACGGATATCGTACTTCTTGAAGACTTCCCTCAGAGCTCTCTTATCCTCCTTGGGGAATTCAATAACTTCAACACTGACACCGCCCTTAGCAGTCGATTCCAAGAATTTCTTGACTTCAGGTTCGGCGGCGTAAAGCTTATAACCCAATGGAGATAAGTAGTCGACAATCTTTGTAAGGGAAGTCTTGGAAATATCACCGCCGAAAAGGAGACCTTCACCTGGTTCTGGCATACGGAAGTTCATGGTTGATTGAAGAGAAGCCCAGTAAGCTTCGACGAGATCCTTACCGAAGCAAGCAATTTCACCAGTACTGGACATTTCGACACCCAAAAATGGGTCAGCTCCAGCAAGACGAGTCCATGAGAATTGAGGAACCTTTGTGGCGAGGTAATCACGCTTGATTGCCATGAGGTCCTGGGGTTCAGGGACATTCTGGCCCACAAGAGCCTTGGTAGCAACATCAATGAAGTTGACACCAAGAACCTTGCTGACGAATGGGAAGGAACGGGATGCACGCAAGTTACATTCAATGACCTTCAGCTGTGGAAGACCTCCTTCAGGGTCCTGAGCCTTGATGATTTGCATATTGAAAGGACCGGTAATGCTCCAGGCCTTGGCAACCTTTTCGGCAATCTCCTTGACACGGTCCATTGTAGTTTGATCTAGAGAAGCAGGTGGTAGAACGAGAGTGGCGTCACCCGAGTGAACACCAGCCTGCTCCACGTGCTCACTAACAGCGTGGAGAATGAGTTTACCGTTAGATCCAACACCATCCACATCAATTTCTTCGGCACCTTCAATGAATTTAGTAATGACAACTGGATGGTCGGGGGAAACATTGCTGGCAGCTTCGAGTTTCTCTTTGAGCTCATCTTTGCTTCGAATGACAGTCATAGCTGCGCCTGACAAGACATAACTGGGGCGAACGAGTACTGGGTAGCTGACTTCCTCAGCAAAAGCCTCGGCATCTGCAACGGAGGTGAGTTCCTTCCAAGCTGGTTGATCAACTCCAATGCTATCCAAGATTGCAGAAAACTTTTGTCTATCTTCTGCTTTGTCGATGTCCTTAGGATCTGTTCCCAAGATCTTGGCTCCTCCAGTCTCCTGCAAACGGAGAGCAATGTTTTGTGGGAGTTGACCGCCCACAGAAACAACAACTCCAGTAGCGTTCTCAAGTTCATAGATATCCATTACACGTTCGTAGCTCAATTCTTCGAAGTAGAGTTTGTCGGCAGTATCGAAATCTATTTTTTTATGTTAGCTGAGACGACTATGGCGGAATTGGAAGATATTTAACGTACCTGTGCTATAAGTCTCGGGATTGTACAATGGGGGAGTCAGTATTGGTTCGAAATGGAGAAGTCCAGCAGACTCACGTTAATCATGACGGTTTTCTTGCCCATTTCTCTCAATGCAAGAGTTGCACTAACAGCGCACCAATCAAATTCGACTGAGCTACCAATTCTGTACACACCACTTCCCAAAATGATGGTTCCATTATCATCGAAGGTAACATCATGTGTTGTTGCATTGTATGTTGTGTACTAGAACATAAGGTTAGATCGTTTTCCCAGCACGACTAGAAATTTGGATTATCTAGAGGTGGACATTCGAATGATGTTGATCATCAAAAACGAACTGAGATAAATGTACTGAAACTCAGATTCAACTGGAATATTCAAATTGAGGAAGACATCTGAATCAAATGAGATACTCAAACCGAGTGAGAAATTCAGATCCAATGAAATGAGAAAATGAACAAAAAGGGATAAGGGAATATCCCTGGAAAAATTGCTCAGTTGAAATATAGAACCCAAACTGGACATTGAGGCTTAGGAAATATCTCAAGACAAATATGCCTATTCAAACATCCAAGTAGAATGAACTCCAAACCACGTTAAACTCAGAGGACGAAGTCGAAATCCAACTCAATCCAAATGTTCAAATCGAATTTGGATACCCAAACCTAGCTGGATATCCATTTAAAGTTGAAGGCCAAACCGTATGATGTTCCTCAAGGGAAATGTTGGCTATCCGGACAGACTTGGATGTTCAAATGAATCTGGACTTCCAAATAAGACTGAATCTCGTGAGATGGTTGAGCATTTGGATAGAGCCAAATCTCCAAACAACCCGCCATCCAAAGGAGATAGATGGAAAGAACCTTTCATAGACTCAAACGACCTGAAAGAGTTCAAACATCCAAACAGGAGGTAAAAAATGGACATTCAACCGAAATTGGGTATCCAAAAGACATTCAACAGTAAAACATAGTCGAATGCTCAAACATAGCTGAACGAAAAAAGGTCTTCAAGATAGCGAAAAGCAAAGGGAAAAGCTCACCAAATAGTTTGTAGAAGCTGTTGGAGATTGTGAGTTAGTAATTTCAAATCAAGGAAAGAGAATGGAGGCTATCTTGGGAAATGAACATTACGAACCTGGAAACTCGGCAGCAAGAGTATCAATTCTCTTGACGAAGGGAGTGATACCAAAGCTCTTTCTGCGAGCCCGAACTTCATCTTCAGTGGAGTTAACGGCATTGGCGATTTGTTTGTCAGAGAAACCCAGTTTTTTGGCCTTTTGAATGATTTCCTTCTTCAGTCCATCAAGATTACCAATATCCTCAAGCTCACGGGTACAATCAACAATGTTCTGAAGCTTGTACAAGAACCATTTATCAATCTTGGTAAGGTCGTGTACACGGTCGACTGAGTAGTTCTCGTGAAGCATGGCTTGACCAACAGCTAACCAACGACGATCGGTGGGATTTTGGAGTTCGTAGTCAAGGTCATCAAATTTGTCTCCTTGGAAACCGACGAATCTTGGGTCGACTTGACGAATAGCCTTTTGGATAGATTCTTCGAAAGTTCTACCAATAGCCATAACTTCACCAACAGACTTCATGGCGCTGCCGATGTCGCGCTTCACGTGCTGGAACTTTGATAAATCCCATCTAGGAATCTTAGAGACAATATAGTCAAGAGAAGGCTCGAAATTGGCAGTTGTAGTCTTGGTAACAGCGTTTGGTAACTCGGGAAGAGTGTGACCAAGTCCGATCTTGGCAGCAGTATACGCAAGGGGGTAACCAGTTGCCTTGGAGGCAAGAGCAGATGATCGAGAAAGACGAGCATTAACTTCAATAACTCTGTAGTCCAATCCGTCGGGTTGTAAAGCGTACTGAACGTTACATTCTCCGACAACACCCAAATGTCTGACAATCTTGATAGCAGCAGAACGAAGCATGTGATATTCCTCGTCGCTCAAAGTCTGACTAGGGGCAACGACGATGGAATCACCAGTGTGGATACCGAGAGGGTCGAAGTTTTCCATGTTGCAGACAGTGATACAGTTGTTGCTAGCATCTCTGACAACCTCATATTCAACTTCTTTCCATCCCTTCAATGATTTCTCAACCAGAATTTGAGGTGAAAGAGTCAAAGATCTAGAGGCCATGTTACGAAGTTCTTCTTCATTGTTTGCAAAACCAGAACCAAGACCACCAAGAGCGTATGCGGCACGGACAATGATTGGGTAACCAATACCCTTTGCAGCTTCTAAAGCCTCGTCCACCGTCGATACAGCGACAGATTGAGCAATTGGGATATTGATCTCACCAAGAGCCTTGGCGAAGAGATCTCTATCCTCACTGGTTTCAAGGGTCTTGATGCTGGTACCTAAAACCTTCACACCATATCTCTCGAAGATACCCATGCGCTCCATTTGTACACCGAGGTTGAGAGCTGTTTGACCACCGAAAGTGAGGAAGATACCGTCGGGCCTCTCACGCTCAATAACGTATGTGACATATTCGGGCGTGACTGGAAGATAGTAGACCTCGTCGGTAAGAACGTGAGCAGTTTGGATTGTTGCAATGTTGGGGTTGATGAGCACAGAAGCTACGCCAGCTTCCTTTAAGGCTTTCAAAGCTTGAGAACCTAGATTGAACAAACAGTTAGCATGCTATAATATTCCTCCTTCATGTAAGTTGCTTGAAGATCAACCTTGTGGAGAAAATCTGCACCAATAAAATGACTCATTCCACCAAAGGCTGATGTCTGGGGCACCAACCTGAATAGTCGAATTCTCCTGCTTGACCAATACTCAAGCCACCACTTCCAATGACCAAGACCTTCTTCACGTTCACTGGGTTGGCAGCTCCTTTTACAACCCCACTATTCAAGTATGCTTCTGCACTAGGCGCGGTTTGTGACTGATCCCTGAGGAGTGTCGAGCTGGAGAACATTCGAGCATATTTGCTATGTTTCCAAACTTGAGCTGGTTGACGATGTACAAGGCCATTAATTGAAGCTCTACTAGTGAATGCTCTCGCAGGCAAAGCTGGAGCCTTGCATTGGCGGAGGAGAGACGAAGATCGATATGCGAAGCGGTTTGCAAGCGCCATGATGTCGAATTGAAGCTTCAATTGAACTTCTTAAAAGTAATTTGTCCACCTGATCCCTAATATTTTGCCCTGCCAATTATCTCAAAAATGATTTGGCTTTCTGTGGGAAAATGAATGTGGTTTTGGACAATGGATTTTTTTTGTTGAAAACTACCTGGGGTAGCTTTCTGATAAGCTTTCGGTGTTGGTTGATAATAAAGGAATGATAAACCTCTCTGTCTTAGCAGATTGAAGTTATTCCTGGAGTTTAGAAGGTTCGAAGTCTCTAAGCATGGTCGGTTAAGTTGGGGAAATCAAAATAGTAATTGTGTGAGCTTTTCGATTGGGATGTGTTCTGAGTCAAATGATGAGGGTTGTGGTTGAAGTTTTTTGTTCTTATACCTATTTATTATTTAAGGTGATGTGAGTCTTCGTTGTGTGACCGGCTGCTTGGAACCAAAATTTTCTTAGCCCCGCTTTTTGATCTGCAAGGACAATCCCAACCAACCAACAAAGAGTATCTATGATTTAAGCCAACCTGGGTACTGATGAGATTGGAAATGAGTCAATTGGAAGCTGTCATTCATTCAATTAATACTCGAATTTACCAATTGATATTTTAGCATCACGACATACTCCTAGAGCAAAATAATCCATGTTGGCGACCACGGGAGCTATTTCATCGGGCCGGGTATTAGTCAGGCAACCTACCATATGCCTTACCACATGTGTGAAATTATGAATGAATGAGGGGTTCAACAACTACCAGAGCGATGCCGGCGGATGATAAAATCTTCTTCATGCATCATTTTATGTGCGTGGCAGGAAGACGTGGGGTCTGTAAGATTATATTATGTCACATTGATCTTCAAGAGTATCACACATTTTCATTTTCTATTAGCCATGATCTTGGGGCCTCTTCGGAACTTTGGATATCGCATATTGATCTGTTGATCTAAAAAAAATCTCCACCATCGGGTGTACTTCGCTTAGCACCTTCGAAAGGGGGGCGCGCCCTTTCGTACTTACAGAAAAAACTTCGTAGTATGCACTGTAATTGATATCATTGTGTACTGCGTAATCTACTAAATATTGCACTTTAAGTAACGCTTAGAATTGACAAGCTGTCAACATAGCAATAATTGGAGATTATCAGTATCTCAACCTATCACTCAACATTCACTTGCTTTGTAATTTTTTTCATGTACTGCCAACCTCTTCCAACTAGACCTAGATCACACACCCCCACCTACCCTATTATATCAAAATATATTTCAGTTGTGTGGTATCAACTTAATTCATATAGAAACAACGATCACCAATCGATCGCTAACCAATGCATTCTGACTCTGAGTCTTACGACGTTACTGATTGTTTTGTTTGTTTATTTTATTGGAACGTCGAAATGCTGATGTGCCACGATTTGGCCAAAGCATCGTACGCATCTTTTAGCAGCTAAACTAGCTCGACCACCCCGTCCATAGCTCTTGTGGTTACATGAAGTCAGCACTGCTGGTCATTGCACTCGAGTGAGCAGCGGACGAATTCAACACAATTCGGGGAAGGTAGCACCCAACCCCACAATGTGTGGTTGCCATACTATAGAAAGCCAGCTAAGATACAGCACTGGCTGTTGAGGGTCCCTCAAAAACATGTTAGACCTCCTGTCACCCGATGTATAAATCTCATGGATAAAGTATGGGTTTTTGGGCCTCCTGCCTACCTCCTTCTGACTCAGCTCTGATAATCACTACTCCGTTAGAGTCCACGGTCATTTCGTCAGCCATACTAGTCGCCTTCTCTATACTTTTCGACCTATGTAATTTGATTCATTGTCTCAAATGGGAAAGCAAGCAGATCTACTACTGCCATACCCAATATTTAAATAATACTCGAGGCTCTGTTAATGTGAGACAAGCCCGAGCTACGATCCAATGATGAAAACGTCTCAAAGATTCGGCTGCTGAGGAATTCGCAATTCCTCAATCATTGAAATAGAAGCTTGCAGGCTTAATATTCATAGGTTTCCAAAGAATTTGAAAGCATGTCCTCTTCCAAAAATCTAGATATATTGCGACAGCTGGGATTATAGGAAGTTGTAAGCTTTGAATCAAAAGACTTTCAAGGTCAGACCCCACTTAAACCCCCCATATGGATATTAAAATGAACTAGAGTGTTGGTCCTACTTTCAAAAGCATAGCCTTGCCTTCATTGGTATGAAACTGACCTTATTTTGGCGATGCTCCTGTTGATGAATGAGGGGTCATGATGTTGCTCGCTTTGTACACTAAAAGATTTACATACCGCCGGGAATGAAGATGACATAACCGAGATAACCGATAAGATACCCCATGAGCTCCTTATCGACACTTTTTCATCATCAGCCCTCTCCCCTCACAACCTTACACATTCACAACCTTATACATTAATCATAATAATAGATAATCTCTTTTTTACACAGTGTCGATTCCATAGTTTAATCATTATGAATCCATCGTCAATTCCATCACCCCCAAAACTGCAGGTGGCTCATGTTCTCGCTGATCTTAATACCCTCAAACAAGCGGTTCGTCATCTCCACAACTCCATCTCTCTGTCCATGTCTACTTCAAGGATCCTCCGCCCGCGCACTTAAAGCATTACATTATATTCTGTGGCTTTTGGGATCTCCACCTGCATTCCCGCTTACAATATCGATTATTTCCCTGATCATACGTGCTAACCAGTCTTTCGCGCAGCCTCCTAAAGCCACCCTCTCCTTCCTACGCACCCTCTCCACCATTTCAGCCGACATACACGAAAGGAAAACATCAATCCATTCACAGCCAGTGCCGACATTTGATAGCCTAGGCCGCCGTATACCTTCACTTCCCTCTGTTATCCAACCGCCCTCCGCGTTTCAATCCCTATCTCCTCCTCTTAGGGAACACTCACCTACAGAATCAATTGATCTTCCAGAAACCGAGGAATCAAAGGCAGAGAGTCGAGAGCGACGTCTTGAAAGAAGGAGAAGTAGCGGGGTATGTTATAGAATTTATACTGTTAGCTCGAAGCGATAGCTAATGAGTTATATTCCAGAAAGATGAGGAGTTCATGCGGGCGAAGACATTACTGGCGTATTACAATAATCGAGACAAGCTACAGGAAAGGGGTGAAAGGGGATTGGCATTATCACAGGAAAGAGTTAGTAAGGCGTTGAACGAACAGGCAGAAAAGAGACACCAGGTGAGGAAAAGAGCTTCTGTTGGAAGACTTGGAGTACCAGACACGGCTAGTTACTTTTAACACATAATTACTACAAACATTCAAAGACAATGGAGTGAAAATTGTTTATGCTGTTCTCAAGAGGTCCACTTAATGATCGAATATCAATGGATATCATTTGAACATTAAAGCCCTACTTACTCATGAAGCATATTTACAGTCACATCTACAGAGCTCCGGATTTCGGTGCCGATCAGAGCTTCCGGAAGCTCGTCCCATCAACGACAGTGGGGTCTCCAGGGTAGCATAAGATCTTCCACTCTCCCACATGAATTGCATACTCTTTAATGTCCTTTGACACTGTACATAGAAAGTTTGGAAATTGCACTTTTTTTGTATACACTTTTCCATTATGTCGTTAATCTTCCGTCGTGGCCTTGCCACCGTATCTCCTTTTAAAAGTGCTTCAAAAGTTGTATGCATTGGGAGGAACTACGCGTATGTTTCCCCTCCCCCACTCCTCTTCGAGATGAGTTCATCGATTGAAGACCTGCAAAATAAGTAGAGTGACTGATCTCAATTGAAACAGAGACCATATCACAGAGTTGAATAATAGCAAGCCCAAACAGCCATTCTTCTTCCTCAAACCACCTTCCTCAATCCTTCCTCCAAATGGTGGAGCTGTCATCCGACCAAAGGGCGTAGATCTACACTATGAAGTAGAATTGGCCCTGATCATGGGGAAGCAGCTCAAGAATCTCGAGCCAGAAAACGAGAAGGAGGCTTATGATTCTATCGAAAGTGTGTATTTTTGACTAATTGACTTAATCTTATTTCTAATCTTTGAATTACATAGGCTACGCAATGAGTATTGATATGACTGCTCGCAACGCCCAAAACGAGGCAAAGAAGAAGGGTCTTCCCTGGGATATTGCAAAGGGATTTGATACATTTCTCCCAATGAGCAACATCATCTCCAAGTCTCAAATTCCTGATCCCCATAATGCCACCGTGTGGCTTACAGTCAACAATGAGCACCGACAAAAGGACTCTACAGAATTGATGCTCTACCGAATTCCTAGAATATTGAGCGATATCTCCAAGGTTATGACTCTGGAAAAAGGTGACATTGTCTTAACTGGTACACCAAAGGGAGTTGGGTCCGTGAAACCTGGAGATGTTATGAGAGTCGGCATCAGTGTTGGGGGTAAGGAGTTGACGGAAGGAAAGATCGAAGTTGCAGTTGAGGAATCGACAAGTACATATGAATTCAAGGAGACTTGAGCACGTCACGTTTATACCGTTATCAGAATACCCGAAGATAGGCATAATGAGTTGAGTTTAGACTTTATTCAATAGACTGCATTCATTCATTATTTCTTTTCTTGTCGATCAAGAAAGATTTGGATCCTGGATAGATCCAGGCGGTGGTGCAGATTCCGCAACCGTCCCGCATTTCTTACATTTCCTTCTCTCCTCACTATCTTTGAAGCTATTCACGGCTTCCTTTATCTGCGTGCCTAAATCCGTACAATGGAAAGCAGCTTCCTCCACCACCTCACGGCAGTTGGTACAATACCATCTTAACCGATCTAACGAATCCTTCGGTCTCGGTTGCTCTAGGACAATGCCCACTGTATTTGCGAATCTGACGGGGTTATGCGGAGTATTTGGTGGCAGTAGGAACATCTCCCCTTCCCCAATGATTATGTCTTTGAACTCGCCTTCGTCCACCACTTTCAACATCATAGCTCCCTTGTACTGGTAGAACCATTCTGCAGTTTCGTTGATGTGATAATCAGTTCGTGCATTTGGACCTCCTACGATCTGCGAAGCTTAGAAATGTTTTGCGGCGATGATGAGAGAAGAGTTTCGTACCATAACAGTCACATCTTTGTTGTAAACGCAGTAATTATTAATCGGAGGCTTCAAAAGATGAGAGTTCTCTTCGAGCCTATTAGAACCGTCAAAATAGATCCCTTTGGCAATTTTATTGATGGCTTACCACTTGGGCAGATTTAAAGGGGCTGTGAGCATTTTGGAAGATTGTTTGGTTGTGAAGTTCTTCTCAAAACTCAATTCAGAAACTGAACATCTCGTAATTGCCCCTCCATCCGATGAAACCGGTTGTGGCAGAATAAAGGCGGTGTATTTTAGCTTATCTCATTGATGTCCGTGCGTTACGCGATAAAGCAAGTGAAGCTTGTCCGAGCTGTTGGATTTAGCTTTGGTTTGAGCGCATTTGAGAAGGTAAATTAGGGGACCCTCAACTTGTATCATTTCGGTAATTGGTGCAATTAATACCTAGTAGTCACGTCAACCGTCTAGGAAAAGAGTGATATATGGTATCTTGATATTTATCTCAACTTATCATCCTACTTTCATTCAACCCTTACGAACCTTTCTCAAGCTTACCATCTATTCCACCGACATCGATCCTCTAATCTCAAACCACAATAATCCAAACTCACAATGGATCACTCGCATATGGATCACAGCATGCACGGTATGGGGATGGATATGGGAGGAGATAGCTGTAACATGAACGTCAGTCTCCAATGTGCTTCATTCTCCCAATTCGTCAATCGTTAACACCCAATTGCAGATGCTCTTTACCTGGGACACAACCAACCTTTGCATCATCTTCCGGTGGTGGCACATTCGTTCTACCTTCTCCCTTCTCATATCCCTCCTTGGCGTCGTAGCCATCACCGCCGGCTACGAAGGCATTCGCTCCCTAGCCCGTCGCTATGAATCATGGGTCGAGAAACAACAAGCATCTATAACTCGTAAGTTCTCCTACTTTCACACATCATCCCTTTGGTCTTCTTCCCTCGACTTTCATACCTGAGCAGTGGAATGAAACGCTGAGATTGTTTACACAAATTAAGTGGATGATGTTACTGAAAATACGCCTTTTCTCTGGGCAGGACGCAATCAAGAGGAAGTGGGTCAGAGAGCACATATTATTAAGGCAGCGTTATATGCTTTCCAGTATTTTTATGCGTTTATGTTGATGTAAGTTCCTATCTTTATCCTTTCCGCAAATACATACTAATGATGTCGTAGGTTGCTTTTCATGACATATAATGGATGGGTTATGATTTCAGTAGGAGTGGGTGCATTTGTGGGTTTCTTGATATTCGGAAAGAACCTTTCGGCTTCGAAGGAAACGGCATGTCATTAAGGGTACAATAATGGATTTCAGAGAGTGGGCTGATTTACGGAAGATGATATTTATGCCGGATAGAAATGAAAGGTGTGGCGCGATTGGTGCTAACAACATATGTGTTTGTGAAAGAAAGAAGTTCAATATCTCGAGGGACACGGAACGTTGGAGAGTGGTACATGTCGAAAGCTTGACTTCAGCGCGATTGATTAGGGGTTTTGGTGATGTCAGATACCCAGTTCGGGTTGGAAGATATTCGTACATAGAGAGTGACACTACACTTCTTTGCATACTCCAATCTATTTTTCACAGCGAAATAGTTACCAAATATCTAATTCTACTTACTTGATTGCTGGCAATGCATGTTCAAATAAATCTTTGTAAGTCTTATGATGCACATAGAAAATACAGCGAAGCAGTCAAGCATCAGAGTGGCTTTGATTCGCCGATTGCAATCGGACTATATAAAGAGCATCAATACGCTTGAATTTATGAGTAGCTGATTCGCCTAGTCTGAAGTTATCCATAATGAGCATAAACTACTCGAGTGCTCCGACTTGTTGGCTCTCTTATTTTCCCATTACTTAAATTGATTATATCTCGAAAAAGAGTCTAGCACTTCCGCCCATAGCAATCCAGTCCAACAATCCCAAAACGGAGCGACCTATCGCTTACACCACACTCTTTCCCTCCAAAAACCGATTTCCATCCCCATCCCCATCTCCCAAAACCACCCTCCATCCATCAGAAAACAAAAGGACTAAAAATCTATCCCCAAAACAACCAAAAACTTCAAAAAGCTCAAAAAATTCGATAGCCGGTGTCAACTGGAAATTGTTACTCCAGGTGGGTGTCGAACCCACGACTTTCGCATAACTTCATATTTATCCCTGTGTAGGGAAGAATATAAGAACGACACGCTAACCACTCTGTGATGAAATAATTATTAGCCATGAGGAACCTTCATTTTTGGAATGAGGGCAGTAACTTACGCGTCACTGGAGTTTGGCATGTTTGTTTGACCAAGCGAGTGGTTTTAGTTATATGAAGCAGGTTTGTGCTGGGTGGGGGCTTTGGGCAGGGATGTGGTGGACCGTGTGTGAGGATTGTGAGAGGGGATTGGTGGTTGGGGTGGTTTTTATGGGGCTTGGAAAGGATGCTGGGGGGAGGGAAATGTTTTGTCTGTTGTGAGTATTGATTAATTCTTTGTTATAATTTATCTTACCTATTCACAACAAAGCGATAATACCTACGAACACTAACTCACTGCGCAATTTCAGTCCTGACCTCACTGCAATATTGTATCTTCATATCTACCATATCGTCGATCAGTTGGTGGTCAGCCTCGAACCGTAGCGTATGCCAAAGCGTCAAAGATCCAGATAACTTCACAAACTTAAAAACCCAAAGTATGACCAGGTCTTTCAATTGGACTGATGTTTTCAAGAGAATTTCGTTTCCTATCTCTTCATTTACTGAGTAAGTTTGTGCTAAAGAATGCTTCAGCTGTTTCATGCTATCACGTTCAACTACATCTCTATCCCCGGTAAATCTCTTAAGTTCATCTAATATAAGTTCGCAAAAATTGATTCAAACATATCATCTCAAAATTGTTAGAGCGTTTCACATTTCATTATCACGGGCTATTGAGTGAGGTTCACAACTTCCTTGTATTAGGGTGTATGATAGTATCCATTCTAAGAAGCCATTCCGTCTTGCAATCGTTACCAAGCTCAATTTCAATCCTCAAAAATATCGAAGCCCTTAATTTTAACTCTCCATGTCATCACAACAATCGTTTTCTGTTATAGGATTAGGCGTAAGTCGTTCAAGTTGGGGAAGCGGAGCGGACGGCGAGAGAGGTTCCATCTTATTGAATTTAGCTCTCATCGCAAAGACATCTTTGTCATCACTTGGAAAGGGGCTTTACTTCACCAAGGCCTGAAGGAAGTCCACTTGCGATATTTTCAATGGCTATTTTGGTTGGTTTTGAAAGCTCTTTTCCTAGAATCACCACGAGTACTGGTGTCCTTAGACAACGATATCTGCCTTTCCTTATACCCGATCGAACCTTCTTGATGGTTTTGTGTGTTCGCTTTGCCTCCTTTTCCTTTGCAATTGGGTCGACGGGTAACTTTTCAACTGGGGAATCAACACCAACGTCTGGTACAATGGCGGGAGCAGGAGCGGGCCCGTCAGATTGTTCCATACAGTTCCCCACTACTTCTGGCGATGTCAATGCTTCAGGCACTGCCTCGAGGGGTCTCATGAGCGAGGATTCCACTGAGGTATCAGCTCTATTCATAGACAATATGTTGTCTATATTTGGGATAGCTGTTGGACCATCCAAAACGCTCGTTCTCGGGCTCACTTCGAAGCAAGGACCTCGGAGATGATCGGGCAACGCTCCAAAGTCTTGTATAGTTGTGCCAGAGGAGAATTCAGGTTTATCATCGTAAGAGCCATCCATATCATGTTTGTCAGACACTGATAAACGTCTTGCTGGTGATGTCGGTGCCGTGTTGAATTCTGTGTAAACTTCAGCACAAGATTGTGGTTCGACTGGTGCATCCTCAAAAATGTCATCGTTTTCCTTTTCGATTTGCTTAAACTTGTGCCCTCCTTTATACCCCAGTGTTTTAAAAGGTTTATATGCCTTGAGTTTTGGTCTTTTACCTTGGGTAGTATGTGATCCGGAACTGGCAGAGCGCATTAATTTGATTTCGGGTGTTTCGTTGGTGTGTGTAAGATCTAGTTGATGAGTTAGAGCAAATAAGGGATCTTCAAAGGAAATGAAAGTACCGAGTTCAAAATCTTTTGAGGGGATTGAAGTATCGACCAATCGAGGGAAAGCCTCATACCGAGTAAAGGTGGTAACTTCCAATCCTTTACCTTTACCCATGATCTTCATAGTTGGAGTCATTTTCACAAATTTCTGAAGTACCACCTCCTCTGAGAAATCGACTAAAGTCGGTGGTGCAACACGGTCCTTGAGTGATTTAACGAAAGCAGATGAGAGTGGAGAAATTGATGTATCGCTTTCGGGACTAGAGCTACTAGAAGAAGATGCAAAAGGTGCAGATGAAGTTTTCGACCCGACCGGTTGGCTTGTTTCAAGGGTAGACATCGAGCCTAGAGTCCCTTTCAGGGATGAGTGACGCGATAAGTAGGTAGAGATGGAGTTGGAATGTTGTCATCGGCTAGCTTTATTAAGGGAAGATCAGTGATGGCTGTGTCGATATTCTAAGATTAGGGATGTTAAAAATGAGTGACAAAACGAGCGGCTACCAAAAAAAAGACGATGATTGTTACTATGATGTATACGAATGAGGATATTAGAAAATCTTTTAGGAACAGGCAGTTCGTCGTGGTAGCCCCTACCGCCTTTCCATTAGCTGTGAGCTAACCATCGTTCTTACCTCTCCTGCCAGTCTTGAATCCCATGGTAGGAAATCATCAATCAATTCTCCCTAGCAGAACAACGAGATAGATCACAAGCAACGTAGTACGTAAACCAAAACCAACAAAATCCATTTTCTGGGCGCAGAAATAATATCAAACATTCTGTCTAATTTGTTCAACCCCTTATTCAATCATATCTGACACCTACTATTATTTAGATATGAAAGAGTGGTTACTAATACTGTATATCTTGTGATGAGCAATAGATTTACGCTATCCCAAAGCACAAATCATCTTAGGGACTCGTTGATTATCACTCATAATATTTGCATTTACTACCCACCATCTACCATGGCACAATAAAATAATTAGAAAATTACTCCAATCCTCACAATACCAAAAGAAACTTCTTTTCTAATATTCGCTACTTGCTACTAGTAGTAAATTAAACAAAAGATACATCTAAGTCTAAGTCAAAACAGCATAACCTAGGTACTTAAACCCTATTCATATATAAGTTACCGACTTTCAAGTTCATATAATTAGTCCCAAACACCCCACCCCCTCCCCTTCTCTTAAACCCATGCTCAAAATATCCCCTCAAATCCTCCTTGAGTGTGAAAATCCATTCGTGCTTTTAAATTCTCAATCTTGAAAGTGAAAGTGAGCAAGAGCCTTGTTCTAACTTCTACTGTTCTATACATGTAAATTTCGTGATAGGAGGTAAGATTACAAGATAATATCAAGACCTTACAACTGATGATTTTGGATATTCATTTGCATCTGCATCTACATCTTTACCTGCATTTTTAGCTCAGAAACACCAAACACAGCAAAGGAGGAAAAACCCCCCCAAAATCCAACCTCGTTTGAATAAAAGTCCTCAGAAACCCCTGTACGCTTTTCCCTTCCCCCCTCCACACTTCCAAAAAAAACTCCCTCATCAAACAAAATGATATCAAATTTGGCTTTCTACGATGTTCAATGGAATGGCCATGGTGGAGGGTGATGTTGAAACAAAACTCCATTCAACTTCCAGCTTCCAACACATATACAAGTACATATTTAGATCTAGATCCAGATCCCGGCATCAAATCTCTTTCTGCTCTCTTACTTACTCACTTACATACTTATACACTTACTTGTATAACTCAAACCCACCACACCAACTCATAAATCTTCACACAAGACCACTAGGTATTTAGGTATTTCAAACCCACGCTAACCTCCTAAGGGTCTTAACCAGGAAAACCCACTGCGCTCACTCACTTAAAAGCTTGTGGTCAATACTTCTTCACTAGGTATCTAGTATGTAGCTAGCTACCCAAACCAACCTTAACCTCCGGATAAACCTCCTTTCTACAATAGGCTACAGTCCAAAAAAACCTCAAACAAAATCCAATCAGTACACAATTTTCCCGCTATTGCCTTTGAAAATCGCAATATCATTTCCCCTTCCCATTCTCCCCCGAGTATATCCGGTCGGTATATAGTATTACGTCAAAATACTTTACATTAAATTACTTGATTAACGACTACTCTCCACGTAAAAAATCCTCCAGTACTTGTTACTAATCACGTTGTAGTTTGCGGTGTCAAAGACAAGATTAAGTTTGTCACGATTTTTTTCGCATCCCTATCGCCTTTAGTTTGGATGGATGGTGGATGATAATCGTATTTCGATTCGCACTTCCCATTCCCTGGCTCGGAAGGTGTGAGTTGAAAACGATTGGACTTCAAACAATTCAGATTGTTTCATATTTAGCAAGTTTACAAGATAGGGAAGGTGGTGGATTGTTTGATATTTTCAACGCAGAGGATGTGGAATAGTGTAATGTGATTGGATTTCATAATACTTCATATACCCAAAGGCGAATATGCCTCTGTGGGATAGTTGCTTTTCCTCATCCAGGAGGATCTAGCGTCATGTATGTATCCATTCCTTGACGCGAAAGCCATCGCCATATCCATTACCACTGACAGTCCCTCTCCGCGCCATGGTTTAGCCTAATTCGCTTCCTCTTCATACGCCCCAATAAATCATAGGGTAGAACGTCTTGTCCAATCCTGCTCTCACCCTCCCCAGGCCCGCATAAATTTGTTTTTCCGTTACATTATTGAGCCTCGGAACATTTTGGCTATTAGAGACCTATCACAATCAGAGCATAAGCCGCAAAAGAATAAAATAGTCTGGGAGCTGACTATCCATTCAATCTAGCCTTACCCCGCCAACCCTTTTAGCAAGACGCTCTGTAGGACCATCGCCATCGAAAGGCGAATGTCGTTTTTGGGGTCGCTCACCAGTCGATTGTAAAATTGCAAGGAAATTTGCCCATCCAGGTGTTGCTATCAATTGATATCCATCTGCTAAATCGTGCTGTGTAGCCACGCGACAGAGAAGTGCCATCTCTTCCTACAAAACGCCGTATTAATATCTCGCTAATAAACGTGAGAAGGGAAAATGTAAGTACGTACTTTGCTTAGTATTCCCATACTATAAATGTAGCAGAGGAGATGGAAGTCTGATACTGCGAGGACACCATCGCTAGATTGGGTCAGCTGACCGTTTTTATCAAGTCCCAATTGCTTGCCAACGTCCTTGATATCTTGTTCCTGGCCAATGACTAAACGATTCTCGATAGTGAAAGAGTTCTTAGCCATGAATGCTGGTTTGGGATCGCTAGGAAACCCGTGAGTTAATGTGACGAGTAAATATTCAACTGGAAAAGATGGTTTAGCATTTTCTTGAACACTTCTACCATACTCGTTAATCTTTCGGTAGAAGACTTCGGGGATGTATCGTGCGCTCGTATCAGAATCGTCGTCTCCTTCACTACGAACGATCATCACAGCAGGATCAGCCGAGGGTTCGACAATATCTGCTCGAACCATTTCTACGGCTGTGTTTGAGACCTGATATGCAGATATGGCAATTCCTCCAGTCTCATCGGCTGTTACTACACATGTAACGAAATTCGAACCAAATTTTCCGGTATCACTCCACTTCGTGGGCTTGGGATGCTTTGCTTGTAAACGCGCAGCAAATGCAATTTCCAGCGACGATAGATAGTATGAATCAATATGTCGTTTGCATATGACAGTCCCGTCTCCTGCGCCTGAGTCGAGTAGATCAGTCCAGATGACGCCAACTCTTTCCATGCCGCACAATCTTGCCATCTCGTCGACATCTTTCTCGGACTCCCATTTGTTCAAGGTGATTCCATCAAGTTCGTCCACTTGTGGCGGTTCGTAGATGGCTTCCACAACAGCCTTCACTCCTAACGGCACCTCTGTGTACTCCTCGTAGCGACCGTACAGATATCCAAAACGTTGTGCGCCTGTAGACCTCCAAAAGACAAGTAAATTCTCAACAAGGCTTGCTTGCGCGAATTCTACATGATCTACCATTCGGAATTCCTGCGGTTGTAGAGTTATTGCGCTAGGTTGGCATTTCGTGCAGATACCCTCGGGCCACTGAGGGTGTCCTGATGGACAGTTCTTCTTCACACGATAATATGGCTCGGTCAATGGAGGCATAAAAGAGCTTCCTAACTCTGGTTTGTTGGTAGCCGAGTTGATCTTTCGCAGATATGAGTGGAATGACAGGTTCTTGATTTTTTTCTCGGCCAAGTATTGCGCATTGAAGGGCTCCAATGGCATACAATAATCGCACATTCCCTTCTCACCATGCCGACACATCTTCGTATCCCTCTTTCTGGGAATTTTTCCATCTTTCTTGTCTAGCCTATTATCGAGATCCGATTGTTGAACTACTTCCCAAGGGTTCTTGATCTTTTCGGACGGCGACGTCACTGCTTGAGCTGGAACATTGACAGGTATTGATTCTGGCAGAACGGCGCTTCCATTTAGACGATTTGTTGAGGAGGTAAGATGGGATGAATGGGTAGTCGAGGTGGAAGTCGTAGAATTACCATTCGGAAGATTATCCAATAGTTTATAATTAATGAAGACCATATCACCATTCCTCCGATTTATCAGCACGAGAATTACAGATTTATATTTCCTCACTTACTTAAGACCAATCTGCGATACTTTGGCTCTTGCAATCTCCATGAGTAGTTTGACCTCCCCGCCACTGGGCGCATTTGAAAGTGTTAGAGTCCTTGGGTCAAGGTTCTCTGGAAGGAGCTTTAAAAGCTACAGTATATTAGTAGAAGTCTATATAGATGTATGCAACTCATCATAGACCAACCTTATCGCCAAGTTGACCAAAAGTTTCATTTGCTTCAACAGCAATGCGGACTGTTCCATCAGGACCACGAAATCTTAAAAGCATCTTAACTTCTTCCTCGGCCGTTCTTATGTAAAGTCAAATGTATGAAGTAGATTAGACAGTTGAAGGGTAAAAATGTTAAAAGAACAAAGCCAAAGTCAAGTACTGTAGAGAGAATCGAAATCTTCGATATTCCTATTAATTTTGTGTTTCTGGTTGGTTGGATTGTTGAATGTGGAATGGAAGCTCTACCTCAAGTACGTCCTCCCACTACAGTACAGCACCAAGAGAGACATAACGTCAGAATTTGGTGGCCTAGCAAGTCTAGTAGGGTAGAATTAAAAGGAACTGCCTTGCCCAAACCGTTCACCGCCTTTGTAATATAATGCGAACGTTAAAGATACAAGGATAATAAAATGTGTTAGATTACCTAGATTGGTTTAGATCGGTTTATTAAAAAAGTAACTTCAGCTTATTTGTCCTGAAGTGGCAGAATAAAATGGAATGAAGATAAAGGACACACAACACATAAAAGGAAATATCTACATCTGGGATTTTCCAGCAGTTCACCACTTCAGTGAAATATTTTAAATACCCACAATACAATTTCTAGACCTGGAACTCTTTCTCTGAGTTGTCAAATCATCTCAAATCTCTCGGGATACTCAGAGATCTGTTGCGCATTCGATACAGCGAGTAACAATGTTCGATAACTTCGATTATGCGACCACTCTTCGTGGTTTAATCCTTCCTCTTGCATATGTAGTTGTCCTTGTTGGATCTTTGGGGACCTTTTCTTCATTATATAGAAAGCGGATAGCAGGTTAGTAAATCTTCATCCTCAAATGTGCGCACAACTAATAGGTACATCTAGCCAAATCTGCGACTCTTGCGCCTTGGTTCCCCCCACATCTACAAAGAAACATTTACTTTTCACTAGTTCATCTCGAGCCAGAAGAAGGGGACGAGAAAGCGCCAAAAGTACCGGGAGAGCTCATACGAGCGGCTTTATTGAGAAGGGCCGTCGAAGATATCCACCGAATTATCCAACTCAGAACAGCAAAGCAAGCATGTAGCACCTTGTTACAGAGAGGGAGCGTAGGCGATGATTTATGGCAAAGATTTTTGAGAGCGGAGAAAGAAATGGAGGAGGAGCTTAGAGATGTGGTCATGGAGGTGGGTCAAACATTTTCTAACTGAGGAGTTGAATTTAACTAATGGTAAATAGGCAAATGGATTGGCACCAAATTGGGGACAAACAATTTTTCAGTCTGCAAATGAAATAGCCACAAATACTCTGTTCAGAAAAAACGTTGATGATATTCAGGCTAGGACCCAATCTGAGAAGGAGTGGTGGGAGAAACGTCGAGCCTCAATTCAGTCAGAATTCATGAAAGAGTTAGATGAAGAAGCCAAGGCATCCAAAGTTACCTCACCAACCAAGTCCACCAGCATCATGAGCGATGAGGATGCTATTCTAGTTCAAGGAGGTGGGCCTGCAGCTAGTGAACAAGGAAGCCCCAGCAGGAAGAAGAAAGGCAAGAAATGAGTGGATTTCCTTGGCTGTCAGGCAATGAATGTATAAGGTCATAAATTTTGCACAAATGAGGCAAAGGTGTTGTGGTGTCCGGTGTTTTTACAGTTGTAAGATATTGCATATATCCCCTATGAGGGACGTACGAAGAGTTGTAGGATCAGTCCTTGGTATGGCTAGACCTAATATAAGATTACATTTGACTTTTAGAGGAAGGACAAGCAGACATTTTTCATCATCTTGCTATTTGCCTCTAAGCATTATCATTTCCTTCCTATAACATGGATATATGGCATATATCTGCTTCAACATTTATAGATTCTCTGGGTGGAAATGTTCGAAGTTGGACCTAGTTGTCCTGGTTGATGCTATTCTAGGCTGGTGTGAAGAAAGATGCTTTGAGGCCATTGATAACAAAAGTCTTGTCAGAACCTCCTTCAAAGAACCTTACAAGGGTTCTTTCAATCAAGTCATCAGAATATATTTCAACGCACAACAAGTTCAAAGACATGATTTCCTAATAAAGAAAAAATCGATCCCAAATACAGAGAAGTATTCGGACACAATGAAGTCTCATGAATGAGACAAGAACTATAAGAACCTTCTAATCACCCGTGTTCCATCTAGATCTCTATTGGTATCTAGTATCTACGCTATTTCTATATTTCGTATTCTCATACATTTTTTTATTTTTTTTGTCCTAGAGTTTTATCTTTACGCTGCTGGCAGCTTTGCGAATAATCTTGCACATCCTTTTGCGAATACATTCATAGCATTATTCCCTTTCCTTCATCTGAATCATTTCGGAAAAATCTTCATATATACGTCCACAGCTTTTTCTTTCACTACAAAACGATTTCACAAATCAGTGGAAACCACTGACACTGCGTGGTGTTCAGATCAATGCACAATAAACTTTTTCTCATCACAAAATCACGAGTGGAGAAGAAAAACAAAACAGACACAATCATGTCGACCATGAACCGCATCAGCAAAACCAACCCCGAGCTCGCCGCCAAGATCGCACAGATGGCCTTACCCCTCGCGCCACTCGTTCGCCTCACAACAGGTAAAGTCCATCCGTCGTTCCCAAAGCAACTTCTCAACTTCTGGCTCCTTACGTCCGAGGAACTAGACGAGCTAGCTCATTTTTACCATCAGCGTACCCCATGTGAATGGACACTCTCTTATCCATGTCCGGTACAATGGGACGTGAATGCGGATCTGGAGGTCAAGAGGAGGAGATTGGGAAGGTTTATTGGGTTGAGGGGCTGTGAGAGTCCGGTGGAGACGGTCGAGGAGATCGAGAGCAGAGTTCGGGCGGAAAGGGCGAGGAGAGCGGAGGAGGAGATGTGGAGTAAGAAGAACAAGTGGTATTAGGTCCGAGAGTTGTTCGTCAGCTAAATATGTCTCTATGGGTGCTTTGAGCGTTCGCATTCGCAAATTAACATAATTATATTTTACATGCATCATCTATTCTTTCTCCTGCCGTGACGCCTATTTGCCCCCAAATATTACAATCCTTTCCATGCCAATTTCGTCAAGTGATCTGTTTTCTTTCTACTCTGCTTGATCATACCCAACAGTTTCAAATCTGCAAGTCCCCTATAAAACAACATCAAAGCCTGTCTTTCACTATCATCCCCCTCGTCATATTCCGGTCCCAAATTAGCAACAAAAGCCGTCCAAAGATCGAAAATGTTAATCAAATTTCCTGCTTCTAGAAATAGTTTGTATAAAATTGCGGTGGGTGGATGAGACATCAGTGATCCTTCTTTCGTAGGATCGCAACATGCACAAGAAAGATACTCATGGGGCGAGGAGAGAGCCCGCTCGATCGCGAAGCGGGATTTGGGTGTAAATGCATCTTGGTAAGGGTATTTTAGATCGTAGAGCCAAATTTCGGACATAAATTGATCCTGCAGTTTGTCCACATCTACAAAATTTTGTATGGCCTGAATTAACCTGTCAACAAGAACCGTATATTCTTTGTCTTGCTTGGTAAGTGCTGATCTTTCGTCGCTGATTTTGACCTTGTGAGAAATAACTGTGGTACGTAGTGATTTGTTGTAGCTGCTGCGGATAGATTTTCCTGCCTCTGAGCCTGCGAGTGATGAAGCATCTTCCCAAATACCCACGATTTCTGCATAGAATTCTGGTTCCATGTCCGACCATTGTTCAAGGTTGAGCTCGGTGCTTCCATTTTCTATGGCGTCTTTGAGCGAAGTTACAAATCCTAGAAAATCATCTAGATTGGCACGTTTGATCGAATCTACGATTGAACGTAAATTGTTCGAGCTCTTTAAAGAACCAGCCGATGCTTTCATATAAAGATCGATTTTTCCTGGTGCTTCGACTGCTAAGGTGACTAGAATATGCATGAGTCGGAGAACTTTTTGCACAGCATGGTCTTTGTCTTGGATTAAAGTATAGGCCTCTTGGAGAAGGAGCTCATCATCTGTAATCAAACTCATGGAACGCTCTAAATTACCTCCCTCTAAAAGATGTTCAATATAATTTTGGAATGATGGTAGCATCCTGATAGCTTCAAAATGCTCTATTTGCAAAAGCGCAGCCAAATCAGAGTTGTTCTTGAGACTCAGAAATACACTCAAAGGGTTGGCGTAAAAATGACACATATATGCATACTAACAAAGTCAATGCTGACTTGTACATAAAATAAGAGGAAAGATTACCTTTAATGCTCCTACGAATGCTTGTACACTCTGGACATGATCATTTTGCCGTTCCATGAGACTCGATAGAATGCCTGGTCCCAGCTTTATTGGGGCATCTGAGGCAGCGATGACCTTCAGAAATATGGTTTCAAGGATGGAACTTGTTTGCTCCACATCGAATTGTGCTCCATGCAAAGATCGAGTAGCGACACGAGAAAGTCGTTCCTGGAATAAGTCGACGGATGTAGCAATTCCAAATAACAGGACGAAGGGGATGCGGTCTAGCCAGGAGCTGAGGGTCCAAAGTGTTAAGAATGATCAGGGGAGAGTATAGATATATTGGCTTACCCAAATAAGGATATTACGTCTCCAAGTAAAGCAGAGTCAAAGGCTTCACTATCCTGGAACGATACCACCACTCTACCACACCCGTGGGCTTTAACATAACCATGAACAATCCCTAAATCGTAGTTCAAAAATTTGCGGCCCTGGACGGTCAGCAATAATCGATTAAACGGAGTTGTAGCAAACTTAGTCTCACATCTTGCTCGAGGAAATTATCACTCTCGTCTTCGCCATTTGACTTTTGATGGGTGACATCTCTAATAAGCTTTTTAAGTAGTGCCTTCAAGTTTGATGATTCCCCAGATCTGAGGGTGACAACCGGGCCATTGACTTCGTTGGAAAGTCTTGTGGAAAGTTGTTCGAAGAGCAAGCCTTGAGATGCGATATTTGGTCCAGTCACAATAAATCCAGCTGGGACTTTGTCTGTGCTCCTTTGAATATCTATCAGACCCCATGTAGCTAATTGTAACTGAATTATACATACTTCTCATTCTTTACAAAAGATGTGACCTCTACTAAAGTGTCCTCATTTGCTTCATTCAGAATTAACTAATCCAATATTAGATATTTATGATGTCGATGTTTTATACATTGAGATTAATACCTTGATTTTTGTTTCAGTCTCTGTCCAATACTGATTAAACAGGCTTAAACGTAGACTTGAAAGTTCGGGAGACTCTTTCTCATTCAGTAATGGTGCTAATTTGAAAGAATCTGCATCTTCACCAAGTTCTGGGGCTTTTTTTGGCGTCTTTCCTACTTTCCTACGCTTCTTAGGGCGCTGGGGTAGGTCCTCTGAGGGTGCAGAAGTAGGAGTAAATACATAAGCCGTCTATAAGAATTTAGTCCAGTACAGAGCAGGAAATGGAATAGAACTTACCCGATGCTCTGCTCCATCAAATCCAACAAGACTATTGGTATCTCCGTTTATAGACATTTTTTTCACGTCGATTAAAAACGAAAAAGGAAAGGGGCACGCGTGAGGTTTTGACGTGTCCGTGATCTGCTGTCACGAACGGGAAGCGAAGTCATGCTGCGCAAATGGCTTATCCAAGGAAAAAGTTTCCCGCTCCCCAACTTTTTTTGCTGAGCCAACAACATCAATACTTATGCCGCCGCCACCCACCAATTTTACTTCTAGTATTCGTGGTTTCGTATGCAAGTCATGTCGAATAAAACTACAGATTCCACCACGAGCACCATGGCTTTCACGAAATTTTACGGCACAAAAAACCCCGCTGAGGTCGAAAGATAGAGGGGAAAAGGTACCACCGCCTGCCTCAAAGACAGAAGTGCAACAGCCTGAGCAGACTGAGGAGCCCTTCTATAAATATTACGACGAGACTCCAGATGGTGTGCGAACAGAGGCACAGCCTGATCCTGAAGAAGACGAGTTGTTGGAAGGTCTTCAAGAGGCGGTTCGAGAAATAAAAGATGATATTGGGGAAATATCAGCGGAGGAACTCGAGGAGGTAGACGAAGATGAAGAACCAAGCCTTCACATGGAGGAATGGGAAGATGCAATGGATGCGAAAATAGAACGTTTAGACGCCGAAGTAAAAAGATTGGAGAGCATTACCAATAAGCCCGGTCCCATGTCTGAAGAAGACCGGCAAAGGATACGAGAGTACTTCTTACAGTCTGTCGAGGAAGGCAAGTTTTTGTATAATGGCTCACAGTACGTCTGCTAACTGTCGTAGATGAAGCTGAAACTTCCACAGAGCTATCTCCACCCCCGACTTCTTCCACAACAGAACAATTTCTCAAGCCACAACCAAAGCCGGATTCCATCACCGTACCACAATCAAATCTAAAGACTCTTTTAATACCGGAAAAGCCATACCCTGAATCAGCCCGACCCAATATCAAACTTTTAAACAATGTATTGAGGAAAATCGATAATGATTATGGTCGTAGTGATTTTCGAATGGATGAAAGGCTCATGTATAACTTGTGGAAATACTACGTTTTATGCCGAAGGACTCTATTGTCATGCCCTGAACCAATTCCTGTAGCAGCTTGGGAACTCCTTTGGGGTTATGTTTCGTTACAAGATCCGACAAATCTGGATCGCATGGCGCATGTGAAGCGGCTAGGGTCAGATATGCAGAAAGCGGGATTACATTTGGGAGGGTCTACGTTGTTGTTATACATAGAAGCTGTCTTCGTAGAAGGAGACCCGAAGGCTGCAATTGAACTATGGAGAGCTGCTGGGCAGAGTTTTTTTGAACAGCAAGAAAACTACAACCTCTGGGATCAGTATTTGGAGCTTGGAACTCGGATGTTTGCTGAGAACGGCGACATTGACGAAGCCCGGAAGGCAGCATCTATAGTCATCCAGAGATCAACTGATCCCACCAGCGCTCGGATACTTATTCACACCATACAAGGCTGTTTGGCTTCAACAATCGCAAACCGCACTGCTGAAGCTTGGGATATCTACCTTGAATTTCGAGGACACATGGGGTCGCGTATGGAGATGGAGGACTACGATGTTATCAACGGGCTTTTCATGGGGGCTGGCAAGCCCGATGAAGCATTAGCAGTCTTTAAAGACATGATGCTTACAAATGATCCAGCTGCTTTAAAGCATGACTCAATGATAGCACGAGATTATAATCATTTCCCATTGATGTTGCACAACAAATTTTTCTTCGGAAAATGGATCAAAAAGCTCATTGGCAATGGCGATCTTGACGAAGCCAGTAAAGTACTTGACCTCATGCGAAATCTTGGAGTCTGCCCGGACGCCAAGTTCACGAACGGACTTATAGGTGCTTGGTTTCGTTCGGGCAAATTAAGGAATCGAAAGCTGGCTGAGGAAATGGGTTGGTCAATGATTGCTGCAAGACTTGATTTTGTCAAAGCGCGAGAGCAAGGGGTTAAGGGATTGTTACTTCCTTTGAGGGCTGTAGAGGGGACAAACAAGCAAGAGTACAAACATGCCAGCTTTAACCTTCTCCCTGCTGCTACAATCGAGACATTTTCAATTCTTGTGGAAGAATATGTAAAACGACAGAAGCACGAACAGCTTTTGGATCTTTACACAACCTTAAGTAAAGCAAAGATCCCGGCAAATACTAACTTCATGAACACAGTGCTCAAAGTTGACGCTAGATTCTCTTTGGACACCAAACAGATTTATCATACCTTCGTCGCAGACGGAGTAAAGCCAGACATTACGACGTTTTTACACTTATGGCACAATCTAAAACAACGGAATATGCAAAGACATAAACGCCATAATTTTTTTGGTACCAGAGAACTGTTTGCAGAAATGATGACATGGGTCAATAAGTTGAAGGCAGAGTTGGGTAAAGACGATCTACCGATGGAGCTTTATAACTTAATCATAATGAACTTCGGCTTGGTAGACGATCAAGCTGGATCTGCAGTTGCTTTGCGTGCCATGCAAAGGTACTTTGGAACATATCCTACGGATGATACAGCACGCAGCATTATTTTGCAAGTAACAGCTGTTGGTACTATAACTGGGCCTCTGGTAAGGCGGCTCAATATTAATAAGGGTACTAAGGAGAGGGTGCGACAGGTTACGAAAGTTCTAGGATTGCTACAATCGCAAAGAGCTGAGGCTTTGGCGAAGCTGGGAATAAATTATGATGACTTGAAAGGACAAGCAAAATCAGAAGAGGCGTTGATTTTACTATCTGACCTCCTACGTATCGTTACGCTACAGGTCAATAGTGGTCAAGACGGACGTACTGATGTCGTCAAATCATCCAAAAAAGCGGCGAAGGCGATGGGTGTTCCTGATTGCATTCCTTGGATTGTATACAACACAGCAGATGAGGAACTGCTGGATGTGTAAAATAGAATAATCACTCTCAACAAATGTAACATACCATATCGCTACGATCAATGTGCAGGGAGCCAATTTGCTTGTTGATGGCTGTACTCACTTTAGCTTGTGGGGAGATATATGCAGATGACTTATATTGGTGCGTAAATTGTTTCAATATCTCTATAGATTCCGTGTATAAATACTGTAGATTGAATGGTAAGGACTAAAAAGGGAAATCAAAGTGAATTGGTAACTTCACCAGCAGTGAATTCGAAGAAACCTTGAGAGTGAGTATTCAAGCCATACCTCGGCGATCTTATGATTGGCCGAATTCAAGCCTTTGCCCAAACATTTTGGTAAGTAAATCTGGTAGCCTCGAGGCGAAACCACAGCCTGACCCAAAATATTCCCAAACGCCCCTCGTCGTCGCTCCTCAAATACTCTTTCAAAAAACCCGGGACAGTTTTTTTTCAACATCGTGCAATCTTCCTCTTTTCATACCTGCAATAATAATTATACATTTCGTAAAAATTTAAAAGTTGGTTTTGTCTGCAGATGTGCAACAAAACTTTTTGAACATTGTGGTAGAAGTAAGCGTGAGATAGTGTATTCAATTGGGTGTTTTTCTACGAGACAGCACGACAAATAAATTGATTCATTTATCTCATCCATCATGACCGAAGACGAGGTTAAAAACGCAGAAGCTTCGAATGGAGCGGCGCAGGAAGAAGATGAGGAAGATGACTACATGAACATGATAATAGCGGAGCCTAGCAAACCGCGCGAGAAAGAAACATATACACAACGACGACATCGCATCCAACGCGAATCAGAAGCGCGATCGCGCACGAAATCGAAAGCTGAAGTAGCAGCGGAAGAAGCAGCAGCGAGGGAAGATGCTTTATCGAAATCGATGTTGGAGACTCCAGCGAGCGCAAATAGTAAGGGGTTGAAGATGATGGCGAAGATGGGGTTTAAACCCGGAGTGGCGCTGGGGGCGAAGGATAATGTGGGAGCGAGGTTGGAACCGGTGGTGGTGAGTGTTAAGGAGGGGAAGGGGGGGATTGGGTTGGAGGAGGAGAGGAAGAGGAGGTTTAGGGAGGAGGTGGAGAGGGAGGGGAAGAGGGTGAAGGTTGAGGAGGGGGAGTATAGGGAGAGGGTTAGGAGGGAGAGGGAGGAGGGGAGATTAGAGGGGATGGTGGGGGCGGCGATGAGGGTTGCGGAGAGGATGGATGGGGAGAGAGAGGAGGAGATGCTGGAGAATGCGGTTGGTGATGTTGGTGAGGGAACTGGGGAAACTCAAGATGGCGTAAAACGCAAGATTTCTACAAAGCCATTGAAGCAGATCAATGTTTTATGGAGAGGATTAGTTCGACAGCGCGAAGAGAAGGAAAGAGATAGGAGGATGAGATATGATCTCCAACAAAGTTTATCACGTTTACCGACCTACGACGACGAAGACGAAGACAAGGATGATAAAAGAGCACTGGGAAAAGACAGGATACAGCATACTATTGTGGAAGATTTGGAGGAGGAAGACCCTGAGCTTGATGCTTTTAATTTACTGGAACCGGCCGAGAGATTACAAAAGCTTGTCGAGCATTTGAGGTCCGAGTATAATTATTGCTTCTTCTGCAAATACACTTATCCCGACGATTCAATGGATGGCTGCCCAGGTTTAACGGAGGAAGATCATGATTGAAAATCATCAAGCTACATTATGGAGATTGTAATAACATTGTGATACCCAAGATCGGTTTGTTTGATCACTAACTCGAAGTTATGATGTATCGAATGCCTGCATAGTGCAAATGACCGAAGAAATTCATGGGTATCAATTGACTCTTATTTGTGCAACCATTCATTTTATGAACCTATCTAACCATTTATGTCTTGTCTAATCTGACAGCTGGATTTCTCTCGATGAACCCTAAATCAACCTTGTGGCCTAATAATTCTCGAATGTTGTTCACCTAGAAAGCGAATTATATTAGCTGCTTGAATTCATGAGCGTGAGAGGATATCTTTCTTACCTTGTATTTAATCATAGTCGGACGCTCCAAACTCAATCCCCAGCCGAAAACTTTCATATCTTTTGGTAGACCCATGGCCTCCAACATCTCCGGTCTGAACATTCCACTGTTTCCAATTTCAACCAGTTTGCCGAGACCTTTGTGATAACTGAAAATTTCCATACTTGGCTCGGTGTAAGGATTGTAGGCTGGCTTGAAGCGTAAATCTTCGAGACCCATTTTGTTGAAGAAGACCTCCATGAATTCCATTAGACCTCCGAGAGACAATCCATAATCTGCGATAACACCCTCAACTTGATGAAACTCAGCTAGATGCGTAGCATCCACAGTCTCATTACGGAATACACGATCAATGGAGAAGTATCTTGCTGGAGGTGGTCGTCCATCGGGCCCTTTCTGTTGAGCTAACTTATGTAACATCGCTGTCGAGGTCGCTGTCGTATGCGTTCTAAGAACTAGGCGTAACGATTCGTCCGCAGCCCATGGATATCTATAACCAATTGACCCGTATTTTCCCTCTTGATGAACTTCCTGTACGTTCTTCCACAATGCCTCGTAGTCTGCTTTGTCCTCCTCAGACACTGCGCGTGGTTTGTCTGCAGTTTTGGGATCTGATATGTAGAAGGTATCTTGTAAATCTCTAGCAGGATGTTGTTGTGGGACGAAAAGGGCATCGAAATTCCAGAAGCCGGTTTCAACAAAGTTGTTTGTAGGCATTTCCTCGAAACCCATCTCGAAGAAGATTTGGCGGAACTCATGTCGTACTTTATTCAGAGGATGTAATGCACCAGAGTTTTGGTCTGCTCCAAGAGATTTGAAGTTATATGGTTTGAAAGCAGCAGTTTTCCAGGCACCCCTAAATGTGTAAGCACTTTTTCATAACCAAAGGCGTCGTTAAAACCCACGATGCAAGCATGTCTGCTGTCAAATCTGTCTCCTCCTTGACCATTTCTAAGGCAAATTTCGGTCCCTTCGAGATCTTATAGCTAATAACCTTCTGCATCTTTACCAGCTTACGTTTCTTGAGTTCGGTTATGACTTTTGGATCTGGATGCGCACGCGTCTTTTGAATGATCTCGAGCTGTTCTCGAGTTACATCTTGGATAGAATCGATCTGCAACAGTTAGGACGCATTCTCCAAATTGTAATTATTTTTGGGAACAACTCACCGATGCTACCAGCTTTCCATCTTTACCTTTTGCAATCCATTTCGACTTAAATGCTTTACCCTGTCCTACTTTGACCACATTCTTATCGCCTACAGCAGCTTCTAATTCTGAAACCGTGAGCCCGTCCATTGCCTTTTGTAAAGCCTCGAAAACTCGTGCCTCGTGACTGCCATTGCTTGCAATTTCTTCAGCTTCGGCTTCCAGTATAACTTCTTCTCGATCTATTGTCTCGTATGAAATCATGGACCTTGAACCAAGTCGATCCAATGCACCTTTAATGTCGGTAGACTTTTGAAGAGGGAATGCTTCCGAGGAAAGGATATTGTTATGTTGAGAGAGTGCCTGAAGGATCTCAGACGGTAAATCGGTCGCCATTTTGAAATCTACAGGTTTGTTGTTACAATGATAATAAATCTCAGAGGTGACTCAATTCCAATAATTTTGAAGTTCAGGTGGGGTGTTGCCTTACACTGTTTTAAGGCATCAGGAGGGGTTTTTAATAAATCTGAGGACCCCACTGATGAATCTACAAACAGTGAACGCACCCACCAAAATCGAGTAAATAGATCTACAAGGTAAGATCTTATTAATGAACCTTACAGCATCCCATTATTCCTCAAGGTTCCAAATCACAATCAGATTGAATCCATGTTCCGATACTCCTTCAAGAATCCACGTATGTACTTGACGTCCACGTCTTAAATTCTTGGATACTTTTCACAGTTCATAGTTCTTATTGCATTTGACAATCAAATATACCTTACACTTACAGCCTTTCCGACTTTGCGTTCATCCATCCTTCAACAGCAATACGATTATGTGATCTGGATACCGGGAAGCGACCAATGTTGATTGCTAGCTATTAGCTTCTATCTCTTTATCAATAACATCAACATTGTTGTGAAGATATACTCGACTAGTCTAGAGCACTTTCTATTAATTTTGTCCTTGGCAGCAGATTTGGTGTCCGGCTTCTTCTCGGGTCAGGAGGCATGCCACTGACGCCAGACACTCTGGCAAATTTTAAATTTGTATCTTACTATTTTCGTCTCACTTAATGCTCTGCTAGTCACGCTAGCATACCGGCACATGGTTGAGGATAAAATGAACATACCCAAGATCGATGTGGGGGACTTTATTGTTTCCAAAAATGATTCTTCATCACAGCATGTCGTATCGGAAAAGAGGATTCAGTGGTATTTATGGCATAGGACGTAGTACGTGACTACAGCACAACCATGTACAAGGATCTCGACCCTCCTAGGATTTCGAAACACCAACAGCTGGAGGGTAAGCTCTTGTCCATTTATATATCACATCTCCTCCCTCAAATGTCCTTTTTCTTCATTTGCTATACATTATTATCTCTAGCCCTTCAAAAATACTATTTAACATTGTCTTGACACCGAACCAAATATCGAGAGGCAGTAGCTTCAAGTGTCACTATAGCCACGAGATCTTTACTGCAAGACCTTGTTGGCAGCCCTTATACCATACGCAGGCACATCTCTCTGCATCAAGATGTGTTTAGGGATGACTTGCTGTACGGATGTATCGTCGTTTTCAGCTGGCTCTCCTACTTCCTTTCTTCTATTCACAAAGCTACCCACTGAGCTCCGTCTTCAAATCTGGAACTACGCGATCTTACTCACCTCTCCATATATTGGTCTATCCTGGTCATCATCCAAAAATCGTTTCATTTCTGATCGAAAGCCTCCTTCTTTGCTTCATACCTCAAGCGAGTCCCGTGCAATAGCACTTGCTTATTGGACTTTCGCATCTCCCGCTTTTTCTCACACCTGTATCAATTATGATCGAGACTTGTTGTGTTTCAACTGGCCATCGATGGGATCTATCCCTGGTCGCCTTGGTGGTAAAATCGCGGAAGAAGAATGCAGGAAGATAAAAAGGATTCTCATACACGAGCACTACCTCATCCCGCACGTGTTTGATAATCTACGAGAATTCAAGAGATTCGAAGGGTTGGAAGAATTAGCAGTCGCATGCCATCATGATAAAGATAAAATAATGGACATGAGGAGGTACGGGTATATGTTTGCACAAATGTGTTTCGATAAGGTAGAAGAAGTTGGACGTGGTTGGCCAACACATTGGCCGAGGCTAGTTTGTCTAGCAGAAGGGACAGGGCAGTGTTCCAAACACTGGTGGTTCGACAGGTGGAATGATAGAGCGGTGTCTAGATCGGATCGAAATTGGCAGGAGAAAATGGCCATGCTTGTAAGGGTAACAGCCAGGAATGATGTTGACCCTGAGGTGTTTCATTACAATTCACAGTTTTTACGCCTGGTCATGGGAACGTAGAGGAAAGGGTTGCTTTGTCTCATTTGCTGTAGTTGGAATTGGCACGCTGAAGTATGAATAAAACCAAAGTCAAAATATGTAGTTTATAGAACCGTCATTTTTCATTTATTATTAAATTGTAAAACTAGAAGCTAAAGAACCCATCTCTTCTCTTTCGAATAATTGAGAAAGTTTGAAAGATTTAAATCTTCTCAGACATCCGAGCCGGTAAATCAAACATGACGCTTATGTAACCGGAGCACAGGACTACCCTGTAACACCTTAGGTAATCATGCTGTCCACCTATTTCGTCCCGTGCAATAAACGGCTTCCAAAAATCCCTCGAACATCGACCAGCGAATTATCAGAGCTGCAAGTCTTACTTGCCCTCTCTTTTTCACAGCCGAAAGATGTGAACTTCTAAACTTCTATTATAAATACCACACATCACCGATGACTCCTGAAAGCAATGAACAATGACTCTACATCAGTATCGGGCCCACCGGCAACCTCTCCTCACGTCAGAAGTGGGAGCTCGAGCCGACGACGTCGACATCATTCCAAGACCCCGGCTCAGAAAAGAGCTTACGAGCAAATGAGAAAGAAATATGAGTTGGCAAGTTCGTTGATGACGAATCTGGACTTTGCAGTTTATTGCCAACTCTGCGTGTTGTATTACATGGAGTATGAAGTTCACTGGCACTCTTATGATTCCCTAAGCTAACATCCTCGAAGCTGCTCATTCTTTCAACTATGCATGCGTGCTCTCACTCAATTTGTTATCCTTACGCCAAAGCCGAAGAACGTTAGACCACCTCCACAAAACTCCTCTCTAGTCATCATGTTATTAGGCACGAATATTCTTTGTATATTTCTACACATTTTCCTTGCGCCATCTGGATCTAGTGAGGAGATGAGGGGTTATTTACACGGAGGGATAATCATCGACCTTATTGGCCAGAAAGGTCCTTCGTCGAGGCTGAAATTGGCAGTTTTCGATTTGCTTGTGTTGACTTTACAATCTGTATTATTCGCAATACACCTGGATAGAGAGAAGCTTGACAAGTTTCTTACGGTCTATGGGCAAAAGACCACCGAGGCGCAAATTCCACCTTCTACACAAGATTATGATGCGGAGGAACGAGGGGTGTTAAGAGATTCTGTTGCGGGCCTGGGGGACATCGAAATGCAACCGCTGAATTCCGCAGGAGGTGCCTCTCGTCCACATGGCCAGGAATACATCCCTGAAGCAGACGAGGAAGACGAACGAGAAGAGTTGCTAGCTGAGCCAGTAAATACAGAGTCGGATGATGCACCGTTGGATATATTTTGGTCGGGGACGGCCGTTATAGGAGAGTTTAGCGTTTTAGATACCCTTCGCAGTCAGTTGGCAGTTTCAGGGACCGCATCTGGGTCGTTACGAACAAATGGGTTATCTGCCAATGTTGCCGAGCTTACGTCCAGGAACCCGAGACTAAATTTCATAGCTCGAAGATTTCAGCGCAACATGTAATAAGACATGGATGCACGAACAAAAGTTCTGCACATAGTGTTATGAAATGGATACATACTATATAGCATGATACTCTCCTGATAAGTGTGAACAGTTAAGGTTGGTTTTATTATGCTTATGCTACCTATTGAACGCCTCTACCAACATTCCCTACTCCCGTGCCCTTAACGCTTACTATGATATCCTCACTTTCGTCCTCTCCTACATCCCGTAAACCCCAACTGCTTGCTCCAAACTTTTTTAGATCTCTCCCTAACCCTATTAAATCCTCTGTGGCTATTACTTCTCGCCCTAATCTCAATCTGCCAATATCCTCTGAGCCCATTGCCATCATAGTTAGAACCGCGGGTGCTCCAGCCTTGGTCACACAACCTCCTTGTGATATGATTTCCAACAGCTGATATGCGCACTGCTTTCCAATATCTTCGGGCGCGACACCTCCCGCACTCGGAGACACCACATCCGCCGAATATATTACACCCACCGAACTAGTTTCCGCAATCAATGCCAACCCAAATCCGACTCCCGTTCTCTTTTTTGCGCTCGGATTCGTCTTATCCCTGGCTGATACTAATGGCGCTTGATCATACTGTGTCGCAATATGAATATCTCCTACTAATGGATTCAATATTCCCCTGGCCTCGTGTATCATCCTCGCATTATGACTATTGCTCACACCGGTCGCATATGCCACACCTCTTATCCTCCTCACCCTGCCTGGACTCCTATTTAAATGCAAAGTCTTAGGCAGCGCCTTGATTTGACTTCCAAACCTTAACTCTACCACACCTCCACCACCTTTGCCTCCTGGGCCCGGACAACTTCTTTGCAAAACTCGAATTTCCAACTTGCTGGCCATGATGCCGAACGGTTCGTAGAGTGGTAGAATAGCCGTCCTGACGCTATCTACCGATATATCGCCCGCTTCCGTCGAACTTGTGATGACGCCCTCTCCCTCAAACCTTACATTGACAGCCTTCTTCGCAAAGGGCGCGAGCATACATAAAGGCAGTAAGAAATAACTAACGCCCCGAGTATTATTCGCCGGCAAATGACATTTTATCACTCCATCCACATCTGCACCCAGACCATCAATCGATCCAGCTATGACACCTGGATTATAGACCAGTGTGGTACCAGTATAGGATATTTGTACCGAGGATCCATTGCTGATAGATTCCAGCAGTCGCAAGAAGGATACTTCGTGAGGAGCAAGACCCGGATTGGTGGGTGAGGAGCTTCGAATCTGGGAGATATGAATTGGGCGACCTGTTAGGGCAGAGAGAACCAGTCGGTGGCTTAGAGACTTATGAGTTGTGAATCGAAGGATTTCTGGAGTAGGGGCGGACATTGTATATTGTGTATGAGGTTTCTTGTCAGTTCCGATCGACGAAATTTATTTTTTGCGATAAATAATTCTGCCAAACACCGCTCCTGATAAGGAGGCGGTGTGGGGGAACCAAAGGCTTTTGAATTCAATCATCCACATGCATAGCTTGCCATATAGATTCACTCAGGTCTGAAATAGCTTGAAAATTCTTCAATGTTTATCAAGTTTAGCAGTTTTCAATATCTAAACAATCGAAGGAGTTTCCGGATGCCTTGATGATAGTGACAGACAAATAAGGTCAAAAATTTACGGTATCATATCAAGCGATCACTCAATTTGCCTTGGGGCACAAGGAGAAGTCAAATCATTGGAAATTCCATTAATATTTTCATGTCTTGTGTGTGGTATTGCCCAATTGCCTAACGAAAATTGAACAAAACCTTAAGATCAGACGAAAAAGCGAGCGTTCATCCGGGCCAACTTGAAAATCCGTAGTCAAACTCCTCACGCATCCTCCATAACGTGCTTTTCAGAAAACGAAATTTGTACAAGGTGTGGTTTGTGGCATTCTGGAAGCCAGGAGTAAGAGAATAATAATCCAGTAGCTCTTAGTGTTACAAGGGGAACCCGCAAAAGCAAATGCGAAAATATCGACCCTAAGCATGGACGACGATACCTGAAAAGATGGCGACTGAAGACCTAAAAGGGACCATATCTGTCCATTAATCGATTTTAAATGTTGATCGAGAACGCCAGTCGTAAGCTTTTTCAACCTAGGCTGGTGTATGTCTTTTTCCTTCCACCGAGGAAAATGATTTATGCTTCTGATTCAACGGCTGTTGCTTCCGCTTCCTAGAATTATGTTAACTTTTGTTGTTTTATCTCGGTTTGTAACGGCATTACCTTAGGAGAGTCTTCTGCTGCAACTGGCTCGTCATTACTGGCCTCGTCTTCTTTTGGTAGCGCGGTAAGTGGTGTCTCAATGACCGGCGATTTCTCCTCTGCCTTCGTCTCATCGTGTTGGGAGATGCCATTTGCTGCCATGCTGTCGGCTTTTGGCTCATCTTTCTCCTTGCTCTCATCCCTGGAGCCGTCGGCAGCTCCCTCAGCGGTAGCTGGAGCAACCTGTTCGCTGGCGAGAAGCCTGTTCCATTTATCAAGCAAGGACTGAGACCTCGATTTGAATTGAAATTCGTCTTCTTTTGGAATGGCTGGTAGCTTCAAAATGGCTTTAAGAACTTTGTTGATTTTGGTCACTCTGATGATGCTGACCTCGAGATCGGCATAACCTTCGAGTTTATTCACGTACTCGGACATCTGTTGCATCTCATCGGGTCTTGGCTCCTGATCTTTGGTAAGGAGACCTTTTTGAAGCTTATGTCTCAGGAACAAAATTTCTTTCTATAGCAGCTGTTAGATGAAATCACCAGGCATATCAAAGGACGTCAACATACCTCTTTCTTGACCCTCTTCTCTTCAGGGGTCAGTTCTGGTTCTGGCGGAACAGCAGGGGCGGCTTCTTTAGCCTTAGAAGCAGCCTTCTTTGGCTTACTCTTCTCCTTTGCGGACTTAGGCTCCTTTGGCTCTTTAGCCGCTTTTGGAGTAGACGTCCCGTTCGCAGCCTTTGGAGTGTTGTTCAATTTGATGCGAGGCTTCTTTGGGGCGGAGTCGGGCTGTTGCTGCAAATCATGTTAGTCTCGATCAACGAATTTCGCGACAGAATGGGAACATACAGTTTCTTCATCAGGATTCTGTGGAGGGTTCTTGCGCTTCTTCTGATTCGATTTTGGTGCTTCGACCTCATCATCATCATCATCAGGGATAGCACTGACATCCATCATCTCTGTGTCTTCATTGTCGTCCAAGGTCGGGACAACCTTTGGCGTCTTCTCTTTCTTCTCTTTCTTGGCCTTCTTGGCTGCCTTCGCAGCCTCTTTGGCTTCCTCGTCAGCCCTCTTCTGCTCCATGAACTCTGTCAAGACAGTCTTAAAATAATCCAAATCGTTTTTTTCAGCAGCAAGTTGATGCGCAGCATACAAATCTTTGCGCATATTATTTGGGACGTCCCCAACTGTATCTAGGTCGAGGTCGAGAAGGTCGTAATTAGGTATCCAGCCACTAAATCGATCAGTAAAAATTCATCTAAAGAGTTCGGATGGGTGCTACTCACAACTCATTTGTAAATAGATACATAACCGGGAATGTTCTGTCTTTGGCCTTGGGACCGCCGTCTTCATAATCGCTTCTGTATGTGCCATCTGCTCTCATTGCTGTGACTGGGCGACTTTTGATGAGGGTGCTGGGAAGCATAGCCTCATCACAAACAATTGCAGGCCACAAGGGATAGCCCTTCAATCGCACATAGAAGTAGTCGCCGGGTTTCGCATCCGTGTGTGTCAGCTTTGCCTTGGATTGCTTCTTGTTTAACTTCTTCTTGTGCTCCGGCACGCCAGACTTGCGTCGACCCTTCGATTTGCTGGCCGAAGCCGGGGTGCCAGCGGCAGCATCTGCTAACTCCGCAGACTCATCTGCTGTCGGAGCTACACCCTCTGATTGTTCATCGTCCTTCAATTCTGCGTCCTTGATCTCCGCCTCCCCCTCGGGAGCACTGGACGCGGGTCGCTCCTCTTGAACCGAGCGATCGGGGATTGTTTTTTCGTCCATTTTCTCGGCTTTAGCTTCGGCTTTGCTATCTTCAACTAAATGAGCAAGAGGTGAAATTAGTAATTGTAAAGTGACGTGAATTGAGACAATGGATAAGCATTCATACTTTGTTCTGTCGCGCTTGTGCCGGAAGTCGCGACTGGATCTTCGGAGACAGCTCCATTCTGAACACCATTGCTACCGTTGGCGCCTTCCGATACCTCGACTTGGGGCTCTACAACAGCATCGTCGGGAGCTGAAGTGTCCGCAGACTGAGGAGGCACCACCTCATCTCGCGTGCTTGCCTCATCCGCCATTGTCGCGACACAGCTTCAAAAAAGTTCAATGATAGTGGTAAGACGTATTGGTAGGGTAGTTATTGACGCGTGAGGAATGTCTGAGATGATTAAGATAATCGCGGATGAATAAACTGATGGAGGTGATAAACTTTTTGCTGAGGAAGATGCTTTGGAATTCTGGAAATCAAAATGTCGCTTGAAAAGAAGTTACGCGCGCTACGCTAGTGAGGCAATAATCACGTGGCTTGGCTGTGGATTCTGTAGAACTCTCAACCACCCCAGCCTCCCGGATATTAGTCGGAGACAGTGATGCGGCGCAAAGTGAGCTTCAGATAACAATAGTACAGTAACAAAGCTCCACTAACCCAGGATTGAATGTGACATTCAATCTCAATGATGAAAAGTGATTGATGGTGGAGGGAAGGAGATGATAGAAAAATTTTTGTGGATAATAAAAAGAAATGAAAAAAAAAAGATCAATAAGACACCATTGACAGAACCTTCTGTCGTGCCATGATCAACACACAAGTAAGAACCCGCCCACTGTTGGGCCACCTTTTGACGTAGCCAATCACTTCGCGAGCAGCGTCCGTGGCACAGGCAGCACAGTCACAAACATCGAACAAGAACCCAATAAGGATGCGGAATCCAAGGCAACCTCCGAGCAAATCAATGAATCTCAAGATATGCTTTTGACCAACTAAACCTATCTATTATACAGCAATGCTTTCGTCGAGGAGAATAGGGGGAAGTTGCTCATTCTTCATCTTCGTCTTCTTCATCATCTTCGTCCATTCCTTCTGCCACCGAGACATGGAAACTGGGATCTTGATCGACACCCACATAGCTGTCGCTCATGAGGAACAACTTCAAATCATGCTCCCCTGGTGTAGGTACTGTAAACTCAAGCCGAAGATTCAGCGCTTTTCCGATTGTGACCCGTTTGATCGCAAGTAAAGTTTTCGAGCTTTCATCACCCACAACTAACCACCAATTCTCCATTTTCTTCGCGGGGTAGAAAGGAGCATGTACAGACGTGTCCACCTCTGCCGCATCATCATCCTCGTCAACATCTCGTAAAATCTTAATTTTAATGTAAGCTGGTGATCCAGATACAATCTCCTCCGGATCCTCCACTTCAAAGTCAAGCTCGATGTTAGGATACTTAGAATTTGTAAAGTGGGCAGCCTGCGCTAATTGAGTTTGCGAGAGACCCAGTCGTTTAATGAGAGCTTCATAGTCTGGATTTTCGGAAGGGTCCATCGCATCCATAAACTCGAAGATGTCCTTGATACTGTAGATAAGTCTGATTAGCGGGGGTACCTGATCAATTTGACGATTTAAAACATACCCAGATTCATTTGCAGCTTTGATGACCTCAGGTGTGAAGTGAGGAATCTGTTTCAGAGGACTGTCGCGGTCCCACATCCCTTGTACAACCATTTGCGACATTTCCATGGCATTCATGGCGTTGATGTGGCCATCCGAAGACAAGACATCCACGGTAGCACTTAAGAGACCGAGGACTTTCGTCAGGATAATCTCTTGATCTTTAGCAAGGTCGATCGGTAGCTGCATTCTGGAAAAATGAGCTTGAAGAAGTACAAATGCCTTGAAGTGAGGCGAATCAAAGCTTGGTTGTGCCATCTTGACAGGAAGTCTATCATATATTCTACGTAGTAGACTATCTTCGTGTCTCCTAATCTGGATGGATTCGAACTCGGTCGCCGAAGTGACAATTTCCAGAATACCCTTAAGCTTAGTGCGACCAGTCAAAGACAGCAAAAAGGTCTGCATGGTTATGTACGAAATGTTGTAATAAGCAGCAATCATCGCTGCATTTAATGGAGTGACAGAATCATCCTCTTCATCCAAATCAATGATCTTGAACTCGGCCAAGTCTTTCAAGGTAGTTTCTACAAGCTCCGAGAGGTGAGCACTCAAACCTTCATGGGATGTGTCTTTGAGACTGTAGTAGCTAGGATTGGCAAGTAATCTTCGATAGAAGTACGTGAAAGTAGTCCAATTGATGGCATCACTAGCTGACTCGATCATTTTTGTACTGATCTCAGACACGAAAGCATCATGTAAGTACACCTGGAGGTGACTCTCAATCGGAAGAGCTTCATTCAAGAACTTCTTGTAGTACTCTCTTTTGACTGCTGGTACCATCAGAACGCCTTTACTAATTTTGTCTTCCATGGGTCGTGTTGCTTTGCCGAACATCTGCAGTATCTCACTAAGAGGATAATCAACATAGCGGTGCTCCCTGCCTTCATAGAACTGCGTACCCATCACAATAACTAAATGTGCTTTGGAATCAAGTTCCCAGCAAACATCACGAGACGCAACCATTACTTGTATGGCACCATTATCGTAAAGGTGTTTCACAATACGTTTATCGCCCGTGCTAAGAGCCTCATGAAAATAACCTATGCCGTGCGAGATAGACTCTGCAAGTGCTTCTTCTTGGATGCGCTCTAGTAAAGGCTTCATCTCATCGACGTCGGCGTGTAGGAAACGATCTTCGTCATCGCTAGCTACACATGCAAGGAGTAAATCACGGGTAGTAGCACGAGCCTGCTTTCTACTAGGAACGAATACCAGAGCAGGCTTGTCTGGCGACATTTGATTTATGGCAAGGTAGGTTGGCTTCGCCATAGCAAGCATGAGAGAGGGGAAATGGGGAATAGTGAATGACTGAATATGAAGCTCTAGAGGAACTGAACGGACGTGGGGGCTGAAGTTGTAGATGTTATGCTTCTTCGCGTCAATCCATTCTCCGATGTCACGAGCATTGGCAAGTGAGACACCCAGGCCCACGATTCGCAGTGGTAATTCAGTTTGTGATCGGATGTAATGCATGCGAGAGACAATGATTTCATAAACAAATCCAGCCTGCCCACCAAGCATGTGCAGTTCATCTGCGATGAATAATTGAACATTCTGAATGTTCTTTCGCCGTTGCCATTGTCGCGATAAGACATCCCATTGGGAAGGAGTAGCAAGGATTAAATCACCCCTCTCCAAAAGTTTGAGGTCGGCAGTGGTTTCTCCTGTGAGCTTCACGATTTCTTTGCCTCCGAGAAGCGTCGAAAAACGCTTTTGCCAATCTAGATGTCGAAGATCAACAAGTTCTTGGAACGGAGCGATATAGACAGCACGTCCCGAGTCGGCCTTCTTCCAGTGATGGAGTAACGCAAACTCTGCGCAAACAGTCTTGCCGCTTCCTGTGGACGCTCCAACAAAAACATTGTCATCTGTATCAAAAAGTGATTTAAATGTTTGTGTTTGGATTTTGTTAAAGCGATCCCAGTCAGGATAAAGCGATCTGAATTCATCGATTTTCAGTGCTGCAACAGGTAGAGGCTGCAAATCCAACAATGGTGTATGAGGTGGAAATTTCTCAGGTAAGATGAGTTTCTGGAACGAGACTGCAAGCTTGGTCTCACAATTCATCCATCGATCCGAGATGACGGTGATAAAATAATGTGGCGGCATGGGTTCTGTGATGGGGACCGTGAATTCGACAAGATGCTCATTCATCTCGGATTGAGCAAAATCTTTACGAAGGATAAATTGATCATGGAAAAGTATGTCCTCGCCGTCACAATCTTCGGCTATGATCCAAAAGCTTTCCGCAGCGCCATGAATTTCTTCATCCCACTCAAACTTGGGCGTGATGGTTAATTCCACCCTCAACATTGATCTCGTCATTGGCTGTACTTGTGCCTGAAGTTCTAATCGGGGAAATTTTGCAACGAGGTTGCAGACAGTTCGGCCAGCTTTCGGAAGGCCTAGCAATTCGCCCATACGTGGTGGATCAAGATCGAAGTAGTTGGCCCATGAGACGTCAATTCTTTCGGCTTTTTGTACGATGTCCCGGGGACATCCGGGGAATTGTCGAAGAGGTGACATAGTGGGCCACATACGCTTCTCTGCCATTTTGCAAAGTTCCAAAGCTGTCTTAGCTACCGATGACCAGCCCTTTTTGAGAGTGATTTCGAAGATAGCACGCAAGATTCTTCCAGCTGATTGAGTGACGTAGACCAAATCTGCCATTAACGCAAGTCCGTCCAGTTTCAATCTCGAAACATAAGCTTGTAGCAGTACATTTATTTTGGCATGGGGTTCCTCAACACTCTCTTTTACGGGAATTGGCACACGTCCCAAAAGTTTGGCCAGTTCCAACTTTTCCTCTTGGCGAACTGGGATGTACTTGAACTCGTCGCTCAACGCAAATACGCGGAAGAGCTCAATTGGTGTGATCGATGGTTGGAGGTGGTGATTATAAGTCAACATGGAGCCGTGTGTAATGTAATAATGAGAAGCAATTCTGCCAAGCTCGGTCGCTTGTAGTTTGCCAGTCTTCTTGTCGTATTTGATAAGGTTAGACTTCTCCAGAACCATAGCAGCAGAATGAATTAAATCAACTCGTTTTTGCTCAAGTGCACTGTCATCTTCATAATCGGCTCCTACGCTATACAATCCAGGTGATCGAAGCATTCGGACGAATAAATAGGTGTATCCTAACCACTCGACACCTTCGTCTCGACTACGGACATTGCCAAGAACAACCTCTGCATTTAGGTTGTCTACCAATCTGCTAACAAACTGACTCTCGATCGGCAATTGTTGATTCAGGAGTGACAGATAATACTGCATTTCGTTCTGCGTGGTGATGATGATACCTTCCCCGTAAGTGTCGTACTGCGGTCGACCAGCACGTCCAAGCATTTGAAGTACATCTTGGGGACTGAGTTCCACCCAGCTGCCTTTTTCCGGGGAATAGACTTGAGTACCTTTAATAATGACAGTGTGCGCTGGTAGGTTGACACCCCATGCCAATGTAGCAGTGCATACAAGGACTTGAATTAGACCTTCATGAAAGAGTTCCTCGACAGATGTTCGATCAGGCCTGTTCATACCAGCATGATGGATCCCGAAACCGTATGGTAACAAATCCTTAAGCTCCCGATCGCTAACCTCCTCAGCCTCGGAACTAAGAGTTTCTCGAGTTCCCGACACATCACTCCGCAATATTTGTCCAATCGTCTCCATTTCCAGGGCTTTGTCTCGAATGTATCTAGCTGTTTTTGCTGTCTCCTTACGAGAGTGCACAAAAATAATCATCTGGTTTCGATTCTTGCCTACGTGCTCCAAAACCTTGGTATAAGTCACGTCATTCATTGTCTTTAGTTGTTTGATGGCCTTTTTTTCTGTTATGCCAACAAATTCCTGGCGAAGCGGACAAGGACGGTATGATCCATCAAAATGGAACATCCCTTTGAGAGGGTCGACGCGAAGAAAGCTTGCGACATCACGGTAATTTGGCAATGTGGCTGAAAGACCGACCAGACGAACAGGATCGCCCGTCTGCTCCATCTTTCTAATCGTCCGACTCACAATGCTTTCTAGAACTGGTCCACGGTCATCGTGCAAAAGATGGATCTCGTCAATAATGATGAGACGGACAAGATTGGTGTAACTCAGATCAGTAGCTTTTCTAGTGATGACATCCCATTTTTCAGGGGTCGTCACAATGATTTGGGTATCGGCAATTTGTTGCTTCGTGAGCTGACGATCTCCAGTCAATTCGGAAACCTTGATACCATATGGCTTCAGTCTAGCACCAAAATTTCCAACTTGTTCTTGAACTAAGGCTTTGAGAGGTGCAATGTAAACTATTTTAAATGCGTCCAGATTGATTTCTCCAGTCTCTGGGTTGCGGTTTTTACCGATTTCTCGTAATATAGTCAACATTCCAACATTGGTCTTACCACTTCCAGTGGGCGCGCAAATGAGCATGTTACCATCATCCTCAAAAGCTGTCGGGAAGCACTGAGATTGAATCTTGTTGAGCTTCACTGTAGATGAGAACGGCACCCGTGCCCATTCAGGCATTTCCGTAACCGGAATATCACGATCGGAAGGGTCGTTGCGTTTCTTGGGAGGTGGCACGTGAATCTCTTCGTATCCTTTAAACGTTCGCTTGGTAGACCCCTCGGGCAATTTGACCTTAGGGTTCGTCATCAAATGATTGCCTTGGTCAAAGACGAGATTTTCAAGGTTGATGAGCTTTCGTGGTTGCAGTCCACCAACCAAACCATCTTTGTCCTTTTCCTCATTCTTCGTGCCGCCATTGATGTATTCAGCTGGAACGTCGATGTCCATTTTAATTTCCAGTTTCCGTTTCTTTGATCCATCTCCTGGAGCAACTCCACGAAGCTCGTCCAAAATCCATCGTAGTCCCTCGGAAGCAATCTCACGCTCAACAACACCTCGAGCTTCAGCATCTTCAGCTCGAGCTAAACGCGTAAGCCAGACTATTTTATCCCGGTTCGCGATCAGCTTATGTACCAGCTCGTGATGCTCGTAGTCAAACAGTTCTGCGAGATCATTTTCGATTTCTCTAAGAGGCCTCTCATCGCCACCTTCTTCAGCGGGTGCTCCAGAAAGTGTATGCAGAACTTCCTGCGTTTTAACTTGCTGTACATGAGCATCCGTGTAAACTGAGCCAATCTGTCGTTGCAACCAATATGCATCAATTTCACGAGCTGGTATGAAATCTTTCTTGTCTTTAGCTGAGTCAGCATTCTGCACGGAACCAGAGTCCATAATTATTGCTTCCTCTTCGGGTATTTCCTGGGGTTCTTCATCTCTATCGACTCCGGCACCACCAGCCATAGCGACTTCCTCGTCACCAGGACGATCTTGTGCATCATCCTCGTCTTCGGACGACTCTTCTCGAATTTCATTAAGCACTTCATCACCCTCGTCGTCGGAATTGTCGTCGAATACAACCGCTACTCCCTGGCGGTCATCTATTTCCGCGCCATTTTCGCCGCTGTTGTCTCCATCTGCCATTTCTTCGTCTTCATCCTGCGCGTCGTAATCTGTAATTTTTTTGCCTAGGTTCACGAGCTCGTTGAACTGTTTCGGATTCATACTGGCGCCTAGTAGATCATCAATTTCCTTCTTCTTGTCAAAATCTTTCATGTCGTCGTCTTTTAAATACTCCAACACAGCATCCGTGGCGCTTCGAACAACTTCATGGGGAACGTCTCCGAGATTATTAGCTACTGTAGTTAAAATAAGATCGTAAGTTGCTCGCGTCGCCGAAGTCCTAGGTCTGTACCGAATTCCCTCAACCAATGCATCTGCTGCCGACAATATTCCACTTCCTCGAAGTTGTGCTGGCTCTCCACGCTTGCGTTTGCGCTGTTCTCGTTCCAAGACATCCTCGCCTTCGCGATAACCTCCTCTCTCAACATCTGGAAGGCCCGAAGCTTTCTTCTTCTGTTTCGGCGCGTCCTCGCGTGCAGTTCGCGACCCCATATCCCGAATGCTGATTTGCCCCGCAAGTGATTCTGGATCTCCTGTCACCTCATCGTTGCGGCGAGTAACGAATCTACGATCCGCCTGGAGAACCAGGTTGGACATCGCCGCATATTTATACTGCGATACATCGCGCTGTTGGTCCGTCATTTTTGATAAGTCGTCGAATTACGGTGTGAGAAAGGCTGAAGCCTAGATGGCGGATGTTGAGAAGAAATCGTTAGAAGATGGCTGGAAGAGAGCTTTCAAGTCATCTGAAGTAATTCTCCTTAAAACATGGATTATGAAATTTATCTCCAATACATTGATGAATCAAAGAAGGTATGTAAAGAAAATTAGTAGACGCCACAGCAAAGGGTATTTTGATATAAATCAAAGAGGTCTCAAGCTTCCAAAATTCGCAAAATTAAGGTTTAACGCGAGGCCACTAAATTTACTTAATAGACGCTAGTGGGCCTGGCGCTACTTGTACCTGTCCACTACTCTCCACGTCAACATCAAAATCAAAATCACTAAATAAGGTAAACAAACCATTGTCTCTAGTGACCTTAACCAATATCGCTTCTGGGCGTCAAGCAGTTCGATTTATCGGTATTTCTATTTTTATCAAAATGAATGATTCGGAAAATCTTCCCGATGGTATTAAACAAATACATCATACCTTAAGCACTTACATCAGACAGAGACAGGATGCTCTGCATGTTCGACGTGTCCTTGCTGCTCACCTAAATTCCAATGTGAATGCTGGAGAAAGTATCTTGACGCCTATAAGTTCGTCTCTTCCAGAGCCTACTTCTGATGTCAAGCAAGGATTGGGTTTTCCGGGTGTTCAACATGAATATCTACGCAGTCTTCATGCTAATCTGAAGGCCCAAAGAGACTTTGCAATTCTCAGTACACAACATGATGAAACAGAATCTCATAGCGAGATGCGAGCAAGGACTCAAGACAAGGTTACATCTAAGGAAGTATCTTTGCAGGCTTTTCTAGTCTTAGAAAAACGACGTCAGAGGCAAGAACGCTTTCGCATTATCCAAGATACTGTGGATCAACTTGCACAGAAGCCCGCTGCGACACAAGCTTATCTGGACCCAAAGAGCTCAGAAGTGCTGAGAGATACTGGATCGTTACCGCCAGTACCGCCGAGTGTTATAGCACCCACAGAATATCACCAAGACTCTGAAAGAATTGAATTGAAATCACTGGTCAATCGATTGGAGAAGTCGGTCCTCCGAGCACAGCTTCTCCTCAAAAAAGAGCAGAAGTTATTAGCAAAAGTTAGAGGTGGAACCACCACATCTACAGATCAGCAAGAACAGGGTAGTCGACAGCAAGCACTGGGAACAACCCGTAATGAACTAATTAACTGGATCGAGATGGAATTAGGGAAAGCCGGAGATTCGACACCAGCAACGGAGGGGCAAGGCCTAAGTATGCCTGAGCATGAGGAGAAGGAATACATTGATTCTCAACTTGTATCCATAAAGCAAATATATGAGCGATACCTTGATATCAGAAAAAGGTTAATCGTCGCTGCTACTGGGGATCTTACTACACCACTCCCTACAGATGTTGGAACAGAAGATTCATCTGGCATACTCATAGAAGAAAATCCAAATAACTCCTCGAACATCACAAATGCGCCGACATATCCTTACCTTGAAGATCTGGTTCTCATCTCAAACGAGCAGAAGTCCACCATACAGCAAAGGTCTTATCTTACTAGCAGTCTCACAAGGCAACACAAAGAAGCCGGTAAAGATCTGGATAAGCTAGTAGACGAAAGCCATCTCTTGCCTGCTTATCCCATGCAGTCTATTACCACCTCTCAAGGGAAAAGGCTTGGAGATCCGATATCGTTCGAAGAGGATATTTCGAATAGCGATAAGCCAAGCTCATCCAGTCGAGCCAAAGCTTGGGTCTTTGCGGCCGAGTCAAGTAGCATCGCGACTAAAGAGGCAGTTTTAGAAAGACTAGAAGATGGAGAATCGGCTCTCACAGAAGCCTACAAGACTTTAAACGACCTTCAAACCCTTTTGGGATGTGTTCCCGAGGGACAGGGTGTAGAAAGAGATGTACCTTTTGGCAGGCAAAAGCTGGGGATCTCGAATATCGGAGGTGTTTGGTCGACTCTGGATGGCAATCTTGGTGTCATAAGGACAGACGATTTGATGTCGGATTAAACGCATTACAAAAGGCCTAGGGGTTGGGCTTTTGAGGCTCAAACGTCGATGCCTAGGTGGAACTATATATGGTCTGCATGGCCCAGACATTGGAGTGGCATTTGGTCGGCCTCATGGTAACGATAGCAAGAAAGCAGGGCGAAACATGGTGTAGTCATTGTATAGGTAAAGTTGGACAAGTATACAGCATCATGTATTGTAGATTAGAAATTTCCCAAATTATTACTTGCTTGATGTCAATTTAAACACAAAAGCGTTTACGAAATAATGATTGCATTTTCGACGCATTTGAGTGAAGCCAGTGGGTAGCCTAAGATTTCGAGGTATTTCAGCCTCGCGCTAAATATGTCGCGTAAAGTGGAATTTCACGACGCGTCTCCCTCGATAATGTGATATCCGTCATCTGAAGTTCAAACTCTTTGCAGCTTGTAAATCTCAGGAAAATTCTGTGTTTTCTTCAAAATGGCTAGCTTCTTCGATATTAAAGCTCGTAAGGCGGAAGCTGCGTCGAATGGCACCGCCAATATCAAAGAGAAGCCTAAGGGAAATAATCGGATGCAGCCATGGGTTGAAAAATAGTCAGTCACTGGTTTGAGCATAATCTCTTTCTTTTAAAGCTTTGCTAATGATTTTACAGTCGCCCAAAGGGCTTGGGAGATGTCACGGCACAAGATCATACCATTACTGTTTTGCAACGCACACTCCAATCCTCTAATGTTAGCTTTTTTCTCATTCCCTTCTTGGAACTCCCTCTAACAATCTACCTCACAGCTTCCTCATATGCTCTTCTACGGCCCTCCAGGTACGGGTAAAACATCCACTGTTCTCGCTCTCGCCAAGGAACTTTACGGCCCCGAACTTATTAAATCCCGAGTCCTTGAACTCAATGCCTCTGACGAACGAGGAATATCCATCGTCCGCGAAAAAGTAAAAGATTTCGCCCGTATGCAACTTTCCAATCCTTCTCCTGCCTATCGTCAGAAATATCCATGTCCACCTTACAAAATCATTATATTGGATGAGGCGGATAGCATGACGCAGGATGCGCAGAGTGCGTTGAGAAGAACGATGGAGACGTATAGCAGGATTACGAGATTTTGTTTGATTTGCAATTATGTGACGAGGATTATTGATCCGTTGGCGAGTAGGTGTAGTAAGTTTCGGTTCAAGAGTTTGGATAAGGGGAATGCTGTGGTTAGGGTGAAAGAGATTGCGGATAAGGAGGGGGTTAAGTTGGAGGAAGGGGCTGTGGAAGCGTTGATTAGATGCAGTGAGGGTGATTTGAGAAAGGCGATTACATATTTACAAAGTGCAGCCAGGTTGGTTGGTGCGATTAGTCTGAAGGACGGGGAGGGTGATAATGAGGACAAAATGGATGTGGATGCGAAAATGGTTACAGTGAGCAGTGTGGAGGATATTGCTGGAGTTATACCGGATAACACCATCGAAAAGCTGGTCAAGGCCATGCAACCAAAATCAAGAGGGGTCGTATATGATGCCGTATCAAAAGTAGTCGTTGATATGGTGGCCGATGGTTGGAGTGGCACACAGGTCGTCTCACAGGTATGTATTATTCTTTCCCTCAGCTCGACATGGGGCACTAGAAACTAATAAAGGTAACAGCTTTACCAAACCATCGTCAACTCCGAATTCATCGCCGACACCCACAAAAATAAAATCGTAGCTCTCTTTTCAGAAGCAGACAAACGACTTGTGGATGGTGCAGATGAACATCTCACTATCCTCGACTTGTCATTGAGAATATCCAACATTCTAGGTAGTTCTTGATTGGTATTTTACATGCTCTCGTGGGTTGAAAATGGATTGGGATCATGTATGCATAGCAAAGGTATTGGCGTTAAGGTTACTAAGATATGTTGAAAAGGAAATGATGTTAGGAAGAGTGTATGTAGCTATAGTGTGTATCACGACTTATCTTCTCATACCTAATTTAAACTAGGTATATGAATAGACAAAGATTAATATGAGTCTTTAATGTTTGTTCGTCACCGATGTTTTCAGAAGAGATACTAGATGAAATATAGTTACGTATTCCACAGTATCTGCCGAGTTTTATTGCACATCCAACGCCCCATGAAACTTTTGCATTACTCCAAATTCAAATTTGAAAGAATGAAATCTATTGAGAAAAATTTCCTGATACCGAAATACAGCTTTCGGGGATTTCGAAAGAGGATGGTGGGAGTTTGGGGTGGTGGAAGTTGGGGTTGAGGAGGAGAGCTTTATTGGCGTTGGCTTTGTTTATGTGTAAATACCTAGTGTTAGTGAATTGGATTGATGTGCCTCAGCATCTTCTGATTATGGGATTGAGAGGGATTGAGGTGAATGAGATGGGTTAAAGTGAATGAGATGGGACATGATGAATGCTCTCTAACATTAATAATTAGATGGCAATAAAGAATATGAACTCAACACCTGAACTAACCTCAAAAGCTAAGCCATTTATCATTTATCTTTCTCTTCTCCTATCGAGCACTCCATAATCGCCGATATTTACTGCGTGTATCCACTGAACGGACCTGATCTTACTCTTAGAACGCATACGCTTCTTCCCTTTCTTTTGACGCTCTACGTTGCGTGAGAAAGAAAACATATATCAAATTGTTTCTTGTATTCAAATGATATATGATATGAGGCATCTGAGCTCCAATTTTTAGGTATCCTGAGATATATAAGCCCAGTGCCACGGCTACCCCGTACTTAGATTTGAAGTTAGATATTTAAGACTGTCGTGAAGCATGCAGGTCTCGAACACCATTAGTTTGTCAGGTCTATATTCAGACATTAAAGAGTGCCATCGGGTTGATCTCTTGGGTGTCACAAATTGTCAAATTCTATATTATAGACTTAGAGCTTTGGAAACAGCCAAACAGGTTGCGGGATCACAAGCAATGCTGCGCAAATGAATGGTATGCATTAAGTACCTAGTTAAAACAAGTAAAGTAAACCAATCCTAAAATGATATGGGAGATCCTTCCAACCGGCCATCCAGCACCAAACTAGAAATGCAAATGTACCAACCAACCAACCATCAAAAACCAACCGGAAAAAAATATTCATAATCAAATCAGTCCATTTCCATGTCCACGCTTGTATCCTCTCACAAGTCCTATCCTTCAAATCCTCATTGCTCACATGTCCTCACATGTCATCATCAGTATATGCCTTCCATTAATTCAAAGTCTTCAGCTTCTTTGACCAATTTTTTCAGCCTCTTCTCAATAATGTTTCGTCCCTCGAGCGTCCTCCATACCTCCGAAGGAGCCTTGTTGACCACATCCCAACTTATCAGACTGTTCGTCAAATGAGTAAGATCTTCTTGTTTCCTCTTCCACTCGTCATTCCTTCTGACCTCGATACCGGAGCTAATCACCACAAGAGGCGTAGTATCATATTGTATGTTTCTCGCGCTACTAATCTCGTTCTTCGTCAACGAATTAGCGACAAGAGATTCTTGGAGTTTGGCTTTGAGGTATTTTCCACCCTGATAAGCTGAACGCCCGAATACTCGATCTTCACGTGTGCGACCGTTGAAAATGGCGCCAAATGTACGATCTAAACCGAGCGGTGAGAGAACACCACGACCCCAAAGGAAAAACCCTCTTTTTGGTGATCCAAGACGATAGAGAAGATCTTCGTGGAGGGGATCGATGAGTAAAAGACCTGCGACTTCTTGACCATGTCGGGAGGCAAATATTCGACTATAGATACTGCCTACTCCTGCACTAGCAAGAATCCAAGGGCCTTCTTCGCCTGCACGAGCTAGAGCTTCCGAGAGCACGTCGGCTGCCATGCCAGCTGAGAATGGAGATGGCGCATTGTCGGACCACGCAATGCCAGGTCGATCAGAATAACAGTATCGGCTGATACTTCCATTGGCGTAAGCATTTGTTGCGATCCGCATCATGCTATGTTCAAAGGGTCCTTCACCAGCTTCGAATAGCACTGTTGGATTCTTGTTGCCCTTTGCATCGGTGAGGTTACCTTCGCAGAAGACATGAATTTGGAATTTGTCACCATCGACGTAGTATCGTTCCCCTGGTGGTGCAAGTGAGGCGTCGCGAGCTCGCAGAATCAATGTTGCAGTTAAGAGAATAGTGACGAGTCCTAGGATTATTAGAATGATTGTAGATGTCAAGACAGAACACCATTCTTTTAGTGTACGGCGAGTCTCTGCGCGCCCAGTCAAGCGCTCCTCCTCTTCAACTTTGCCGGCTGCTACGACTCGATCCGTGACAATTGTCCATATGGACATGAGTAGAGCCCAAAGAACACTAGCAATACCAACCCATCCTTCCTCAACACGGAGACGTGGAACAGCGACAATCATTATCGCATCAACTAGTAGAATCACGGCAACGACGAGACATGTTACTTGTGCCGCCTTGGATGGTGTCGAGAAGAACAGAAGTACAATGAGTAACAGTCCAAGTGTCAAGGTGGTATAGGAGAAATCGAAGAAGCCGGAGCCTCTTGAGTGCATTCCTGGTGGGGAAACGAATATCGACACCAGTAGTAGCACCCACCAAAGGAAGGTGATAATGGTAAACAAAACTGTGAAGTATCGTAGGAATCGTACACTCCATAAGTTATATGGAGACACCTATGTGCACATATCATCAGCTTAAGGTCAGGATCAATTCCCCAAGCGAAACGATCGCAGAATATGTGGCGGATTTAATTGGAAGGGGGGAGAGCTTACAGCCGGATCATCGGGACTCAAGAAACCATCACGACTGGGTGGAAGTAGGCGAGTACGTTCGTCCGCCTCATGGGGGTAACGTGGTTGAGGGGGCGATTGATGAGAAGCTACATGTTCATGTGAATCTCCATTTTGAGAATGGGCACGAGAATGCACACTTCCTGGGGCAGAATCATGATCGCCATCCTTCTTGGAACCCCATAGGGAAACCATACTGACTCTGTCGAAGCGCACTTGATTGGTAGGAACTTCGGCGACAATAACGATATGCTTTATCGTGTGTGAAAAGATGGAAAATGGATAGGAGATGGGAGGGAGATGAGATGATATAAGATGATATGATAAGAAATACAGATTTCCTAGTAAACCATGAAATGAAAATAGATTCAAAAGGAGATCGTCACCATGAAATACCTGGACACCAATGATGTTGACACTGTTAAAGTAAACTAAAATAAACTAGAAGTCAAGCAAGGAACGAAGTTGTTTCGTTTGATCTAGGCTGAGTAGATCTGGCGTTGTACTCGATCGTGTTTGCTGTAGCTAGTAGCTAGTAGCTAGCTAGCTATGTTTGTGTTGTTATTTTTTGCGTTTCTTCCCTCCCGTATGTAGATTTGATTCCAGTTTGGTTTAGTTTTGGGGGCTTGGTCAATGATGGAAGTGAAGCTATTTTGAAGAAGACCGAGGAAAATGGAGAGTATGACGTCAGGTTCTTTATGCACACTGCAACACCGCAATTACACAAAAGTATGGAAATTTGCCATGATCATGATTTTGGATTTTGTCGCTCAGTTCACCAATTGGTCGACTTCCTGATGGCATAGGTAGGTACTTACTAAGACCTACATGTACTGCACATACATTCAATCTATATGAGTTAGGTAATTGATGATATCGATGCCTATTCCTATTTCTCAATTGTCGATCATTCATTTGGCTGACTAAGCAATGTCAAATGTTCTGTTCTTATCTTATCTGTGCTTTGTCTGCAGCTGATTGTCTTGTTAATGTGCAACATTTGAAAGTTTCTCAATTTCTTTGAAATCTATGCACATTGTACTTAGAGATTCTTTGGCCATTTTCAATGTATAATTTTGACCTGTTCTCTTCTTTCACAAGTAATTTGATCACCATTCCGTACAACTAAATAATACAGATCCGATCAAGACGACAATATGAGCGATTTACAACGGTCCTTCGTTAAACCTAAGCTTCCAAAGTTCGCTCCTCCAATGTTCAACGAAGCTGATGAGGAGGAAGAGATTGATATTCCTGGTGAATTGCCAGATCTGCCAGTAGATGATGACTCTTCCTCGGCATCCTCAGCTTCATCTACTGGCACCATCATACCATCCTCAAATCAGAAATTGTTTGCTCGGCCGCAAGGGTTTGTTCATGCTTACAGCTATATTTTTGTGCCGAGCTGATATTTTTGATGCTACCAGTATTCCCAATAAACGGACGATGGACCAGATACCGTGGACGACGTACTTCGAGCGAGAACTGTTTCTTGAACATAAGATGGAGCCGGAGACTATAACGCACCATGCATATCTTACATCTCCTGTTGGGTCTGCACCTTTATTTGTTGCACATCATGGAGCTGGGTCATCAGGTTTGTCATTTGCTGTTTTGACATCGGAAATTCGGAAAAGGCTACCTTCTGCGGGCGTACTCTCCCTTGATGCTCGTGGTCATGGTTCTACGGATATCTCCCCAGAGGCAGAACTTCTTGATCTTAGCCTAGAGACATTAAGTTCAGACCTATTATATGTCATTGAAGCTACAAAAGAGAGAATGAGTTGGAAAGAACTTCCGCCTCTTGTACTTGTTGGCCACTCTCTTGGTGGGGCAGTTATTACAGACGTTGCAAAGAGCGGAAAGCTAGGTCGCTCAGTCCTTGGCTACGCGGTTCTTGACGTAGTTGAGGGTTCTGCTATGGATGCTCTTCAAAGCATGCAAACCTACTTATCGACTCGACCACTAGGTTTTCCTTCTCTGCAATCTGGCATTGAGTGGCACACGAGATCGAGAACAATACGAAATACATTGTCGGCGCGAACGAGTGTACCTGCGCTACTGAGACACGATGAAGAAGCTGGCGGGTCACGATCATGGACGTGGCGCACAAACTTGGGGGCCACTCAGCCATTTTGGGAAGGTTGGTTTGTTGGGCTAAGTAAAAAGTTCCTCGAGGCTAAGGGTGGAAAGCTATTGCTGCTTGCTGGGACAGACAGACTCGATAAAGAGTTGATTATTGGGCAAATGCAAGGTAAGAATAGTTATTTACGTGAACCTAAATTTAGGCTCAAGCTGACGATCAATAGGGAAGTATGCGCTGCAAGTTTTTCCTGAGGCCGGCCATTTTGTTCATGAAGACCTTCCTGAAAAGACAGCGATGTTGTTAGTAGACTTCTATTCAAGAAATGACCGGAGTGCATTGGTACTGCCACCGAAAGTGTCAGATCTCATTAGGGCTGGTAAGAAAGTATGAAGTCGGTTAAATATTTCGGCCGACTACAGGAAAAGGGGTCTCGAACAGTACGAGAGTAAAAGTATCACCTTCATTGGGACATTAAGCCGACAACAGGCTTCGAACATGAGTCGATGGAGATTTAATAAGTTGTGGATTCTAGGCACTCTAAATGGCCGCCGTTTCCAAGCTTTGAGAACACAAAAAGGGTGCTTGGTGCGCACACAGCGCGTTGAAATTAGAACGTGAAATTGCGGCTGAATGGAGTAAGACATCCGGTCGTACGGTTTGTGGGTCATCCCACCATAGCTTTTTGTCGAATCAGATATCCTGAGTTGCTTTGTGTGGGTGCTGAAATACCAAACTACAAGAGCACCAGCAAATTGCATCTCAATTAATAAATGTCAGATTTGCCGCCCCAAGAGGCCATTTTGATCGTCAGACCTGCATTGAGAGTTATTGTGGGAAGTTCTCGAACGAGGTAACCAATAGATCTTCACAAATAGAAGCCACAATTAATCCCCTTATATTTTTAAAGCGAAATTATGGGCTGCTAGGCATCCATATCATCTTTAGTGGGGGCCATATAACGGTTACATTTTAGTATTGGGTTTTTGTTGATATTCTGAACTTTCTCTTCCTCCATTTCCTTGATCTGCTCCTTTTCGTATCATAACTCAATAGTTTTCCTGTCAATTTCCCATATAGAAATCAATCAAACCCACTCTTTCGATTTCAAGTGTAAATCAATCTGCATCTTTCTTTCGAATATCGACAAAATGCACTTCTCAAACCCCTTCCTTGTCGCTGGGCTCATTGCCTTTGCCTCAGCGTCTCCAGCTCCAGCTCCGGAGCCAACAACACCGACTGCAGCGTATGTCTTGATCTTTTTGCATCCCCGAATCCATCCCCTCCCCCCTTCTCCTTTTCCGTAAATCATTGATTTTTCTTTCCCCTTCTAACAAAATTGACTGCTATATCGCATGTCAGCTCCATTTAAACTAACAGTCTCTCCTCAAGCCAAACCTCAGCCCTAGTTAATGATGTTGAATCTTATATCGCCGCTCTGGCCACCCAACCAGCCCTGCTTTCAATAGTTTCAAGTCTTGCCACCGATACAGCCGCCCTCAACTCTCTCCAAGCTTTTCAAGCGTCCCTCCAATCAGACGTTTTGAATGGCCAAATCCCGAATACATCCGTTTTGACTGCTTTACCTTCTCCACTCGCCAGCGTTATTGCATCAGTCTACACCGTAGAATTGAGCATTCTCAGCAAAGATGGTTTCGGTGATTTGGTGGCAAGCGCAACTGCGACTGAAGCTGCCACTGCATCAGATACTGGTGCGGCAAAGACTGCGATTGCAACTCAAAAGAGTTCAGCGAGTGGAACTGGAAGTGCAAGTGCAAGTGCAAGCTCAACTGATCCTGCGACAGTAGAGAAGGGTGCTGCTGGTGCATTAGGCGTTGATATGTTGAGGATCTGTGGAGGATTAGCGGTTGGTGTTGTGGGTGCTGTTATGGCTTTGTAGGAAAGCAAGCACGTGGTGCTATATCCATGACTCATGCAATCTAACACATTCCAAGGTTTTTTTTTTGGCTTCTGGAGGCATAATTATTTTATTAATGATGTTTGTAATGGTAGTGTTGATGACAAATATGGTCAACACTTCAAATGTTTCTCCTTATGTCTCTGATACTGTGGATTATTGCTACTTCACGGCGGCTCGGTTTTTTGAATGGATTTTTACTCTCGTTTAACCGGACTATCATTTGAGCTTGGATTGTCTTGCTCATAAGCCAAGTGATAGCAAACCGTGTAGGGACCATAGTTCAGACAGCGAGATATCAAACACCAAGGATAGGCGGAGCATGATGATTTTTGGGGAACTTTCACCTTATTATAGATAGACTTGCATCTTGACCAATCAATAATTCCTACCCTCAAATTACTCTAGACATAATTACAAACAAATCAGACGAAGCTTTTTCGTTGACGGAGTAATATACTTGCTCTTGATATTTCTGTATGAGATACACCATACGCTGGAACGAGTAGTGGTTCTATAGAGTTGGAAGATTTTGTAATGTAAGACTTAAGATCTTACATTTTCCCGCTAACTCTAAGGGGGTTCTCAAGCGCGTATGGGGAATATGAATGATGGGTTTGTATGTATGTACTAGCACAATGTGCATTCTGTCGATTTTTCCTATTGGGGTAGTATTTTATTTATTTAATTTCTATTCCTTTGTGTAGTTTTTGATATGTCGGATGGATAGATGTCATTATAATTTTTTATAATTTTGGAGTTGGTTGGTTCTTTGAGAAGGAAATTTGGATTTGAGTAGAATAAATAGTACAAGTAACTCGATTTGAAGGGTTCGGATGGAGTATATTATATCGCGGTGCAAATATGAGATTCAAATGTAAATAATCATAGCCTAATATATGATTCTTCTTTCTACTATTAAGGCAGACGTTCAGACGCTTTATATCGGACTGAGTGTCTGGCTATGCCCGTGGTGGTTATAAATGGATTGACCAACAAGTCTAGACAGCGCCCAGTAAAGGACGAAAAGCCACTCAGTCCGTCCGTCCACTGCAGATGACTATACGTACTTGAAGACTTAAAAAAAGCAACATATAGGTGACTAATCATACATTTAGTTTTGATGAGTTGTGAGAGTGAAAGCAAAGCTAGTACGATATATTCATCAGCTATCAAATAATCAAGTGAAGTGTACTCTTGAAAGATGATTGTTTTTAGTTGAGAAAGATAGAGTCGTAATTAAAAAATTGGTTCAGTCAACTTATTGATTATGAAATAAGTCTGCTAGAATGGAACTTGCGTGTCTTTTGAACATGCTCTTGCAAGACGGATGTTTGTTATACACCTCATCAAGGGACGTACTAGTATTTTTGCCCAATATCTGATCTTAATACTGAGTTTGGAGAAAAAGAATTCGATGCAGACGACCATTGTCACTTTGGAGCTGTGTGACAATTTCTCTGACCGAAGTTATGTCAGCCATGTCTGCTTACCTATATTCTGGAGGTCTGAAAGGCTCTATTGAAAAATTGATTTTTGATTTCATCTTCACTAAGCTTAGGCCTTTTATCATCAGGAATAAAAATTATAGACCTTAGTTGCTATCAAGACCTGTCTTCTTCCGGTAGAGTCGAGGCCGATGCGTAGTTATTCTGGATAGACTTGCAAGATCGTAGCAACGAAGATTGAACCTAGACCATGGGTACTTTACAGGTCGAACCGCCTGCTGTCGCGATTTCAGAACTTCCTGGATATATGGAAAGACGCTATGGCACAAGCTAAAAGAATATGTACACTGGGACAGTAAAGTTAAACAGCTATATCAAATACGTCAATACTTCAGCAATCATCACTTTAACCAATAAAAGAATTAGTGATGTCTTCCGGATCAAACCGAGACATCACCGTTCTCGAAAGGGACGAATGAAAGGCAAGAGTAGCAACTCTGGTAGCGTCCGCTCCAGCAACGGTAAGAAGACAGAACTCAGAGCCTCATTCAAGGAAGAGAATCGTGCAAGGTATAAGTACGAGCTTCCTTCAAGAAAGTGCTAGGATTCTCAAGCATCAGGAAAAGATTCTGTGGGGTCCCGATGGTTCTCAGATGGCGAACTCCCAGGGGTGTGTTACAAACGCGACAGATCTAGCTCGCCTTCGAAAGCTGGTAAGTCGTCAATCCTCAGGTAACAGCTCGCCATCTCGACGTTCTCTACCTAAACTGTAAAGGGAGAAGTCTCTAGACACGTTCTCTTCTTTTGTGAAGCGCCGAGTGAAGATCGAATCCAGTATCATACGCATATGAATGAAGAAGTGATGGCTGGACCTAAGAATTCGAGAGAACAGGAGAAAGACGCCGCATATGACCGGCAAATTGAAAAATTGAAATTTGAGTTGAGGCAACTTCGTCGTGGAAGTTAATCCAGCGTCAACAACAAGGATTAGTACAATAATATTTCCACAGTAAAACATTTAAATCATCTTTCGCTCTTGCTGTCCCCGAAGCAAGACATATGTTTTCCTGAGAGAGCGGAGACTCGTAAACTAGAACCGTATTCTGGCTGGTTGCAAGAAGGTCACTGGAATCGTGGAGCCTTTAAGCTTTTTCTCGATCAGAACGTGGAATGATATACGAGCAACTGAAGCCTCTTGGAACCTTGAAGCTTTTGGAGACAGCTGAGTATTCGAATAATGTATAAACGACAGCGAGCTCTGGCTGAGGGCGTGCATCACAACCCTAAAGTTCAGGATATCAGAATATCTGTAAATTTTCCATCTTTGGTATCAGAGAAAAGCACCAATTGCTACAGCAGCGCCATCTATCGAGTGAAAGTGCGATGTGACACGTAATAGCTAAGACCCAAGTCCTCGAGCTCATTGGGGTCAAAATGCTTGAGGCCTTCCAGACGCGACATGTATCTTGGCATCATACGAACGGTACAGCTCACCATTGCTATCAATTACTATATGAATGATCAATTTAGTATGCAACATACATGCAAGTGAATGAGAACCTAAGTGAAGAGTGCGCCCTAAGGCTGGGATCACCAGTAAACATGTGGTGCGGCAACATCCTACAAATAGGACCAAGGAAGAAGTGATGGTGTGATTTTGAGTTTCTTGAATGCAGTCGTCACCAGCAGAATTGCGAAATTATCGCGAGAACTCTATTCGAGTGTCGAGAACTTGGCAGCCATGTTAGGTTCGCAAAATCAGTGGTTTCGTCAGTCTCCGTTCTCAGTCCGTCTCAGGCACTCAGGCTTCAACAAATATCGGCACCTGTCTCTGTAGACTTATCTACTCGAACTTGGATATCCTGGCGATGAGGAAATCGACACCCCATGTTTCCCTTTATTTTAACATTTTTGAACGATAATGACGACCGAGATGGAAGAATGGAATTCCTGGTACTGATGAAGCCGGCCGGTACAAACATTTCTCTTCGATGAAACAAAGATCGACAAGGCCGAGTCTCGCAAATTTCATTGCGCTCAACCTTATTTGGTAACTGTCTCAACTCGAGAATCAAGAATGAATGCCCAAACAATTGCAGAAATTCCTGACATTGAGTTGCCATAGCATTTTTGGATTCCCAAGTCCATCCTTCAGTAGATAAGAATAGGAACGTGGAATGATCCAACATCCAACATCCAACATCCAACATCCAACATCCAACATCCAACATCCAACATCCAACATCCAACATCCAACATCCAACATCCAACAAACAAATGACATCCACAAAGTCTAGAACTCATCAGAAACATAAGCTTGCTCCTCCTCACTTATTGCCATGTCAAGCAAGATTGTTGTCAATTTGAATATATGACCAGACAAGGAGAACTCCACTAGGTCATTTATCGCCTAGCAAAATGATTCAAACTTTCCCCGCGATTTATACCTTTTGGCCTTGTGACAAATCAAAATCAATGAAGTCATGGTGATTCTGTCAATTCAATGCAAAATGAATTGTAGTAATTAACATGATGATCCTTATGGTATTAATTTGAGTGTATTGCTGCATGATGTATCAAGAATAGGCAATGTCCTAGATGGTGATTTGAATTGTGAAATGGGTGAAGGATGGTTCAAACAATACTGTTGATACAATATTATACTGAAAGTCCGTATGTACGTACTCCATACAGACTCAGCTGTGTACAAAATAAACAGTTCTAGGTAAACCCACCGAGCTACAACACTTAATAAGGATTAGTAATTTGGTCTATGCACCAATTAGCCTAAGGGGAACAGAACTTCACTCCCGTCTATTGGCTCAACTAGTCTGATCGGGGTACAAAAGTAGAAGAGGATTGCTGTATTGAGCGATACTCCGTAGATAGAAGCCAACTTCTGGAAATCATCCTCTGTGTGTGAGTGGACACTGTATATGGTATCTCCTGGTTGGCCACATCATTTGTAATTTCGTATTTCAGGGTTTAGTCAAAACGGTAAAAGTTAAACAACATTTTGTATTCTACCACACCGAAGCTCAGAATACAAGACATTAGAATCGGTAAGTATGTGTTGTCTGTCTGTCTGTCTGTCTGTACACAATATACTCGGTTTGAGCCTTGACACGCCAGGAATCGTGAAGATGTTTCTCCGCGTTTAGACTGTGCTTGGTAAAACTATTCATGCTTTGCTTTGTTGTGATTGAATCAATATGCGCATTGCTACCTCGAGTCCTTGTTTACCTACCTGCAGGTTTGGAGCACCACTAGGTTCTATCTAAGCAAGCTAGACTATCTGTTTTCCGTAAGGCTCAGGTACCATTTCAATTAGCACCTCTTGCCCCTTGTAGACCAATGCATTAATACATCCTAGAATTAAGGTTATCCATATGATAGGATTTACTGGAAAGTGCAAAACCTTTTCGGAGGTCGAAGCCGATTTCGCCGATGAAGGGGTCAAACGACAGGAGTTTCTTCACCAGTGACTATCTTCCTCTCTTACGTCGATGATCTATTAGACAATATCAACCACACAATCCAATTCTATAAACGAAGACTTCTATTATTACTCAGCCATAAAGATGCATTGATCATGAATCATTAAACACCATTCAATTCGGGCCACTTTTTTTGTATGGATGAGAGGCTAAATATAACCCTGTCATCCTCATTTCTTTTAAGCAGGGTCTAACAGTTGCGCTTCGAACACAATCCTCGAATCACAACATTGACAATCCACCTGCTATCTCGTCTAATAAATCCAATATCTCCGAGAAAGGCCTCCGCCTCATCCTCCCTCATCAACCAAATCTTACTCCAAACTCTCCCAAAATCTCTTAACGATGTGTCGCATTTGTACCGTGTATCCCAAGCCTTAGCGTTCGCTCCTCCCTAAAGTATAATTTTATCCCAACCTAGAGGCCCCGTAAGTAAGAAGTGGTGCTGCCAAGCAACATGCACTGGTAAGTTTGGGAAATGAGGGGGGTTTAAGTATCGGATCCTCTTCTTCTCGTATTTCTTCTTCTCCCTTTCACTCTCACAACCGCAGCAAAATAATAAAAGAAAATCTCTCTTTTTCTTCTCTCTCAATATAATTTTTGTATCTTTGATACTGTCCATTCTTTGATTTTAGTCATTCCCTCCAAACCCAATAACATAATGCGTTACCAATTCATCTCCGCCGCCATTTTGGCCTCCATCTCCTCCGTCTTTGCCCAAACCGCTGGCTTCGACGCCATCTCTGTACCAACCAACGGTCAAGTTGTCAAGGTTGGTGATGTTTTGGATATCACCTGGGCTCCTAATGCTGTCTCCGGAACTGTCACCATTAAGCTCTTGGAGGGTGCTACTCCAGCTACCTTGAACTACGACCCTGTCATCGTTGCTCGTGAGTATACTTCATATAGTTGAAGACGAGGACAATCGTGCTGATAGACATACTAGACTCCATCAACAACTTGGATGGACAATACAAGTGGACCGTCCCAGCTTCCGTTGGCAGCTTCGAAACCTACGGAATTGCCATTATCCTCGATTCTGATGTCAACACCTTCCAATGGTCCTTCCCATTCAAGATCCAACCCGCTGCTGCTTCTTCCTCATCTATCATCGTCTCCACCACCGCCTCATCGTCTGCCGCTGCCTCTACCACCTCCGCCGCTGCAGTCACCAGCATCTCCGGTATCCCAGGTGGATGCAACCCAGCTCACGGAGGATCATGCCCAAGCTCCTACTTCAGCACCGCTCCAGCATCATCCACCACCGCTCCATTCTCTAGCATCTCCGGTATCCCAGGTGGATGCAACCCAGCTCACGGAGGATCATGCCCAAGCTCCTACTTTAGCACTGTTACCACAGCTACCTCCACAGTAGCAGCAGCTCCAACCGTTACCCCAGCCACCAATGGAACTGCCTCCAACGCAACCTACACTGCTCCTTCCGGTAGCAACGCTACCAAGACCGGTCCTAGCGTTGTTGAGGCCACTGGTGCTGGTTCAGCCAACATTGCCACTGGTTCCTTTGCCTTGTTGGGTGGTCTTTTCGCCGCCTTCATGTTGTAAATCATTTCTTTCCACACCATCAAGATTTCAGATATAGCACGTAATGCCATGGTAAATATATATCAGCCTACATCATCGGTAGATAAAAGTTATTTGCATCGGGTCGCAAATCTGGAAGTATAGAAATACAAGGGATATATACAACGCATCGCGCGGCGTTAGACAGCAATACATCTGTCGTCGAGTTTGGATTTTGGTGCGAATTTAAAGCAGCTTCTGGTTATATAGGATTATAGGGTCAACAATGTCATGATACACTTCTTCTACATATACGTCACAACTTTTTGAAAGAGTTCCCGCATGTTATTGTTTAATGATGGATTGAATCGAGGGGATTATTGTTGAAGAGGTTTGACATTTAGAGTAATGAATGAAGTGAGGATTTTTAGTAGTTTTATTCGTCTGCATTCATGTGATGTTGAGTGATGTTTTGTATGGTGCTTGTGATACGTGTGATTATTTTGCTCAAGTGCGTTCAGTTACTAGTTATGTTTTGTAGCGTGCAAAAATGAAATGGCTAGGTAAGTCTTACTTAGATAGATATTCAGAAGCAATAAACCACTTAACATTAGGTCCGCTTCGCTCTCCTTCAACAGCAGTACGAACTCCCTCATCTCAGATTCTGCACCATCTAATCCAATCCAGTCCAATCCATTCATTCATCCATCCATCAAACCCAGCTAAAACAAAAAAAAACCTCCAACCACAATCGATCCATCCATCAAAATTCCAAATGCCAATGCTTTTCTTCATCTGTTATTAATATGAGGCCTTACACCTACACCTACAGGTTATATCCTGTAAGACTTAAGAGTGAGAACGAATCACCAATCCGAATCACGAAGTTAAAGGTCTATCTACTATCAGAGGACGAGTGATCTATCCATCTATCTAGTAAGCTAGAATAATGAGCTCGGAATTGTTTCATGGATAGATGGTATCTAAGAATTTATTTATGGGATGGGGGTGTTGGTTGGATGGAATTATTTCTTCCCTTCTGGTTGATGGAACTTCGTTCCAACGACGTTTTTATATTACTACTAGCTATTGCATGGGAATAACTGTGGAGCTTGGATATTATAGTGATAGAAGAATTGAAGTTGATTCTTGAGAGATTCATAGATTTTGGGGCGAGAAGGGTGGGGAAAGTCGTTTGGAAGGATTCGAGATCGATTTAGCTGTGAAGCTTTGTGTGAAGGTATTGTATATACTATATATAGACTAATTTTCGAGTATGAGATAGCATGTCAATTTATGATGTCTATCTAGGTGTATAAATGTCAGTGTAGAGGAGATGGTAGTGGAGTTCGCATCGGGATTGAATGTGGAAGAGAAGGAACACGGGACATGTTCTCAAACCATCTCTTCAAGCAGTGATATCACAAGGTGTATGTAAAGGCATTCAACGGAAGCCATTTCATTTGAACTCATATGATAGTCCGACACATCTTATTCGATGCCTAGACGTCGATGTAACTGGCGCAGAAACTTCTTGCAGCCTTGACACCTGGCTCTTGTTTGACGCTTTTAGACCTTTCAAGATAGTTTCACACCATAAGAAGTAACGAAATAGGATTACTTCTGACATATTCTATAAAATGTAGCCTCGATTATGGTTATGAAGTTTGAAGCTTAGAAGTGTGAGCATCTATATCATCGAGACTTCTCAATGCTCGTCAACGTATCTAGTAGGCAGAAAACCGCATCCTGAACCTTTCATTATGTTTAGAGGAAGTAACGAAAACTATATCAAAGATTAACCAGATAATTCGTAAGTTCTTCCCGGGCTTTGCATGAGGTACAAGATAACGTACTAATCCTTGCGCGCTTTTGATACTCCATCGCCGGGTAAAGTAGCACACGAAAGATCACGCACATAATCTCCACTAAGAGATAGTAAATCTTCCCACCCTTAATTAACATACTTTCTTCCTTTGAGAATCGTGACACATATTCCAATTACCCTTAAATTGCTAAAGCATGTCACCAACGGCGACTTCTCTTAACAATGAACCCGCGATAATAATCGAGTGAGTACACAGGAGACTACTCTGTCGGGCAAAAGCTAAAATATCATGTCGTACCCGAGGTTCTAAACCTTGAAGGAGGAGAGATTGTATCGCAAACAGCAGTTAGCGTCTGCATTTAGAATATGATAATTCTTCTAAAATTGTGATACTTGCATTTTTACTGATATGTGATAGATTTGCCGATCGAGGTTTCGACGAAGTGGTTGCTGGCCATATGTAAGAATGCTATCAAGTGATATTCTAGTCGCCGACGATAAGAATCTAATGAAATTTGAGTAGAACAATTCTTGATTCCATTCCCGTTCCCACTCATAATTCTTGGCTTTTTACCCTCAAGACTTCTTTCAATTTGTGTTATCGGACATTATCTTGGTGGAAGATGATGGTGATATGGTGATTGAGGACGGCCCATTAATGTTGCCGCACTCGCTACTCAATCTGAGAGTACAGGAACTCCACGGAAGATAGTATTGATATTCAAGATAGCTAACATTTTTTTCTGGTCACAAAGCTGGTCCCGGTGCATATGCTGTTTGTCATGCCCACGCTGTCTATAGCAAAGCATACTGAGATTTGGCCTTTCTCTTGATATGACAGCTCAGGATTCCCTCCGGTTTTTTAAGTCCCTTAGTGTGTATTTGTCAATTTCCAAGGGATGCCCCTGACCGCGAAGAAGGTACCTCTATCGCCATTAGTTTGGGCGGCGGAAAGGCATGCACTCTACAAAACCACGGACTGTTGACTGTCAGTTGGAGCGTATGTGAAGTAGCATTTTGGTTCATGAGCCTGGGTAGGATCTGCCATGCTCAGCTACTCGTTGATTCTACAGCCACAGATAGTGGGAAAGTGAAGAAAATTATCTGAAATCAGGAGGCAGCTTTTGCTTGTGAGCAAGTCCGAGGCAAGACAACCTTCTATTCGCGAGGAATGCATATCTTTGACCCAAATCAGGGTCATTAAAGCTATGGCTGGCTTTCCAAAGCTACTATGACTAAATCACAGCCAAAAAAGTTCTGAAGTGAAACTAGAAAGCGGAGGGAAATGAATCCGATCAGCCCGTTTGATTGTCTAGAATACTTTCAGACATTCTAAGGCATTGCGTTGTGTGAGAGAACGCCTGATCTCAGTAGTCATTCCACCGTCATAGATACCTTAGATGGCAGGTATATCTGAAAGAGCCTATTTCGTTTGTCGCTTGTTTCGTATGTCGTGTTTGCTTGATGTCGCAATCGTAGGCGCCCTGTGCATGAAGCAATGACAAGCATACGGGACTGCATTTAGGATACATCTGCTCGATGGTTTCTCCGACTTATGAAATTGATACGATAATCCTTTCAAGGATCTTCATCCCAAATTTCAGTGAAGAGAACGGATAGGAGACTTTCGCTCCTTGTCGGCACACATCATATGTATTGTAACATCGAGTAGGGTTTCCACATCCTACTTCAATGAGCACAGAAAGGGCGATTACCATGCATCAATAGATTCGGAACTTTCTTGTAGATACCCGGTACCGATTGTTCGGATATGGTAGTTCTGTGCTGAGGGGAGGGGAACAAGATTGAACATTGAGATTTTTGGCGGGTGGGGTGTTTGATTTCTCGTTCACAAGGTGAGACTGGTGAGATTTTGTTCAAAATTGCTTGGGTAGCTGCAAATCTCGATGGACAAGGTTAGCTGACCCGAAGAGAATTGAGGCAATGCATGTGACATGACGACAATGAGGCTGACCACGACTGAGACCTATGTGATAAGACATGAGGCCACGCTGTTGGCTCTTAATTAGCAGTATTTGCTCTTTCTCTTCTTTCCCTTATCATTCTGTTCATCGTCTTGGCTAACCTATCCTCGGGAAATATAGACCAGTCAAGGAGAGAATTGGGAAGAATTGGTAGTTCAAAGTGTCATTAGACATTGAATCGTATTATTAAAGAGTGCAAGTATTTCGTGCTATTTGTGCTGTTTAAAAACACCAAATGCATGTGGTACTTGGGCTCAGTGATACCTAGGTAGTAGGTGATGGGATTAGGTGCGAGTAACTTGGGTAAGATCTTACTAACTACCTAAGTAGCACCTGGTGCACTAGAGTAGTAGGCAGTTGTGGTATTGATGTCAACTTGGAATCTTACCAGCTAATGTAGGTGATCTACCGAATCTAGAGAATACCGAGTTTAGTTCGGAATGAATTTACAACGTAATCTTAGTTACTTTCCAACTTTACAAATTAATAACTATCAGAAGATCGAGGATCTGAGGGGCATCACTATAAAGTGCGGAGTACGGAGTAGGTATAGACCCATAGACCATGGACCGTGCTTCGCGTGTTTCTTCTATCTGCGGGCCATTTACCATATTTGGGACGATGTGTTACAACTTACTGGTACCTAACAAGCCTCAAGACAACCCAGAATTATCAACCATCGTATCATTCATTCATTTACCTTATCCTTCCTTTCCTTTCCCTTCCCTTCCTTATCCCACCACAAAAACAAAGTATACACGCGCACGCATTCTCTCTTCCTCCAGTAGTGCAGAAGTGCAGAATAAATTATTGATATCTTTGAGGCGAAGATGCCAATGACTTTTGCTCTCCCACACGTTCTAGACCCTCCTTCCTTTTGCCGGTCAAATTCATTAGAAGACTAATACACCATTAGGTAGGTATTTTAGCTTATTGCCCCTCCCCCGCCAGGCTCTCGAGGTCTATATGTCCTTAAGACGGGCGACCGTTGAAGGAGCGATTCATTCAATCAGTCTCGATGATAGCGACGATTCTTTTAAGTTTGGTCACCTCATTTGAATCTATTGTCTAAAATTCTGAAGCTACATGAAAGCTTCGCAAAAGCTTAGTCAGTTCAGTTAAAACAATCCCTCGTCTTCCAGGTCTATTACTACCTTAACTACTGCCTATCTGCTACTGCCTATCTGCCTATCTGCCTGTCTGCCTGTCTGCTTTCTACATTATCTTTCCAGCTGAATTGCAACGCCACCACAAATCATACCCTCCGAAGGTAGTCAAGATAGCGCCACAAGGGACGTCGTGGTTTCGTGGTTCGCAAAACTAAAAAAGGTGTGGTAACACGAAGCGGGAAGCCTTGATCATATTCACGAGCGGGGCTGATATCTTTCAGACCTATCCTCTACCACTTTTTACTCAACACCAGCTTACTTCCTAGAGTATTTGTTAAGGATATTTGATGGACTCGGAAATAATGGCTGCACAATTTGAAACTTCTCGAACAAATCGAGGGGAGACTTCTCTTGATGCGGCAATGCGAGCGCCTTCTACCACTGCCCCAGATGTCGTCGTTCTTAGCTTTTTAGACGAAGATGTAAAGATTAAAGAAGTGGCAGATCCAAAAAAGGATCTTTGGGTATCTAGTATCGACGGGTATGTTAAAGTATTGTCTCTTGCGATTCTCTGGATTGCACATCCATTTCTCAAAAGTCGCAAACAAAACGATGCTGATTTTACAATCGTATAGTCGCTATTCATCACCGATAATTCCGATCCGTGTTGGACCTCACGCCGAAACTTTTTACGTTCACCGCGATATTTTAATCAGATCAGAATACTTCAGAAAAGCTTTGAGTGGGGAGTTTAAAGAAGCCTCAGCCCAAGCTATCGATCTACCTGAGGAAGACCCCAGCCTGTTCGAGTTTCTCATTGCCTTCCTTTACGAGTCAAAGTACTGCCCTCTACGTCCTGTCGCAGAAATCATTGTCGCCGAGCCTGAAAAGGGTAAAGGAAGGGAACAGAACGACGATGGAAATGCTTCTGGTAGTGACGACGGAACAGAGAGTGGGACCGCGAGCGATGAAAGGTAGGATACCAACTAATTCTTCCAAAACTGTATTAAATTTTCATGCTAAGTGCCTCAAGTGCCAGGAGTCGGAGAAGACGGGAGAGTCGTCGGAGACGTCAAGAACGAGCCTGGGAACAAAGACAACGAAAGGAACCTGGACGCCATCGACCAGATTGTAATTGTGCGCAATGTACCCTAGAATCTTATGGCCCAGCTTGCTGGAATTGTGGCGTGACGAGAAGAATACCTCCACCCAGAAATCGTTGGATGAATGGCATACCACCTCCACCTCAACCAGTGCCGGTCATGGGACGCAATGGTTATCCACACCCTCCTGGCCATAGAGATCGTATAAGAGGCGCTCGGAATAATGCCTTGGATGAAGCACCTGTGGATGAGAGAATGTCTCAAGAAGACTTGAGGACCTGGTCAATAGCCTACTCCATAAGTGTTAATGTTTACGTTTGCGCTGAGAGGTATCTGATGCAGGACTTCAAAAGCTGTGTAGCGGCTTTCATCGTAAACAATTTTGAAGTTGCCGGTTCAGATGCTGCATTACCATCAGTCCTGCATTCATGTAGAACATTATATGATGGCGTAAGCTCAATGGATCCTCTCCTTAAGAAAGTCTTTGCTCGGGTTGGTTTCTTGCAGGCTAGACTGTGGAAGAAATATCCCGAGGAAACCGCAAATTTCTTTATGGACAATCCGGAATTATCTACTTTGATTCTCAAGGAAATGGCCGAGAGGAGAGAGGAGGATGTCAAAGATGACTTGCCTGCCATGGAACGTCCTCCGTTGCCACCTTTACCAAGAGAAGAGATAATGCAAGGTCAAAGACGTCGAAATTATGGTCCAATTCCTCATTACTAACTCTGACAAGGCTACACGCGACCGCCGCCGCCAAATAACTGGCATGTGACCTAAAATACTCTCATGCAGGCATATCGAAATATGCAGCATTTTCTTTTCATTTGTGGGGTCAAAGTAGAGCAAGGGCTCACATTTCGGTTTTATATTGGGATATCTGGGAATCTGGGGAATTGTGATACCTTGCATATTCGTGGGCATTTTCTCTTTATACCCTTATTGTTAACAGAAGCAAAGGCTGCTGGGTGGGACTGGCGTTTGACGGCAGATTTTGATTATAACCACGGCATTAAATTTATTAGTACGGAAAAAATACAAATTTCGGTGCAGTGAACCCCGATGTCCTAATGCAACTGTGATGTTATCATGCATTGATCATATTAGGCAATATGTTCCTCACCTTATTATTGGTCACTTATTTTGGTGTAGGCATCTCCATTTTATATTTAACTTCAAAAATGGTTCTTCAATTGAGGAGCTCGCATTCATTTAAGTATGAATCACAACTCAATTATCAAAGGCTGTCTGTAGTAATAAGTATATCAAGCTCGCAAGTGCCAAGGAAATTGGAGAAATACGTTCTCGGACTGTCTTCATTTCTTTAAATGCTTTCACTATGTATATAACCTCACTTCATTCTGTATTGCTTTCCTTTTGCATCTTTCCCCCTCTTATACTGGCTCAAGATATCACAGCATCCCTGGATTATGGTACTTTTCAAGGTGCATACTCATCTACATATAACATAACATATTACCGGAAAATCCCCTTTGCGGCACCTCCAACAGGAAACAATAGGTTTAGAGCTCCACAACCTCCTCTTCCTATCACAAATAGCACATATAATACCATCCAGACTTTTCCAGCTTGTCCACAAAAAGGCGTAAGCACTTCTTATCAACTCCCATTTTATCACGTCTCTAGCCGATTTGCCTCTGACAGCCATACCTAGAATGTCGGCTCCGAAGATTGTCTTTACTTATCCCTTTACTCTCGTCCATGGACATCTGGGCAACCTTTGCGTCCAGTCATGGTAGTATTCTTTGGTGGTGGATTCATTGAAGGCGGTGGTTCCCTAGCTGTTCCCCCTTCAGCTTACCCCATCCTCAATGTTTCTGCACAGAACGATATCGTTTTTGTATATCCCAATTACCGCGTAAATACATTTGGATTTCTACCAGGGAAAGAGATAGCTGAAGACGAAGATTCTGACTTGAACCCCGGTTTACTGGACCAGAAGGCGGTTCTTGAATGGGTGAACAAGTATATTGATCAATTTGGAGGGGACAAAGACAGTGTTGGTATTTGGGGTCAGAGTGCGGGAGCGGGAAGTGTTGTGTTTGTTACCCTTTTCTACTTGCTTCTCGGAATATTTTCTCTTCCAAATTGATGTAAGCCATAATAAGCCATAACTAATCGCCATCTACACAGCGCACAAGTCCTCTCCACCTCCGAAGAAACCAGCCCACCCCTCTTCCACCGCGCTCTTGCCTCCTCGCCTTTCTGGCCCAAAACCTACCTCTACGATGCTCCCCAAGCTCAATCTATCTACGATACCATGACCGATCTAACAAACTGCACAGGCGCCATCAATGGCACCTTACAATGCTTGAAATCTTTAGATTGGGAAGTCTTGGCTGAAGCTGCTCTAACGGTTGCTGCAAGTCATACTTGGAATACTAGTAGTTATACCTGGGCACCAGTAATTGATGGGAAGTTCTTGAAGAGAAGTTTGAGTGATGCAACGGTTAATGCAAAGGGTGGCAATGGTGGAAGGGGACAATTCGCAATTTTAGAGGGCTGGGGCATGTATAATGCGCATGAAGGCAAGTTAGGTCTTTCTTGACTTCGAAGGTTGAAAGTCGTATATTTTTGAAGGGTCGCAAGCAGAAGCTTTTTCTTTTCATCTTGAGTGGATACCGACTTATGTCTGATGTCTCTGAATCTTTCCCAATTTTCGGGCATTGATGAGACGAGATGTGAAAAAGAGAACCTCTTTCTGGAATCTCATACAAAGCATCACGCAGATGCCTTGCCATTCATCCGAATGCTCTCTTTTAATCTCCTAAGCACAAAACTAACATTCTCTAACCAGGCGAAAACTTCGTTCCAAGCGGCCTCCAAGACGCTACAGATACCGGCACACCACCCTTCAACTCTACAACCGCCTCTTTCAACGCATGGCTAGCAGGATTCCTCCCCTCCTTTTCCAAATCTCAACTCGATGCCGTACGCGCCATATATCCAGCTTCTGGCACCGCCGAGACATTCCTGAGTTACAACACTAGTTACGTCAGAGCCGGTCTTATATATCGCGATTCGGTATTGGCGTGTCCGGCGTTGTGGATGAGTAAGGCGGCTAGTGGGAGTGGCTGGTTGGGTCAATATACTATTTCTCCTGCTAGACATGGGAGTGATACTATTTATGTATGTTTTTCTTTTCTATTCTTTCATCCTTCATCATCCATCTTGCTTCTTTTTGATTTTATCTCCATAGAAAACTTATTAACCTAACCAAACCCCAAAATCAGTGGAACCAAGTAAACGCAGTCCAGAAATCTCAACCACTCATCTACCAAGGATACGCAGGAGCATTTGCCTCCTTCATGGCAACGGGAAACCCTAACGAGCATAAAATCATAAATGCAACTGAGCCGGGTGTACCAGAGTTAGATTCAGGCAAGGAATTTGTTATTGAGAGTGATGGGTTTGAGAATGTGAGGATTAATGCTGGAGAACAGAGTTTGGAGGCTAGATGTAGCTTTTGGGCTAGTGTTGCGGGGAGTATACCGATTTGAGGTGAGTGGGGGAGAGGATTTGCTGAGGTTGTGTGGATGAATTGGTAGGTTTTTGTAGATAGATTATAGGCGGTTTTTGAATATTTGGGAAGCTTAGTGTTTTTGCTAGCTTTTGGGTATTCTTATTTGAGTGATCTAAATATCCGCAATACACTGATTGAGTATATCAAATACTTTAAACACGGATTCTTTGAAAGTCTTCAACTATCTAGTTATCTATCTTCACCCTGAGTTATAGACACCTGGTGCACCCAAGATCTGTATCTGTTATACATTTATAATTATATCTATATATTCAAGATTTATGTATCTATATATCCAATAACATACATCCGCACTACCTCAAAACTCAATCAAGTATAT